GCAGCCACTCAGCGGCCGTCTTGCAAGCAACGCCCAGCTCTGCCATGTGGCACACACACCCGCCCTGCACTGACCGTCTAAAGCCTCAGGTGGCCATTACAGTCCCATAGGGTGCATGGGGACCCAGTTCCAGGGGTTCCCCCATTCACAGCCTGGGGATCTCCCAGAGTATCCCGCCCTGCTTCTCACTTGCAGTCCTCCACGGTCTGCAGAAGACCCACTCTGAACCCCCCATCGCCAAGGCCAGAAGGCTCCTGTGATGCTGAGCACCCTGCAGCTCCACCCTGGCCAACTGCCTCCCCACCTTCCCTAGAGAGAGTTCCCAGAGGCTGCAGAGCAATGCAAAATTCAGGCCACAGAGTGGCTACATTCACACAAGATGCTTAACCCAGATATGGGAATCTCTTGTTTTCAGAGCCATAGAGTGCCTACCTCTAAGCAGGGCTGACTTTGCACAAAGCATGCTAAGCTAGAATGCACTAGCCAAGAGTTAGCCAGGAATGGCAGAACTGCTGCCTCGATGGCTGGGTCTTTACCTGGCCTGCTTAAGCCACGTATGAACAGTGCCAAGCCACAGCCGTTGCCTGGGGAAGAGATTCATGTGAAGCAACTTTCTTTCTTGCAGAAAAAGGTTTTGGACAAGCCATTCACAAGGGGGGGGGGCTGCTTCTCCAGCTTCTCTGGCACCCTCGCCTAAGGTCTGGAAGACCACCCATGACTTTTACCCGTGAAAAAATAGCTCTTAAATTCTGCTTGCCAAAAAGAAAAGAAAAGCTCCCACTTAAAAGGAAAACTTCTTAACAGGCAGCATTCTGGGAAAAGCAGAGCTGAAAGATCAAGGAGGATTTCCTGGTCTGTCTCCATGGCAAACTCCCCCCCCCCAGGAGACTGCAAGAGAGAGAGAGACACACACACACACACACACACACACACGCGTGTGTGTGTGTGTGTGTGTGTGTGTGTGTGTGTGTGTGTGTATGGTAGTGAACTAATCCCTCCTCCTCCACCCATGCCAGAATTGCTGAGGAGTTGAACCTGCCTGGGAAGGTTCTGGGCAAAGGACGAGACGCCAGCTGCAGCTCTGCCCTGTGAGGTAGGCCATTTCCGGGAGTAGGAAAGAACTTCTGAGACTCTTCGGGCTGCATTGTTATAAAGTAGGTAGAACCACAGAATCCTGAGAGTCTAGCACAGGGGTTCTCAACCTTGGCAACTTTAAGACTTGTGGACTTCAACTCCCAGAATTCCTCAGCCAGCTTTGCTGGCTGAGGAATTCTGGGAGTTGAAGTCCACAAGTCTTAAAGTTGCCAAGGTTGAGAACCCCTGGTCTAACAAGCTTCTCCCTCCCTCTCATACCCAAGACGATCAAAGTGGGGGCCCTCTTGAGTTCCTTCCTCACCCTTTCCCGTCTCTCTGGGGTAAGCCGAGGCTTTCTTAATGGGCATTTCCTTCAAGACTTTCTCTGTGCTCCTCTGCAGGGGGCCCTCCTGGAGCCATCCACCCTCCCACCCATGATGCCATCTCTCCAGCCAGGAGCATCCAGCCTGCCTCATTGCGCTCTCCCTCCCGGAGCAGAAGCAGCACCCCAGGGAAGCTCTCTCCCTGCTTAGCTGGTGAGAAGCCTAAGGATGCAGGAGAAGGGATGGCGCAGAGCTGCCCGTGGGGGTGGGGAGGGGCACCGGCAGGGAAAAAAGCCCAGGTAAGGCTAAGGCCTCCCTCAGGTTGTTTTCAAAGACCTGAAGGTGTCTTGGAAAAGGTTGGGACCTTTTTCTAGCATTCCAGTATCTGGGTTTCCACAACATGCCAACGTACAAGGAAGAACAAGACTCAAAGTCCAGGCCTGAGGTGAGCAAACCAAACCGTGTTCCTCAGAAACCTCCAAAGAAGCAGATCTCCAGATCAGAAGGAGCCCCTCCCCCCTTTAAAATGTGGCTCCCCGTGGCCAGGCTCCTCTGTGGCCACAGCTTTGGAGAGCATCCTGGGTACAGTAGTGGCTGGAGAATGCCAGGCTTGGCCTTCAGGGGGCGCCTCCTGGGACGGGTCTCCCTTCTCCCAGCCCCACCAGAGGGCCTGCTTAGCCCAGGGAAGGCAGCCCAACCAGCTGGGGGCTCAGTCAGGCGGGAGATGAAGCCGTGGGGCCCTCCGGTGCTTGGGGCTGGGGCCAGCTTGCTGGCAGGGGGACCCAGTATGGGGATCAAATAGACCCCAGACCAGATCCCACCAGCAGGTCTGCAGGGGAGGGGCCCAGAGCTGGTCTTCCCTGAAAGGAGGGGCACCGTGCAGACGGCCTCGGGCTGACCGATCGTCTCCCTGTTCAGGCGGGCTTCGTAAGCTTCCCCACAATACAGCCAGGGACCCCATTAACTCTAAAGGAGAATATTTGCCCTGCAAGAACACAAGCAAGCTCAGAGAGCACCAAGGACCCCCCCCCCCATTAACCCTAGGCAGACCAAACCCCAGGTGGGACCAGCGCTTTCGGGAGAGGAGGCGGGAGGGGGTCTACTCCTTTTCTCGCGCCCCCCTCCCGCCTCCTCTCCCGAAAGCGCACCCCCGCCGCTGCCCTCTTCTGGTGCGCATTACCCGAAGCTGTCATGATTTAGCACGGATCCCCTTCTGCAGAAAACAGCACCTCCGCGCTTGGGCAGGGCCGCATCCAGCCCGGGGGTCGGAGCAGGCACCATCCGGCTTGGCGAGAAAGCCTCCCGACACCCTCGGGCTGGGGGTGGGTATCAGAGTTGGACTCTGGCGCCCTCTGCCGGCTGCTTGCAAGAGGAGCTGGCCCGAGGAGCCTTCGGCGGAGAAGCGACGTATCCATCCTCGGCCCCTAGGCTAGCTAGGCGGACTCCAGCTCTCAGCATTGCGGGAGCTGAAGCCTGCATATGTCAAGGGGGTCACGGGCGAGAAAGACAGAGAAAGAGTCGCCGTGCGGCGCCGGTGTCCTCCTGCCGGCCCTCCGCGCCTCCGCGGAGAAGGGTTCGGGTTTCGGCTCAGACGGTCCATGGATGGCGGCGGCCCCTCGGCCTCCCCAAGTCAGGCCAGTCGGAGAAAGAGCGGCTGCGCCTCCCCCCCCCATATCACCTTCGGGGCAGGCGAGCGCTCCGTCTGAAGACCGGGAGGGTGTCCGCCCGACGCCGCCTTGAGCGAGGCCGCCGCAGCTGGAGGAGTAGCAAGCGAGCCCGGAGCGGGCGTTCCAATGAGCAGCCAGAGGGAGGCGCTGTTGCCGCGCGGCCCAAGGCTGACAGCGAGGAGGATAGCCGCGAGTTCCGCTCGCAGGGAAGGAAAGGCTGGAGCGAAGCTTTTCCGTGGCTCAGTTCGCGGGTCCTGGGCTGAAGACGGGAGTGGGGGAGGACGTGGGAATTAAGCATAGAATCAAGATCACGAAAAGTACTAGTACCGCTTTAAAACCCTAGTAAGACCACACCTGGAATACTGCAACCTTACTACAAAAAAGATGTTGAGACTTTGGAAAAAGTTCAGAGAAGAGCAACTAAGATGATCCAAGGCCTGGAGGCTAAAACATATGACGAACGGCTGCGGGACTTGGGTTTGGCTGGTCTAGAGAAAAGAAGAAACGGGAGACTTGATAGCAGCGTTCCAGTATTTGAGGGGCTGCCACAAAGAAGGGGGGGTCACATTATTCACCAGAGCACCAGAGGGAGGACAAGAAACAATGGTTGGAAACTAATCAAAGAGAGAAGCAACCCGGAATTAAGGAGACACTTCCTGACAGTGAGGACGATTAACCAGTGGAACAGTTTGCCACCAGAAATTGTGGACACTCCATCACTGGAGGTTTTTAAGAAGAGACTGGACAGCCACTTGTCTGAAATGACATAGAGTCTCCTGCTTGAGCAGGGGGCTGGACTAGAAGACCTCCAAAGTCCCTTCCAGCTCTATTCTATTCTCTTCTAGTCTGCTCTAGTCTAGTCTAGCCTTTCTCCTATTCTGTTCTGCTCTGCTCTGTTCTAATTTCAGCCTTTCAGAACAGCTTCAGGGTGGGAACCACACACAGCTCCAGGCATTCTCTGTGTTGGGCCAATCTGAATGTATGGATTCATTCAGTAAGCCAATTAAGGGTTCTCCCCTTGGTTGCCGGCCACCAAAAAGCAGCGGAAAACACCCAGGTAGGATTAATCCCATACAGTTGCTTGTTTATTTATCAGGTTTCTGCACTCTCAGTGGTTTCCAGCAATCAAATGCAGGAAACAAAACACGAAAGGCAAATAAAAACGTAGCAACACAGAGAAAGCATAAAATCATGCAGCCCAAAGGAGAGGATACCCTTGAAGGTGCTGCATCACAGGTGACCACCAGCACCTGGAACTGCCCTTCCTTGGACCCCAGTGGGGGCTCAGGGCACAAGCGTCACAGGTTTGGGTTGGCCAATAATTAGGCCGGTGCAGTTTGGACCAAGCAAAGTAGTCTTTTGAGTGTTCTTCAATCACATCCCCACAGTCGGTGGGTTGTGGCAGAACCTTGGTTGATCTAAACAGCTAAATCACTTTAAAGATACAATTCAATCTTTATTAGCCTGCCTGCAGCACATCCTGGGCACCCAACCAGGTTTTGGCGCTGGCTGAGAGCCTTGATCCAAAGAGAACCAGACCCTGTTTATCTTTGGCCTACTGGTCTGTATTGCAAAGGAACAGGCAGACCCAGTGGGACTGCAGCCTGGGGCTGGGCCCTTTAAGATAACGCCCCCCCCATGTGACCTCATTACTATTTACCCCTCCCTAGGAAGTCTCTGAAATAGGGCAAGCCAGTGGACAGAAGCAGTCTGCTTCCCTGGGCCACCATTTCTGGCTGATTCTTTCTCCTGTTGCCACTCAGGGTTAATCCCGCTGGCTGTAAAGGTTTCCTGATGATTTTCAACAGTTCATAGGTTGTTTGGGGGGGGGGGGGCATCTCAGAGGTTACCTCTCTGTGGTATGGGAGATCTTTTAGCATCCCAAGTGCATAAGTCAGGGCCCAAGTCAAAACCTCATCCCAAGATCTCATGGAAGCAGTTTCCTCCAAAGGGATCTTTTATTAGGAGAAGCTGATAGCAGGCACACTAGACAGGATCTGAGGATTTCCCACTCAGATCAATAGGTAAAAGTGTCCCAAGCAAAACCCCACCCCATTGTTCATCCGGTTCAAATGGCCCAATTCCCAGGTGTTAAGCTCCTCCTGGGAAAGGGGAGATAACATCAGGCCATCTCTGGTTGTAGTTGTGATGTTTTGGGGGCTCTTCACACCTTCCCTTGAGAGCGCAGAGATAAACCAGTCCAGGGAGGTTGCATTCCATTCTTTCCCTCCCTTTGCTAGCTGACATTAAGGGATGGGAAAGTTCACAGAAAATAATACAGGAGAGCAAAGTGTTACAGTGTAGCGATAGAGGAAATCAAGGCAATAACCCTCCAGCACTTCCCCCTCCCCCCCCCAGTATGGCAGAACTCAGGAAGAGAAGAGAGTGGGATTTGGGTCAGGAAGAAATGTAGAGAGAAAGAAATGGAGGAGGGGGAAAGGATAAGGGACCCTATAGGTATAGGTATGGGTTCTGACAGCATTATCATAGCCCCACCACATGATGGATAACAAAGCCTGTCTGGTGCCAGGTAGGGATACAGCTGCGGTCTCCCCCTCTGCCCTCTCCCTTGGGTTCCAGGAGGTGGCAGTGTTAGCAAGAAGCAGCCTGGGTCTCAGCGGGCGTGCCACAGGGCAGGGGCTCCTGTGGGAGAGACTGCAGGCTGCCTCTCTGCCCCCAGACTTCACTTCCTCCCTTGCCTGGCCTTGACGTGCACCAGCCTTACTGGCCTGCAAGGCAGCTGGACCGGCTCTGTGGCTTTGTGGAGGGCGTATGCCAGGCGCCCCAAGACGGCTGCGCAGAAGATGCTCACGGAGAGCATGGAGAGATACAGCAGGAGGAACACTGGGCAATACTGGTAGTCGGAGCTCAGCAGGAGACCCCAGGCCCAGTGCTGCTGGGGCACAAGGGCAGGCCGGCTGGGGGAAAGGGGGCTGCCAACACTCCGGGGCAAAGGAGAGAGGGAGGAGGGAGGGCAAAAGGGCTGATCTGCTGCAGATGGCAGTACCGGGGCTGACCCTGCAACGGGCGTGTGTGCCAGCGTCGCCCCGGGGGCTGTGATGCTGGGCACTGTCAAGGTTTGCCTGGTCAGCGGCTCTGGAGCCGGGGGTCTGGACCTACAGACGGATGACGTGGTGATCACAGGAGGGTGGGTGGGTGGATCCTGGCTTTCTGTGGATCTCTTGGGGACTGTAAACTGTTCATAGAGTCTTGCTGAGCTGATGTTGGTCAGAGCCGTGGGGGGAGTCTTGGTGGGCATGTCCCGGGGTGCAGTGACTTCTGTGGTTGTGGCTGGAGTATCTGTGGATGTCATTTCATGGGCTGTGGAAGAAATCTCACTTGTGGCATCTTCGGTTGTGGTTAGAGAACTCAAGGAAGTTGTGTCTTGAAGGGTTGTGACTGGCAATTCAAGGACAGTTGTGGCTTCTGTGGTTGTGGCTGGAGTATTTGTGGATGTCATTTCATGGGTTGTGGAAGAAATCTCAGAGACAGTTGTGGCATCTTCGGTTGTGGTTAGAGAACTCATGGAAGTTGTGACTGGCAATTCAAGGACAGTTGTGGCTTCTGTGGTTGTGGCTGGAGTATTTGTGGATGTCATTTCATGGGTTGTGGAAGAAATCTCAGAGACAATTGTGGTATCTTCGGTTGTGGTTAGAGAACTCATGGAAGTTGTGTCTTGAAGGGTTGTGGAAGGCAGTTCAGGGACACTTGTGGTTTCCGTGGTTGTGGCTGGAGTATTTGTGGACGTCGTTTCATGGGTTGTGGAAGAAATCTCAGAGACAGTTGTGGCATCTTCGGTTGTGGTTAGAGAACTCATGGAAGTTGTGACTGGCAATTCAAGGACAGTTGTGGCTTCTGTGGTTGTGGCTGGAGTATTTGTGGATGTCATTTCATGGGCTGTGGAAGAAACCTCAGAGACAGTTGTGGCATCTTCGGTTGTGGTTGAACTCATGGAAGTTGTGTCTTGAAGGGTTGTGGAAGGCAATTCAAGGACAGTTGTGGCTTCCGTGCTTGTGGCTGGAGTATTTGTAGACGTCGTTTCATGGGCTGTGGATGAAATCTCAGAGACAGTTGTGGCATCTTTGGTTGTGGTTAGAGAACTCGTGGAAGTTGTGGCTTGAAGGGTTGTGATGTCAGGACTTGTCCTGGCAGAGGTGGAACTCTGGGTGGGGGCCAGGGAGGAGCTGGGGGGTGGGGGCTGGGGGCTCGTAGGGGCGGTTGTGGACCACGTCCTGCTGATACTCGTGATGTGTGTGCTCTTAGCAGGATGGGTTTGAGGAGCTGCAGCCGAGGTCTGAGACGAGGGGCTGGTCTCCGGCAGCATGATGGACCAAGCTGAGGCACCTGCTGTGCTTCCCCTGGCAGGGGTGGCAGATGGAGAAGCAGATGTGGGCGAGGGGGCGGCTTTGAAGGTGGTTACAATGGGTGCAGTTGTTGTTAAACAGAGCAGCTGGTCTTCTGACAGTGAGCTCACTGCTTTCCCAGCCAGGTCTCCGGGGCTCCTACAGATGATCTTCCTGGTGTCCTTTATTCTTTTGGCATTATTGTGTATCCACTGATGAAGATAGAGGAGGTGGCAGTCACACCTCCACGGGTTGTCTCCAAGATGCAGGGCCGTGAGCTTCCCCAGGGGGTCAAAGTGGCCCGTGGGGATGGTCTCCAGAAGGTTCTCTTGAAGCTTGAGCGTGGTCAGGGACGGAAGGGAAGCGGCTGCCAAATTCTCCAGAGAGGAGATCTTGTTCCTGCTGAGGTCCAGCTCCTTGAGCAGCCGCATGGGCCCCAAGGGCGGGAGGGCCTTCAGGTGGTTGGAGGCCATCTTCAGCTGCTTCACGTTTCTCAGTCCAAGGAAGATCTCATCTGGGAGAACTTCAATCAAGTTCTTGTCCAGGAAAATCTTCTCCAGATTGACCAGCTGTCTCAGCAAGTTGGGCGGGAGAGACTGGATCCTGTTGCTCTCCAGATTGAGCTCCACTAGATCCTGCAGGCTGTCCAGGGTCCCCTCCCCTAGACTCCCGATCTGGTTGTTCTGCAGCCGGAGAGTCTTCAGCTGGGTCAGTTGCTTGAAGAGGTCCGGAGAGATGTTGGAGATCTGGTTCCACCCCAGATGTAACAAGGAGAGTTTAGGGAGCCCATCAAAAACTCCGTCAGGGAGAGAGGCGATTTCGTTCCGATGCAGATAAGCCTCCTCCAAACCCCCAAGACCATCAAACAGCCCTTTTTCGATCCTTCTCACGTGGGAGTCCCTCAGGTTCACTTTCCGCAGGTGAGCCAGGGACCGGAAGGTGCCCACAGGGAGAGCCTCTAACTCGGCCCCCGTGATTTCCAAGTTCATCAATTTCTCCAAGTTATCAAAAGCTCCTGCTTCCACTCTTTCAACCTTGCTGTTTATGAATTCAATGTTCACCAGGTTAGACATGTTCTCGAAGGCCCCCCGCCTGATTTCCGCAATGCTGGTCTCAATAAAGAACATTTCAGTGACAACGGGAGAAACGGACTTGGGGATCTCTGTGATGCCTCTGCCCCTCTGGATGTCTTGATGGGGGCAGCTCTTGTTCGGAGCGCCACTGCAATCCTGGTCCCCTCGGCCGGCCCTGAGGAGGAGGAGGAGGAGGACCAGGATGGGGGTCCTGAGCCACATGCTGGAAGAGACCAAAAGCCCTGAGCCTTTTTACAGGTAACCTCTGCATCTGCCAGCACCCTCTGCAATGTCTCAGACTTGGCTGACTCAACGGTTTGACCCTCCTGACAGACTCTCCACTTGCTGCTTTAATCCTTGCAAGCCATTGCTCAATGGGTTTGCCCAGAGGGCCCTGTATGCGCCTCCTTCCTGTGTGAAGGCCAGCAAATCGGCCACTCTCGTGTGCCCAGCCCCCCCCCGTCCTCCCTCTTGCTCTGTGCTGCTGCAGCCACCCCCAGGCCAGAAGGGAGCGTCTGGCCCTGCAAAGGCGACACAGGCTGTCCACCCTTCCCTCCAGGGCCTCCCCACAGGCTAAGGGGACCCACCTGTTGGCTCAGCAGCCCCTGGATCTCCTTGCTGACTTTCCAGGCCCAGAGAAGCCGGAGGTCTGAGAATCGCACCACTCACCTCGCTGGAGAATCTGCCCCTGACCCAGATGGGCTGCCGAGGGATAGGTGGCCCTTATCTCCCCGGAGACGTCTGGGAAGGGTGGAGGAGATCTGGGTGCAACCCAAGGCACCTTTCGCTCCCTGCCTTGGTCTGATAAGGAGTCACTGCTGGCGGCTCTGCTCTCTTCTGCCGGAGGGGCACATCGGGGCTCAGCTGCCCCTCCCTCGGCAGAGGAAGTGCCCTTCCGTTGGCACCCACTCTCCGCAGTGCGGAGAGTAGTCAAAGCCCCCGAGCTGGCAGGAGCCTGGTGCTGCCGAGGCTGAGCGGAAGGGAGAGAAAGAAACCCCCTGGCTGTGGGAGCCCCCATCTCCCCAGAAGCAGGGCCAGGATCCCTGCCCATTCCCTCCACCCCCACCCCCCAACTCCAGGTGGTGCCTGCAGGAACAGGGGCTCCTTCTTCCGGCAACGTTAGGGGGTTCCTCATTGGGTGACCTCAGCATCCAAGTGGGGCCAAATTGGAGGGAGCCGCTCTTTGGGGGGAACGAATGACCAGGACTAGCACTATGGGAAAGGCTGCCTCCTGCATTCCCCTCCCCCCCTTGGACATAAGGCAAGGGAGACTGAGGCAGGTCCGCCTACACCCACCGTCTCCTGCAAGCCCCCCGCAGGCAGTCTAAGAGGGATAGGAGGGTGGAGAGGGAGAGGGAGGCGATTAAGAGAGAAGGAAGGAGAAATAAAACTGCTCAAGTAATAACTGACTATAGGGATTTATTGGTTTAGGCAAAACACATTACATGAACTTTGGTTTGATTAACACTCAGTTGAGTTTCACCCAGCCTCTGTAAAACGTACACAACAATCATACAAATTTGAAAGTCCTGAAACATCATAATGCCAGTAATAATAATAGCAACTTATAAATATGTGTGAAATCTGCAAAACTCAAAAAGAAATGTAAATGGAAGAGGGTGGGGGGAAACATATTTACAGCAACACAACCATCAAGCCTAGCGAGAGTCCAAAGGTCTTCAGAGCTGTCCCAAAAGAAATGGGGCAAACATTTGGGGGTGGGGAATCGTGTTCTTGCAGAAAGGGGCACAGGAGCCCCAAGGATCTTCTCTAACAGCCTCCACCCATGATGAGGAAGGAGAATCCTAGCGGGGGGGGGGGGGGTGTCACAGAAGCCGCCGGATCCAGCGATCTGCTCTTTGGCAGGAGCCGCCAAGACCGGGGCCTGATGGGGGGAGGGGCGAGGCTGCCTCTGTAGCAGGAGCTGGTCCAGGATGGGGAGCCACCCGGACGAGCAATGTCGGGGCTCCCGGACTTGCATATGGCCGCACTTGGGAAGGGCGCTGCCTGGTGGGAGGACCCTGCCTGCCGCTCCGCAGCCCCTCGCCCCTCCTCTTGCCAACTCAGGGGGAGGGGCGTTGTCAGAACGTGTCCGGCTGTCCAGTCAAAGGCCAGCAGACGGGCTTCATCCTCCATCCCGTCCCCCTCCTGGCCTTCCTCTCCCAGGGGCGCCCGGGGCCTGCCGGCAGCCCCTCAGCCTCCCGGCCCAGGGCGCCTGTCTCCTCCGGGGGGCCCGGGGCTTCCCCTCGGCAACGGGCGCTGCCAGGCTGGCAGGGGCAAAGGCGCTCCTCCTCCCTCGCAGCCAGCAGAGTCCTGCCCTCCAAGGGGGCGGGAGTCCGGCAGAGGACCCGGGCGCCGAGCGGCTGCTCCATGGTGCTCAGCCAGTCGGCCAGGGGGGCCAGGCGGCAGTCGCAGCGCCAGGGGTTGCCCTCCAGCGCCAGGCTGGCCAGCATCTCGTTGGCGTCGAAGAGGCCCTCGGGCAGGCTCTCCAGCCGGTTGTGGGCCAGGTCCAGGGCCTCCAGGCTGCTGAGGTTGGCGAAGGCCGCCCCGGGGAGGGCGGAGAGGCAGTTGTAGCGGAGCTGCAGCCGGCCCAGCCCGGCCAAGCCCCGGAAGGTGCCGGCAGTCACGCGGCCGAGCCGGTTGTGGGCGAGGCTGAGGACGGAGAGCTCGGGGAGGTCGCCGAAGAGCCCCTCGGGCAGCTCCAGGAGCCGGTTGCGGGCCAGCGAGAGCTCCACCAGGCGGGGCGTCCCCCGGAAGAGCCCCGCGGGCAGCGCCGCCAGCCGGTTGCCCTGCAGGAGCAGGAAGGCCAGGCCGGGCAGCCCCGCGAAGAGGCCCGGCGGCTCCAGGCGGGCCAGGGCGTTGTGCTGCAGGTGCAGCCGCCGCAGCCGCGCCAGCCCCGCGAAGAGCCCCCGCGGCAGCTCGGCCAGCCGGTTCCCGTCCAGGAAGAGCTCGCGCAGCGCCTGCAGCGGCCGGAAGAGACACGGCGGGAGGCGCTCCAGCAGGTTGTCGCTCAGGCGCAGCTCGCGCAGGCGCACGAGCGCCCGGAAGGTGTCGGCGGGCAGCTGGGCCAGCCGGTTCTGAGCCAGCGAGAGGGACTCCAGGGCGGGCAGCGGGCGGAAGAGGAGCGGGGGCAGCGCGGCCAGCCGGTTCCCCTGCAGGTGCAGCGCCTCCAGCGCCGGGGTGCCGTCGAAGAGCCCCTCCTCCAGGGCTTCCAGCTGGCTGAAGCGCACGGCCAGCTTGCTCAGGCCGCCCAAGCCGCGCAGGGCCCCGCGGGGGAGGCCGGCCAGCCGGGCCAGGGCGACGTCCAGCTCCCGCAGCCGGGGCAGCCCCGCCCAGGCGCAGCCCGGGAGCGTCCGGAGGGGGCAGCCCAGGAAGGCCAGCTTGCGCAGGGCGCTGCTGCCGTTGCTGCGCGGGGCGAAGGCGCCGCAAGGCAGGACGCTCAGCGAGGCGCCCACGAAGAGCAGCTGGCTGGCCTCGGGGGGCAGCTTTTCCGGGACGCCCGAAACGTTCCGCCCCGAGCAGAAGACGGTGGCGCCACCGAAGCACTGGCACGGGGCCAGGCGGGCGCAGGCGGCGCTCCCCGGCGGGGCCGGCACCGAGAAGGCCAGCAGCAGCAGCAGGAGGCCAGGCCGGACGGGCATCTTCTCCGCCTGCGGAGGAAACGCAGAAGCGCCGCCGTGAGACCGGGGGGCGAGTGGGCGAGGGGTCTTGAGGAAGACTCTGCCGTCGCTCTTCCCCAGCCTTGGCGGCCTCAAGGTGTGGCCGGCCAGAAGTCCGAGCGGCCCGCCTGAGAAACACTTCCTTAGATGCAGAGGGGCGGAGGGGCTGCCAGGAGACAGGCGGGCAGGGGAGGGCGGTGGGGAGATCCGGGACTCAGGCCAGAGGTGCCACCCTCAGATGGGTCCCGTCTATAACTCGCCCAGAAGACTCCGGTCAGCCAAAGCCATCCAGACATCCACAGCCTGGGTGGAAACCGGAAGCGTACAAAAATCAGATAAAGACCCAAAAATCACCCTGAAAAAAAGGCGCCCCCTGGAGATGCTGCATCCACTGCAGCTCCCAGAGAGGAAAGCCAAAGTGGCGTCTCGGATAAAACCGGGGAGGGGGGCCTTGCAGGGACTGGATCCGTTCCAGGAAAGGGGAAAGTGCCGCAGTCCACCCTCCCACCCCCAAATGGGGAGCCCCCAGCTGTGCTTCCTACCGGGAGAGGTTGGGCCAACGTGGGCAGACCAGGAAGCTGTTGAGTCTCAGCACTGCGCCGGGAAGGCTCTGGCCCCCCCGGGGGGGGGGTCAGGCACCTGCAGACACAGCTGCTGGCTAAGGCCTTGCCCATTGCTTTCCCAAGGGGTCTCTAGAGCAGGGGTCTTCAAATGTGGCCCTTTTATGACTTGTGGACTTCAACGCCCAGAATTCCTCAGCCAGGCATGGTGGCTGAGGAATTCTGGGAGTTGAAGTCCGCAAGTCATGAAGCAGCCATAGTTCTCCCATGCTGGCTGAGGAATTTTGGGTGTTGAAGTCCGCAAGTCATAAAAGGGCCACGTTTGAAGACCCCTGCTCTAGAGGCAGGCACCCCGAGCATGTTGGGTGTGGTGGGGAGGTGCCTAGAAACCGGGAGACTGAGTTCTAGGTCTCTCTTTGGCATGGAAGCCAACTGGCTCACATGGGGCTTGTCCCTCTCTCTGCCCAACCCACCTCACAGGGTTGTTTTAGAAAAAAATGGAAGGCGGCAGGATTAGGCTTGTTCTCCTCTTTCAATTATATACAAAAATGACAGGATTAAAAAATAATACTGTGAGCATTGAGAAAGGCATGAGGTGATGGGGGCAGGTCCAGGTAGGTAGGACCCCCCCCCCTTTGCTGCACCAGCCCCAGCAGCCAGGTGTGATTCCACCAGGGGAAAATATCTCCCCCTCCCAAAGTTGTTAAGAGACACAGTGGAACCGGCCAAGTATGTCCTATCCAGACCCCCCCCCCCAGTCTCTGGACCCCCAACAGGATCTCAACCACCTCACTGGCCCAGACCAAGGCGGGGAGCATCAGCTGCTGAACCCACAACTGACCCCCAACCTCTCCCAGCAGTTTCATGGGGACATTAAGCAGGAGAGCCCAGGGGCACCGTGTGGGGGGGGGGTTGGTCCTATGCTGTGGTGGGCAGCTGCACTGGTCAAGGGTCAAATCATCCTAGAATTGCTGTCACTGGGGTCCAAGCAGGAACCCCACTCTCACTCTGACACCCCCCCTCCGGCTGCTGCTGCTTCTTCCTAGGGAGGGGTGAGCGTTCAACTGCTTATCAAAGAGGACACTGGCCAGGGGCTGCCTGTCCATTCCACACACACACACACACACACAGCTGAAGGGACCTCTAGACAAGGTTCACTGCAGAGGGAATCCAGCCAATCGGCCAAAAGTGCCCTGAGGCTGAGCAGGAGAGAGCAATGGGGCTGGGCCCACTGAGAATGCTGGCAGGGGATGCAGCCCCCCCCCCAGAGGGAGGAGGGCAAAGAGGTTCCTTCTCTCCCAAAGACAGGGGGCAAACAATGGAACTTAACTGAGGGTCCCCAAGGCCGGAATGGGACAACTGGCCACGGGCATCTGCCTGCGGCCAATTAGCTGCTGCCAGCTCACCCTAGTGCTGCCCCCCCCCCCCCCGCTGCCGCCCCTCTGCCCAGACCTCCCAAACTGAAAGAGCAGCTGGAGCAAAGTGGGCCTGTTGGGAAGCCAATGCGTGAGGAAGCGCCGTTCCCCTCTGCCCTGGCCAGGCCCTGCTTGGCCTGCGGGTTCAGTTCTGGGCACCACAGCCTGGGCAAAGGGCAGCAGCCAACCGGTGCCAGTTTAGAGGTCTACCGAGATGAGGAAAGAACCACAGGCCAAGCTCTGCATGGATCCGGGAATGCTCAGCCCACGCAAGGCGGGGGGGGGAGATGCGACATCCCCCCCCCCGCCTGAAGGGGATGGATGGACTCCCATGGCTGCAGAGGGCAGAGCCAGAACTAGCGGATCAAAGTGCCCGAAGGGTGCTCAGAGGCCTGGCCTGATTCTTCCGGCCAGGAGCCAGTGGAACAGGCTGCCTCAGGACTGGGCTCTCTGCTGGAGGACTCAGGGGCTGGAGAACCCCTGTTATAGCTGCACCAGGGGATCCTGCACAAAGCTGGCAGCTGGTCTACATGGCCTTTAAAGTTCCCTCCAGTTCCCTTGTGTTTATTTAGGCACATAATGAAACCGATTCATTCATTAAGCCCTTGACTCTAATCTTGCCTTGTTGCAGACTTCCAGGATGCTTCCAAAGTAATGGGGTCCTTTCTCCTTTGGTTGTTCCTCAGACCCAAGCTCCTCTCTGGAGAGCAGAGAGGAAGCCACGGAGGCCCCCCACCCGCACCCTTCCCGATATCCAGACAGGCATTCCTGGCCCAGGGTGGATTTTCCCTGGAAACAGATGTGGTTTGGGTCCGGATCCCCTACAGAGTCTTTGGGAAGGGGGGGGGGAATGACAGGGGTGACTGGAAGTCACACTGAATGCCGGACAAGGAGCAGCAGCCCCATCCCCCACCCCCCAGTGAGGCAGCGATGCACAAGGAGTGGCTGAAGGGCACACAGGAGGCCACGTGGGATGTTTTCCAAGGTTGGGTGTGTATGGGGGGGGGGTTCATTTTCTTTCTGCTTTCCTAATGTTGCACTTTGCGGGGCTTTCCTGCATTTTTTTTTATCTCAGAATTCTGGAAATTCTATACAATCTCAGTAGTGGAGGATAGAAGTACTAGCATGGCAGGTGGGAGGATGAGACCCCCCCCTATGCACAGCCCCTTGCCCTGCCCAGGCCTTGCTCCCCCGCTGCTCACTTACCTTCTGTGCAACCAGGTGCTTAAGGAAGCCCCCTCCCCCCGGCCCTGACCTCCAAGAGCAGCGCTCGGTCCGCTGGGTGGCTGAGTCAGTGACCCAGTGGGCAGAGGCAGCTGCAGGACTTTGCTTTCCAGAGATGGGGGCAAAGGCTGGCAACCTCGGGAGGGGAGCAGGGCAGGCATTGGCCTCTCAGTCAACAGCTACAGCAGCAAGGGTGCCTCCCCTTGGGGGAGGGAGGGAGGCCCTGGGGGGTGGAAGGGGAGAGGCGCTAAGCACTTTGGGGGCAGCTGCATGGCCTTTGGGCAGCCGTCCCTGGAAAGAAGCCCCACAGAGCCCCAGTGGCCTTCCCGGATCCTCCAGTCCCAGAGTGCTTGGGCGCCCCAGAGGGGCAGGGGGCTGGCCCCCTGAGCCCAGGCAGGGAACAGGACAGCTTCCTCTGCTGAGATCCAACCACTTCCAGATCACTGCCTGGCCTGGTTCTTGAGGGGGGGCTCTCGCTGGCTGTGTTCATACAACAGGTCATGTCACAACGAGCAGGCACCTGCCCTGGTAGCTGAATCTGGCACAAAAGATTTTTCCTGCAGCTTTGCACATCCTGGGAGCCCCTCCTGCATTTGTTTTCTTGATTTTTTTTCAGTGAAATGGAGTCAGGTTAAATATGTTGTGTGAATGCTATTATGCCTGCCCAACTCTGTTAACATCCACCAAGGATTGCCCTTGCTTCTATGGAAGGGAGGAGGACTGGTCTTCTGCCACCTTCCCCTCACCTGTGACCCCCATGCCTGGGCTGCAACCCCCTGGCTGCCTTCCCCTGATCCACGAGGGGCCTCAGGGTGGCTACGCATCCCACCATCCCCAGGCACACCGGAATCCTCTCACTAGCCTTGGGGTGGGGTGGGGTTTCCCCTTCTCTTACTTTGCTAAACACAACCCAGGGCCGGAAATGGGAATTGGGGTGGGGGTGTCTTTTGGTGGGTGTAGTTGCTTCCATGTTTTGCTTTTTGCTGAAAGAGTGGCAGAATGGGGGGGGGGAATGATTCAGGAAATTCTCCTGAACCATCCTTTGGCCCTCCCCTCCCCCTTCAACTCCCGTCTTTATCTCTTGGGGTCTGTGTGTTGTTCCAATGCTCATCCCAGTCCTGCGGGGGCAACACTTGTGAGGCCCTTCTTCCACTGGCAACAAAACACACACACACACACACACACACACACACACACAATTCTTTCCGGGTTTGGAACTCTGGCTGGCCAGCCGGCCTGCCCTGCAGGGGGGGGGTTCGCCCCTCTCTGGGACTGCTGTCGCCCCCCAGTCTCACGGATGGAGGACAGCCGCAGAGCTATCGGGGCGGGCGGGCGAGTGGACTCTCCCAGGGATTCTCCCGCTGCAGAGGCCCCGCCCCCCCCTCCTCCGCTTTGCCCAGTGGCCGCTCTGGATGGGCAGCGCTAGCCAAGCGGTGAGCCTTCAGGAGGGGGCGGCGCTGCTCTATTTTCCTGGGGAAACCGCAGCTGCTGGGTACTTGCTTGAGCGAGCTTGTATGACGTGTGAACCTGGTGAAGCAGCAGCTGAGATTCAGATTGGGCGGGGGGGCGGGGGTGTACACACCAAGAGCTTTGAGGCTGAACTCCCAGCCTGGCTTGGCAACTCAATGTATCAGCCTTGGGGGGGGGGGACATAAATGCTTCTCCTGACACTAAACATGCGCTAGAGAACGATATACAAGCTGTCCCGGGGGAGGGGGAGAGCGGGGGTGCTTGCTATCTCACACACTCCCCCCCCCCGCAGCCCAGGCGGATACTGTGCTGAGCCAGACCTCCCTGCTTCCTCTCGTTGCCTTGGGCGAGTTCTGCACCACCACCCCCGTCGCCCTCCCCCCACCCCCACTCGGGGCCAGGCCAGGGAGGGCAATGCAGAAAAGGGCGGGGGGCGAGATGAAGCGAGAACAGCAGCTTTAATAGGCCCGGGCTCTCCTCCACAGCCGCCTTCACGAGGCTCGTCTGCTCCCTCCCAGAGCTGCCCCCCCCCCAACCGTCTCCTCTGCCGCGAAGGCGCTGCCGTCATTGCGGGCCGCTCTTCGCCGGCGGAGCTGCCAGCCTGGGGCGGCGGAGAAGGCGCGCTCGGCCTGTCCCTGCGTCTCCGGGCTCGCTCTCCGGCGGAAGCTGTCCCGTCTCTGCTCGATTCCGCGCTCCCGGGAGATGCAAACCCCATTCCGGCGTCACCAACCCCCGCTCGGGAAACTCTCCGCGCCCCAGTCCCAGCCCTCATCGCCCCAGCAGCGCCCGCGGTCCTTCCCTTCCTCGGCTCCCGCAGAACCAGGCTGCTCTAGTCGCACAACGGGCGCCTCGCCTTCCGCAACATCCAATCGCTTGGGCGTTGTCGGCTCGTCCGGTGGATGCCGGGTGCGCCTGGAGCGCCAGCCTCGCCCGAGAAGGCAGCGGGAGCCCCTCGGGCCTTTCCCCAGCAGGGCGGGACCCTAATTCCCAGGCCAGCGCGCGACTTTCCCGGCCACGGGGCTTCCGGGGTCGGGGCAGGGGAGGGTCTTCCTCCCTAGATTGAATCTGCCATCTTCTGGGCACCTCTTAGGGAACCATGAGAACCGCGCCACCCCCGGGCCCCCCAACCCGCCCCAGAAGCCCCGGCCTTTGGTCGGAGGTGAGCCGCGTAAGACCCCGCCGCCTGGGATCGACGGTCCCGGAGTCCAGCGCCTTTTTGGAGACGGGAAGGGTTGCATGGGGGTCCTGCTCCTTCGGCCTGCGTGAAGAAAGTGCGGGCCCGAATTGGCGCCTCTTCCCAAGTGCCTGGAGCTGCCCCGACTTCCCAGTGTGGGGCCCAGGCGGCGCCCGGCCTTGTTAGCCGTCCTGCTGCGAAGGCGCTCCTGGGCGTCTCTCGGCCGAAGGTGCGGAACTGCCCCAAAGAAGCGCCGAGCGTCCGTCTGGGCTCAGTTGCGCGGGTTCAAAAGTCGGCCGGTCGCTGCTGAGCCCGTGCCGGGGCCGGCGGGGTGGAGCGGGAGCCGGTGAGTGCTGGAGGGAGAGCCCCGTGGCGGACTTAGGGTTTAGCCCGGACGGAGCGCTTCCGCCTGGAGCTGTAGAGGCCCACCGCCAGCACCATCCCCAGGAGCAAGGCGGAGGCCACCACGAGGCAGGTGACCACGACCCCCGTCTGGGTGCGAGTCAGGCCCCAAATCCCGCCTCCCCCTCGGCCCGCTTCGGGGAGCTCCTCCGGGAACTCCCGCGCGATCTCTGCGCTGCCCGGCTCGCTATCCAGCGGCGGCTGCCAGCGTCCGGGCGACAGCGTTTGCGACGTCGGGTGATGCTCCGAAGGGGCCTCCTTGCGGCTCCAGACGGTTCCCCAGCCCTCCGGCAGCGCGGAGGTCCCGGGACCGAAGGTGGTGGTCTCCGGCTCCAGCAGGGACCGGCCCAACTGCCCAGGCGGCGCGGCGCAGCGAGGGTGGCGGCTTTCTCCGCCGAGGGTGGCCCTGCTCTCCCGCAGCCAGCGCCGGAGCGATCGCAGGGCGGAGTCGCAGCGCCAGGGGTTGTCGTGCAGTTGGAGGTCGCGCAGCTCCGGCAGCCCGTCGAAGATGCCAGCGGGAAGCTCCTCCAGCGAGTTGTTCTGCAGCTGAAGGGCACGCAGGCCGGGGGTCCCCTGGAAGAGGTGCGCGGGCAAGGCGGCCAGCCGGTTGCTGTGCACGGAGAGGTTGCGCAGCGAGCTCAGGCCGCGCAAGAGCTCCCCGTCCAGCGTGGCCAGCCGGTTGGAGTGCAGGGCGAGCTCCTCGAGGCCCTCCAGGCCGGCGAAGGCGGTGGGCGCCAGCGAGCCGAGACGGTTCCTGCTCAGGACCAGCACCTGTAGCGCGGTGAGGTTGGCCAGGGCGCCGCCGGGCAGCGAGGCCAGCTGGTTGTCGCCCAGCCGGAGCTCCCGCAGTTGGGGCATCGGGCCGAAGGTGCCCGGGCGCAGCTGGCGCAGGGCGTTTCCGAAGAGCGAGAGCCGCGAGAGTTCGGGCAGGCCCAACAGGAGCCCCTCGGGCAGCGCCCCCAGGAGGTTGCCGGACAGCAGCAGTTTCTGCAGCCTGTGCGGGCCGGTGAAGAGGCCGGCGGGGAGCTGGCGGAGCCGGTTCTGGTAGAGGGCCAGTTCCTGCAGCTCGCCCAGCCCGTCGAAGGCGCGCGGCGCCAGCTCGGCCAGCTGGGTCTCGTAGAGGCGCAGCACCTGCAGGCGCGCCAGCGGCGTGAAGAGGCGGGGTGGCAGGCGCACCAGCTGGTTGCGGGCCAGGTTGAGGCGGGCCAGGTTGGGCAGCTGGTCGAAGGCGCCCGGGGGCACGGCTTGCAGGCGGTTGCCGTGCAGCTGCAGCTCCTTGAGGGCGCTCAGCCCGGCGAAGTGGGCCGGCTGGATGCGGCGCAGCTGGTTCCCCGACAGCAGCAGCGCTTCCAGCCGGGCCAGCGGCCGGAAGACGTCGGGCGGCAGCTCCTGCAGCCGGTTGCTGGCCAGGCTCAGGTAGCGGAGCGCCGCCAGGGGCCGGAAGGCGCGCGGACTGAGCCGCTCCAGCAGGTTCTTCTCCATCCTCAGGGCGAGCAGCTGCGAGGCGTTGCCGAAGGCCGCGGGGCCCAGAGCGGCCAGGCGCGTGTTGACCACCTGCAGGCTCATGGCGTGGCCGGGCAGCGGCGCGGGCATCTCCGAGATCTCGGCGCCCGAGCACTCCACCTGGGCCGTCCGGGAGCAGGAGCACTCGAGGGGGCAGCCGCCGCCCGCCAGGACCGACGGCAGGAAGCTGAGGAGCAGGGCGGCGCGGAGGGCCATCTTACCTGCGGAGAAAGAGACACCGGCGTGAGACCCGACTCTGGGGCGGCCCCGCACCGAGCGGGTGCCCTCTCCTCGCCTCTCCCCTCTCATCTCCCGCCCTCCTGGCAAAGCGGCACCCGGAGCCTTCCGGAGAGGGTCGGGCGTCCGATGGGGGCGGCTTGGCCAGCGAACCGCGGGAATTTGAGCGAATTGTCCAAGCAGGTCGGGGCATCGCGCTTGCAAGCCCAGTTTCGGGCTGCCCCCCCTCCCGCCGGACGGCTACGAAATGGTAGCGAAGTGCAGGGAGAGGGTTGCCTGTGTGGTCCTGCTGCGCCCCTCCCCCACCCTAGCTCAGTTTCCGAGCACTCGGCCTCCAGCCCCCCCCCACCCCCAATGTATATTCCCCCACCTGTCTGCTCCTCACTGCGGAAGACTCCGGGCTAGTCCGGCTGGCTGAGCTGGGGAAGACGAGCGGATGTCAGGCTGGTTTGTTGAACGCGGCATGATTGGCGAAGCCTTTTGCTACCCCTGGCTTGGAGTGGGGTGGGGGGTGGAATCCATTAAGGGCAGCAACTGGACAAGATCCACGACCCTCCTTGGTGGGCAGGAGATCTCTGTCCATCAAAGCTGGAGGCCATCGCAGAGGAGAGCCAACCGAGGGTACGGATGGAGGACCGCCAGCAGCTCCTGCAGCGCTGATGCGTCCACCTTTGGGGCCCAGAACGAGATGGCAGGAGACGCTCCGTGGCCTGGAAGAACCACGGTCGGTGGCAGAGCAGGGCCAAAGACGCTCCCGTGGGCGGCGATTGCACGAACCCAAAGTTTCTGGTTATTTACTGCCCATCAGCAGAACCGAGCTGCAAAGTTCACAGTTTGGGTTCGAGACCCGTGTGCAGCATGACGAGGTGAGCTCCCGTTCTTGCCCAGTTCCAGCCCACCTCGCATAAATAGGTACCGCTTCTATGGGAAGTGTGGGAAAAAGGATCTATTGTTTTTTACCGAACTGTAAGAAGACGTGCTAGCCTGTGAAGAAATACCTTGTTTGTTTTTTAATCTCATGAGCTAACTGAAGCTTGAGAATTGTATCTAGGAAGATCTCTGCTACGCTGAAAACCCCTCCTAACCAGAATCTGCTGATATGATACTCTAGAGCAGTGGTTCTCAACCTTTTTAATGCCACGACCCCCAACCGGTCGTAAATCGAGGACTACCCAACCGGTCGTAAGTCGAGGACTACTCAACTGGTGCAGCACCTTTTGCAGAATGGGACTTTTGGTGGGCTCAGCAGGGCAGAAACAGCCTGGACAATTCCTATTGGCTTTGGAAAGCCAATAGAATTAGACTCTATTCAAGAGAGTCTATTCTATTGGCTTTCAACAGCCAATAGAATAAAAGGGAGCAGCACAACCAAGGAAAAGGGGGGGGAAATGGTGGACTGCGTTGTTTGGCGACCCCCGTGAAATGGTCGTTCGACCCCAAATGGGGTCCTGACCCACAGGTTGAGAACCGCTGCTCTAGAGACATGGGAAAAAAGCCATGTGTCTGGGGGAGAAGGGGGGCATATTTGGCGACAGAGGCTGGATGGGTATCCAGGTATCCATCAGGGAGGTCATAGAAAAATACAAAAAAAGATGTTGAGACTTTGGAAAAAGTGCAAAGAAGAGCAACTGTTTAAAGGCCTGGAGACTAAACCATATGAAGAACGGCTGCAGGAATTGGCTTTGGCCAGTCTAGAGAAAAGAAGCACTAGGGGGGGACATGATAGCAGTCTTTCAGTATTTGAGAGGCTGCCACAAAGAGAAGGGAGTCAATCTATTCTCCAAAGCACCAGAGGGCAGGATGGAAACTGATCAAAGAGAGAAGCAACTTGGAATTAAGGAGAAAGTTCTTAACAGTGAGGACAATTAACCAGTGGAACAACTTGCCTCCAGAAGTTGTAGGTGCTTCATCACTGAAGGTGTTTAAGAAAAGTCTGCACAGCTGTCTATCTGAAATGGGATGGGGTCTCCTACTTGAGCAGGGGGTTGGACCAGATCTAGACCAGCCCTGCTGAAGGGAGGGGCTCCTGAATTTTGGGCAAAGGAGGGGGGGGCTTTTCTCTCTGGGAGACGGTCCATCTCTGCGGCCCCCTTAAGTCACTCCAGGCTGCTTGGCCGAAACTTATCGGACAGCAGCTCTCCTCGCCCTGCGTTGCGCGGCTCTGGCGGGAGAACCGGGATGGAGGGCCCGCTGCGGGACCCTGGCCGTTGCTGCCGGGAGTCGCCGGCTGCCTCGTCCCGGACCGCAGAGCAGGGGAGGGGGCGACGGAGACAGAAGACCACCTCTCAGAGGTCTTTCCCTCGCCGGGGGCCGCGCCTTCCTTCCCCGCCCGCCAACAGTCGCCTCCGCCTGGAAACTCTGAGCGAGGCCTTTGCGGCCACCATAATTACATCCCATCAGGCCGAACTTGGACTAGCGTCTAGACCGGGGAGGGGGGCAAGCGGACGGGGGAGGCATCGGAGCAGCCCCGCCCCCCCGCGCGCACGCACACACACACACACACACACACACACACACACACCCCGCGGGAGCGCATTCGCCACCGGGAGCGCATTCGCCACCGGTGAGTCATGGGAACTGCTGAGCGCAGAGCCAGCCCGCAAGAGCAGCAGAGCCCCCGGGGCGGCGTGTGGTGCAGACGCTCGGCTCGCGATGTCCGGTCGGCCCGGCAGGAGGGAGAGGCGTCACCCCGCCTGGACCCGCCCAGCCGCTCCGTCGCGTTCGCCTGCAACGCTCCAGGGTCGCAGTCCTTTGGCTTTATCAGGTTCCCGAATTCGCTCGCTCTCCGGGTACGCAAACGTCTTGAGCGCGAATCGATCCCAACTAAGTTTCACACAGCAGACCCCTAATCCGAGGGAAGAGCCACCAAGGCTGCCGTTGTGCGAATCCCAGTTGCGAAGTCTGTATGAGATCAGGGAGTGTGTTGTGCGAACACAGGCCTCGCGTGTTTCTAAACATGCATAGTCCGTTCCCTGAGAGGGAGCGTTGGACCCCAATCAACCCCGCAAGCCCACTCCCGCTGTGTGTGTGTGTGTGTGCGCGCGCGCGCGCGTGTGTTTGTGCGTGCGGAATCGAGTGGCGGGGAGAAGCTTCCCCATCTGGGAACTGCTCTCTGGGAAGCGGAGGTCGGCTCCGAGGGTTTCCAGGCCGCCCACCCACCCGCGGCCGCGCTCTCGAGAGCATCCCTCTGGGAGGGATCCCGCGCTGCCCCTCCCGCTCCGCCCCGCCCGCTCCGGACATGCGCGCATCCTCCAAAGCAGAACTTTTTGCCTGCGGCGGCAGCTGGACCAGATCAGCCCCCCGCCGGCTCCCCGAGGAAGGAATCTGGCCACGCCGCAGCCTCGCCCCGGCCATATGGAAGCAGTTCGCGGCGCGGGACGAGCTCTTCTCCGGCGCAGCTCCTGCGCGGCGTCCACGCCCCCCCCCCCGCACTTCAGAAGCGCTTCGGAAAGGCGTCGCTCCGAGGAGCGCTTTGGGGGGGGGTCTCGTTTACAGAAGGAATTTAGTATCTCCCTCCCACGCCCACTCCCCGACTCGGGGCGGGAGGGGGCTCCGATCACTTGTGTTGTCTTTGTTTGAGCCGCGTCCTCCGTTTGGCGTCTGGCTTGCAGTCTCACGGTTCGGTTCCCCGCGAGCGGCGAAGGGAAGGGAAAGGCGAAAGGAAGAACCCCCCACGTCCCGTCCCGTCCCGCCGCCAGCCCTGGGAACAGGCCGCCTTCGCCGCAGAGGCACCGGGAGGCACTTACCGAGGAAAGAGCGAGGAAAGGCGGCGGCGCCGTGCCTAGGACTGCCGCGCTTTGGCTCCGTTGCCACCCTCCGCCTTCCTCCGCCCTCTATTTAAAGCACCAGTGAGGCGAAGCGTCACAGGTTGCTGCAACCGAGCAAGGAGCGGGAGGAGCGGAGAAAGAGACCCGCCCGAGAGCCAGCCTCCCTCCCTCCCTCTGGGGTCTCTTAAAGTGCTGACCTGGGACTTGGATTCACACGACCGGAGGTAAGGAAGGAAGGGAAGCTGCAGCGATGACTCACGCTGTGCACCAGGGTCGGAGGGAATGTAGGCAGCCCAAGTAGGGAGAGTGCCTGCCTGCCTGCCAATTTAGTTCCTCCTAAAGTAATAGGTCTCCTTAGAGATCATCTAGCTCTAGTCTGATGCTCTGCTCTGTGAAGATGTCAACCTTTCATGCAGCTGCAGCTGCTTCCTCTTTCCCTGGCTGCAGCTCCAGCAGTGGAGGTTATTCTCCTGGCCCTCCTTCCTTGCAGTTTTAACCCTGTGGGCCTTTCCAGCATTCACAGGAGAGGACAAGGAAGCTGGAAGCAACAGGCATCACCTGGACAATGAAAGGACCGATTTTCTAGGTTTGCATCCTGCAGTGGCTGAGCCAGAGGGCTTGGTTCACACATGCTGTTATCCAAAGTTAATACTAACCAAGGATAGCATTATAGAAAGGCAATACGGGAATGTAGGATAGACAACATGCCACCAGATGGATTTGTAACTGGCTGACAAACTGTATGCAACCAGTCATTCTTAATGGTACTACATGTACATGGAGGGAAGTAAGTAGTGGGGTGTCACAGTGTCCGATACTCTTCAATATCTTCATCAATGACTTATTGTAGGTGAGGGAACAGAGGGGGAGCTGATCAAATTTGCAGATGATACTAAGGAATAGCCAACACCCCAGAAGACAAGCTCAGGATCCAAAAAGATCTTAACAGACTTGAACAACGGCCCCTATCCAACAACATGAAATTGAATGTGGTGAAAAGCAAGGTTTTTAACTAGGCATGAAAAACCAAGGGTGTGTATGAGTACAGATTAGGCAAAACCTGGCTCAAAAACAGCAACAGTGAGAGGGACCTTGGAGTCCTAGTGGACTATGAGCCAGCCATGTGCAGCAGCAGCCCAAAAAGCTAATACAATCCGTGGTTGCATAAACAGAGGCATAGAACCAAAATCACAAGAAATATTAGCCTTAGTAAGGCCTGTTTCTGGACCCTTTGCAAGTGAGGATCCTGCTGAATGTCTGGGGGAGCTGCGTCCTGTGGGAAGGAGACTTCCTTTGGAGACCCCTTTTCCTGGGGGCTCTGCTGACTGGCCTGCCAGAGCCCCTCCCTAAGAAAGCCAATTCTCTTCTGCCCATCTTGGCCCCCTCCCCTCCCGGAGAATTTCCCTGGAATCCATGCTCTGGTTCCACCTGGCTGAAGGCCCAGCTGGCCCCCTCTGTCCCGGTGCTCTGCTCTGCAGATAGTCTCCCCCCCCCCAGGAAGAGGAGGGGCGCCTCCAGACACTCCAGTGTGGAAGTGTCCCCCAAGCAGAGCTTCTCTCTGCCCCACGGAAGGCAGCATCCCTTGGGGTGCCCAGGCATGCTAGAGCCACCTGGGGTGGGGGTGGGGGCGGCCAGTCCTGAAGGGGAGCCCGCAAAGAGGCAGCAGGAGGAGGCGTCTTCATGGGCGCCGTCGGGCCCTTCCCGGCTTCTCCGGCCGCCTTCCAGAGGAGAGGCTGCAGGCGGCTTGCAGCGTCAGCGTTTCCTCGGAGGCTCCTCCAGCCCTCCGAAAATGAGTCCACGGCAGCTTCCTGACCAAACTCCTGGGATCAGCAGTTCCCGTGTCGGAGCCTGCCGTGGGGGAGTCGGGGGAGGCTAACAGCGTCCCAGGACTTGCTCAAAATCTGGCAGCCCCCGACGGCTCCTGGAAACGGCGTCCAAGCCCGACTCGTCACTTGCAGCCAATAGCGCTCAAATGGCCCTGCGGTCATCGGCCGTCTTCAGCCAAATCCACACGCAGCCAGTCAAAATCAACACCATAAAGCCAGAGATGAAAGCAGCATTGACTTGACACAGAGCGAACAGCAACAACAGGATGTCCCAAAGAGTCCAAAATTCCTTTAAATGAGAACAAAGCAACAGGATTTAAAAAATCCGAGAGAAGGGAAGGGATCTTGTGTGACTCCCAGGTGTGGCAGAGTCCCCCAATTACTCTTCTTTGGGACGGTTTTCTGGGGGGACCGAAGGCAAAAGAACCCCTCCCACGGGCACAGCCCCCAAAGGGCATTTTGGACGCCGTCTAGAAGCGACCTCTTCCCGGTTTCCGTAAAGTGGCCAGGTCAGCTGGGCCGGCGCCACGGCCTCCCCAGCAAAACCAACCGTGTTATTTGAAGGCTGTGCTGGGCAGCCGGTTGATCTGCGTCTGACAGTGCCAGCCTGGCCGGTGCCCGACGCTCCCAGTCCGGAGCTGGAGCCAGGTTTTCAGCAGACTCCCCATGGGCAGGGCCAGCGGCAGGAGCCAGACGGGGCCACTGAGGTGGGCTCTGTCCGAGGGCAGGGAGAGGGCCGCCCTGTGGATGAGGAGGAACCCTCTGCCTCTCCTCTGGAAAGTGTTGAGGGCTGGATCTTCTGCCACACCGCGCGCGCACGCGCACACACACACTCGCACGCATGGCTCTCGCTGTCTGATCTCCCTGAGGAGCCCCCAAGGGGTCTCTAGCACATTCATCTCTGGAGTGGCAAAGCCCCAGGCGGAAAGGGGGCTTTCCTGCCAGGGGAGAAGAACAGGAGCAGCTCCCCCCCCTTTGGGGGTCCTGCAGGCTCCCCCTGGCTGGGACAGATGCTGCTCGGCACCCTCCCCCCCTCAGGGAGAAGCAGCATCCTGGGCCATGTGTTCCCTGGCAGGGAAACTGTTGCGGTTGGGCCGCTGCTGTTCGATCCTCCTCCACTGGCTTCCTCCCGGAGCGGGCGCTGCTGCTGCTGCTTCTGCTGCTGCTGCTGTGGCCTGGAGCATCTCCCTCCTCCCCCTTCCTGCCCCTCAGCTAGCCCCCACAGGGAGCCCTTCCAGGCAGGGATCCTTCTGGAAGCTCCACGTCACCACTGCCTCCCTCCGATTTCCAGGCCCCTCTGCCGTCGACACCACCGGGAAGGCGCCTGTCCACATCACCAAGCTGGACTCCTCTTCAAACCAAACCGGCTGCAGAAGGGCTCTCCTGACTTGGCAGGGGCTGGGGTGGGAGGCTGGTTTTTGCCTCTGGCTTGGCTACCCTTTCTGCCATTGCCAGCTGGGGGCATCAGGGAGGGTCTCTATTGGACTCTGTCACTCTAGGCCGGTTAGAGCCCCCCACCTCATCCCACTGGGCATCTCCGAGTGGAAATAAACACAGCCATGCATGCACAGCCTCCCCAAAATAGTAACCTCCGAAACTGGAGACAGGAAATAAGGAAATCACACTGAGGCCCCAGCCAGACAGCTGTATTAAACAGACTCCACCCCAAACATCTGAGTCCTGCCATCCAGCCACAGACTTGTAGTTCTTCATCTTTCCTGTTAAATATGAAGCCCATCCTAGTATATAACTGTATATAACATACATAATTATATAATCCTCTATAACTTTGAATTCCCATCCATTCTCCTTGTTGCCTCATATAATCTCTCCAATATTTGCTGCAGATTTTCTGACTTCTCAGCCAAACGGAAAGATCTGCATATGAAAGTACATTCACTTACCAACCAATATCCCCATCAATCAATCAATCAGAATAGAGCTGGAAGGGACCTTGGAGGTCTCCTAGACCAACCTCCTGCTCAAGCAGGAGACCCTATTCCGGATGAATGGCTGTCCAGTCTCTTAAAAACATTGAGTGATGAAGCCCCCACAACATCTGAAGCAAGTTCTGTTCCTTTGGTTGAGTGTCCTCACTGTGAGGAAGTTTCTCCTTAATTCCAGGTTGCATCTCTCCTTGATGAGTTTCCAACCATTGTTTCTTGTCCTGTCTTCTGGTGCTTGTTGATTCCCTCTTCTTTACAGCAGCCCCTCAAATACTGGAAGATTGCTATCATGTCACACCCGTCCTTCTTTTCTCTAGACTGGCCGTACCCAATTCCTGCAACCGTTCGTGGTATATTTTTATCTCCAGCCCCTTAATCATCTTACCAGTAGTTACTCTTCTTTGCACTTTTTCCAACTCTCAGCATCTTTTTTCTAATGTGGTGGCCAAAACTGAATGCAGTATTTCAGGGATGGTCTTACTAAAGGCTTATAAAGTGGTACTACTACTACTACTACTACTACTACTACTACTACTACTACTACTACTACTACTAATAATAATAATAATAATAATAATAATAAAGTTGGAAGAGATCTTGGAGGTCATCAAGTCCAATCCCCTGCTCAGGCAGGTAACCCTATACCATTTCGGACAAATGTTTGTCCAGTCTCTTCTTAAAAACTTCCAGTGTTGGAGCATTCACCACTTCTGGAGGCAGGTTGTTCCACTGGTTATTGTTCTGTCAGGAAGTTTCTCCTTAGTTCACAAGTTGCTTCTCTCCTTGATCAGTTTCCATCTGTTGCTTCTTATCCTGCCTTCAGGCACCTCGGAGAATAGCTTGACTCCCTCTTCTTTATGGCAGCCCCTGAGATATTGGAACACTGCTATCATGTCCCCCCTTGTCCTTCTTTTTGTTAAACTAAATATATCCAATTCCAGCAACCGTTCCTTATATGTTTTAGCCTCCAGTCCCTTAATCATCTTTGTTGCTCTTCTCTGTACTCTTTCTAGAGTCTCAGCATCTTTTTCACATCGTGGTGACCAAAACTGGATGCAGTATTCCAAGTGTGGCCTTACTAAGGTCTTGTAAAATGGTATTAATACTTCACGTGATCTTGATTCTATCCCTCTGTTAATGCAGCCCAGCACTGTGTTGGCTTTTTTGGCTGCTACAGCACACGGCTGGCTCATATTTAGGTGATTGTCTACTAGGACTCTGAGATCCCTCTCACAGTTACTACTATTGAGCATGGTGCCACCTATGCTGTACTTGTGCATTTGGTTTTTCTTGCCTAAATGTAGAACTTTGCTTTTTTCACCATTGAATTTCATTTTGTTAGGTAGCGCCCAGTGTTCAAGTCTGTCCAGATCCTCCTGTATCCTAAGCCTGTCTTCTGGAGCGTTGGCTATTCCTGCCAGCTTGGTGTCGTCTGCAAATTTGATGAGTTCCCCATCTATCCCTTCATCCAAATCGTTGATGAAGATGTTGAAGAGTACTGGGCCCAGAACAGAGCCCTGGGGCACCCCACTACACACTTCCCTCCATGTAGATGCAGTTCCATTGAGGACCACACATGTGATTTTGATTATGCCTCTGTTTATACAACACAGGATTGTATTAGCTTTTTTGGTTGCTGCTGCACACGGCTGGCTCACGGTCAAGAGATCGTCCACTAGGACTTCAAGGTCCCTCTCCCAGTTACTGTTTTTTGAGCCAGGTTTCGCCTAATCTGCACTCGTATGTTTGGTTTTTCCTGCCTAGGTGTAAAACCTTGCTTTTCTGCACATTAAATTTCATTTTGTTGGATAGTGCCAATTGTTCATCTGTCAAGATCTTTTTGGATGCTGAGCTTGTCTTCTGGGCTGTTGGCTATTCCTGCCAGCTTAGTGTCATCTGCAAATTTGATGAGTTCCCCTTCTATTCCATCATCTAAGTCATTAATGAAGATATTGAAAAGTACTAGGCCTAAGACAGAACCCTGTGGTACCCCACTGCTTATTTCCCTCCATGTAGACGTAGTTACTCGTTGAGTACAGTTTGTCAACCAGTTACTAATCCATCTGGTGGTGATTCTGTCTGTCTAATATTTTTCTAGTTTACAAAAAAGTAATTCGTGGTCTACTTTGTCAAATGCCTTGCTGAAGTCTAAATATACTATGTCCACAGCATTTCGCTGGTCTACTAATTTAGTTACTTGGTCAAAGAATGAAATAAGATTGATTTGGCATGATCTATTTTTAGCAAACCTGTGCTGGCTGCTAGTTATAACTTTATTTATTTCTAGATGTTCACAGATCTGTGTTTTAGATTATTTTTTCTAGTATCTTCCCAGGTATTTATGTTAGACTGATTGGTCTGTAGTTTCCTGTCTGTTTTTTTTTCCTTTTTTGAAGATGGGAACCGTATCAGCCCTTTCCCAATCCTCGGGTACTTCCCCAGTGCTTCATTCTCTTGCTTATTTTAATTTTTATTTCTAGTCTGTCTTTTAAAGTTATGTTTTTAGTAGGTTGGGCTATAGTTTCTTTTTTGCATGAAGACTGATGCAAAGAATGAGTTAAGCAGCTCTGCTTTCTCTCTACTGCCTGTTACTTCCTTTCCATCTTCTCCCTTTAGTGGACTGTTTCCTTGATTTTTTTCTTGTTATTTTTATGTTAAAAGAAACTTTTAAAAAATTATCTTTGACTTTTGTTGCAAGTCTTAGTTGCTTTCCTGACTTCATCTTTGCAGATTCGGACTATCCGCTGATATACTGCCTTAGGTATGTGTCCTTCTTTCCACTTTTTGTACTTGTCCTTTTTGTCTTTCAGTTTATCAGAGATCTTTGTGCAACCATGCTGGTTTCTTCTTAGATTTCTTGTTTTTTTTCTTTCTTTTTCAGTGGTATTGTGCTGGACTGAGCTTTTGTGATCATATTTTTCAGTGTTTCTCATGCTTCTTGAGTTGTTTTCCCCTTTAGGATTTTTATCCATGGAATTTTTCTTAGGCTCTTTCCGTTTGTTAAAATCAGCTCTTTTGAAGTTTAAGACACTGGTTGGATTATATTCTGTTGCTTGTGTTTGCATTATATTGAATTCCAGTATGTTGTGGTCACTCTTGCCCAAAGCTCTGGCAACTACTTCAACTCCCTCTATCACGTCTTCTCTATTAGTAAGAATTAGATCCAGTATACCTTTTCCTCTAGTTCTCTCCTCCACGAGTTTCCTCACAACTTTTTAAATGACGGTCCAGATTTGGCTGGATTCTGCAGAGTTAGACTAGTCTACTTCTCCCAGTCCTTTATCCTAAACAATGCTATAAATCATGTTTTTGGACTATATGCGTTCCCCCCCCCTTCTGTCTGTGAGCGTGTGAGAGAGAGAGAGAGGTGAGAGAGAGAGTGTGCAGCCCATGGGAAGTTACCAGAGCAGGAACAGCCCTCCAGATGAGGGAACAGAGCCTGCCAGTTTGGCTCAACCCATTGATGCCTATAGAATAGGGGGGACAATTGAAGTTGACCAGATGCTGGGCAGCCCCTGGGGGAGGGCCAGGGGCTGGGGGGATACTGAAACTGACAAATTCAGCAAAACTGGCTGGCTAACAACAAATGTTTCTTCAGCCTTTTTGACTCTCTGGCTCCTGTAATGAGAAAACATAGGGCTCAAGGAAAAATTTCAGAACAGAACAGAATAACAATGTTGAAAGGGACCTTGGAGGTCCTCCAGTCCAACCCCCAGCACAAGCAGGAGACTTTATATCATTTTGATCCACAGGAAACGTTGCCCTTCCTGCCTGGGGGAATCTGCCTCAAGAGCCGCCACCCTCGACAGGCCGGGCGAGGTGGGCCTCCCTCGGCTTCCCTGCTGAGGCTTCAGCGCAGCTGGCCTCCTTCCCTCGCGCCCACGCGGGACCTGCTTGATTGCTGTGGGGCCCTGTGACAGGCGGCCCCGGGCCTACCTCTGGCCGGAGCGGGAGAGGTCACCGCAGTCCAGGCGAGTGGGCCTCCAGGGCCGGCCTCTCTTGGCCGCAGGGCCCCGGGACAGCCGGGGTCCTGACTTTAGCCTGCACCTCTGGCGGGCCTCTCTCCGAAGGGGCCAGAGCCGGGACTGCCAGGGCTCCTGACTGCCGTCGCCTCCTCTGCACGGGCAGCCCCGAAGCTCCCCCTCCAGGGGGGCAGCTTGTCAGAGCCTGGCAGGTTCCCCTCCTGCCCGGATTCTGCCCCTCCTTCCCCCTGCTTGCCCAGCCCCACGGTGTGTGCAGCCCTTGCAAGGTGCCAGCTGCCGGGTGCTTGGAAGCCAGAAAACCTTCCCCCAGTCGGGCCTGGCCTGCTCCATCTGAGTGAGCGAGGCCTGGACTGACCGGCCGTTCAAGGAACGGAGGGCACCTTCAGGGCAACTTTTGACCCTTACTGCTATGTATTTCCATGGCCTCGGAAATGAGCTCCCAGGAGGGCGCCTGGGAATGTGAGTGAAGGTTCCCCAGGGCAGAGGTGGAGGAGGCAGCCGACCCTGGGCCTCTGCCTCTTTTGTGTCTCCTCCTTGCCTGGCTGAATGATCCACCTGCCAGGCGACCCCCCTCGTCAGGGCTCATGGGGGGGGGCTTTATGTCGTGAGGCTGTCCCCTTCCACCGAATTTCCCTGCCATTCCTTCCGTCTGTTGCTTTTCAGGGCTGGGGGGACCCAGCCAGCCAAGAGGCAGCCATCGAAGGAACACGGTGGGGTCGGACACGGGCAGCCCAGGAAGGTGGGAAGGGCAGGCGCATCAGATTTTACAAGGCTGCTTACTACAATTACATAAAATGTTTTTATTACAACTGGGTACCATTATAAAAAACAGCAAAATAATTTTTTATGCAGAGCCATTTGTTAAATAAAAGTATTTTTCAAACATTTTAACATGAGAGGGTCTTTGCAATCACGGCCTGAGCTGCTGGTGGCAGGGAAATACATAATTTATCCAAATGTTTGCATATTTGCATACAAACTTTTTTTTAAAAAAACTGGACATTTCTGTGTCCTAAAACAATCACATCTGAACCTTTAAATCAACTTTTCCATCATATATACAAACATTTGATTTTAGAATTTAATCGTTGCAAGCTAAAAACACGAAGCCCTTTTAAGTCTGTGATGATTAAGGAAAGCGTTTGAGAATAAGATCATTTGCAGCATTAAGAATTATTCCTCACCTCGTTGTAACTACTGATATGCAGCCATTATATATACTACAGTAGATAAAATCACCCAGCGAAGGAGAATTGATTCCCCGCTGGAAAAATAAATAAAAATGAAGAAGAGTGCAAGTTCGTAAAATTGCCAGTTGAGGGAATGGGTGGTCCTTACCCACCTGAGGCGGCCGTCTTTCCAGCAGAACACGAGGACCCCAATATTGCAGAGGATTCCTGCCCCTTCCCCAGTCACTCTGGAGTCGGGGAGGGGGAGCTGCCCCATGGGTGGGCTGCCCTGTGTCGGCTGCGAGAAGCGCTGGGGGGGGGGGCACAGGCCACCTCCAGGGAGGGGGGTCTGCCCACGTGTGCAGGGCGGAAGGGTGCCTGTGTGCCATGAAACCCAGCAATCCTATAATTAGTTATTTGGGAAGAAATAAAAGCATTAATAAAAAAAATAACCCTGAGGGATGGAGGTGTGTGTGTATATATATTATTTTAAAATCTGGACACTTTAAAAAGTATAATTTAAGAGTTTCTCTTTTCTTGAGCAAGCAAATCCTTTAGAGATATGCATAAATAATAAAATATTTAATTGGCCATATATATATACAATCCTAACTTACAGATGTAGGGATAAGTCTGTCTCAAATAATTTACCAACCACTCTGAATCCAAGTTAGCAAAGTGATCTTTGTTCACCCGAATTCACAAGGAAGTGTAAGAAAATAATTATTTAAAAACACCAACTTCGGAATTTTAAGTGTCATTGGAACAGACTGAAGATGCATCACATCCCTTCCAGAGGGGAGACCCGCTTCCTTTGAGGGGTCCCTGCGTCTGCTCCCCAAAGGCCAGGTTCAACACAATATTGCTTTTAGCCCGACGACCCTGTGCAAACGCTGTGCAGGCAATCTCTACGAGTCCCCCAAACTCTGCTGACCGGCCCCCTTTTCTTTGCCTGACGGGGGGGGGATGGGGAAGAACTGGAAGGCACAGCGCCCGCTTTTCAAAACCCCAAGGAGGGTCTCCCCCCCCTCCAACTGCCGCTTCCCCGCGAGAGAGAGGCGCTCACCAGCCACAGTTCCAGGGTCAGAGGAAGGATGCGCAGCCTCACAGGTTCTTCCCTTACAACGACCACCACCAACCGCCGAAGTCAAATACTTGTGAATTTCAAATGCAGAAGGGAAAAATGCAGCAGCAGGCCATCTTCCTTCGGCCTGACCGCAGCCAGTTTCTGCAGCAGCTTTTCCTGGTTGTTGCAGCCGTCCAGCTCTTAGCACCACAGTGGAGCAGTTTCTATCTTGGCACAGCCGCCCTCTCAACCGTTTGCAGTGCAGATGGGAGAGCAGCGTTAGGCCGTGTGTTGCACAGCCCAGTGCTCGGGCCTCAGGGTAAAAAAGTTCCTGTCCAGTTGGGGTTGCTGCCCCCCCCTGTCCACCTGCTCAGGCCTTCCCCTCTCTCTTTTGGGCTGCCTGGTCACGCTCCAAGCGATGCTGTCCCAGCGGAAGGCTTCACCTCCAGCCACGGAGCCACGGCTGCTCTGAGCCAGGATTCTGCCAAGCGCTCCCACCGGTTAAAGCAGCCCTGCTCCGCTGGCAAGGGACTCCCGGATGGGGCCTGGGGGGGGAGCCCAGAGAGGTTTCCGGGGGGCAGAAGGCCACCTGCCTGCGCCTGCATAGAGCTCTTGCGGAAGGAAGACGAGGGTGGGAAGCCGCCAGCTCCTCCCGCTTCCCGGCACCGGCCCTGGGCTTCCCAAGCACCTGGAGGTCCAGATAGGGGAGGGGTCTGCCCGTGGCGAGACATTGGGGGACCAGGAGGGAGGTGCATGCACCGGCTGGCAACTAGCAGCCTGCAAACCCCCCCACAGCTCCAGCCCCTTTCCTGGAGGCCAGGGCGAGTGGCAGAGAGAGCCCTGTATAGCTAGGCAGGGAGGGGCAGATCTAGCCCACCCAGGATCGGGGGGGGGGGAGGACAGAGGGAGCAATCCTCCCCCCCCCCCCGAGACCTGCCAGAGTTCCCCCCCCCGTTTCCGAAGGGGCCGAATGCCTGTTTCCGTGCATAGTTTCAGAGGGAGAAGCACTTTGGCCCGTTGGCCAAGGCAGCTGGTCCTTTGCGGGAGGCCGAGACCGTCCCAGGCAGCGAGAGAGAGAGAGAGAGAGAGAGAGAGAGAGAGAGAGAGAGAGAGAGAGAGAGAGAGAGAGAGAGAGAGAGAGAGAGAGAGATGTCCTGCCAGGCACTCAGCCCAGGCGGCTGGGGGGAGGAAGACGGGCATCGGCAGGGAGGGAGGGAGGGGGGGAGCCCGGCCAGCCGTCCATCCGGTCAGCAGCAGAGAGGCCAGGCCGTGGGCAGTCCCAGCTTGCGCCAGGGGGGGCCCTCTGCTACGTCATGGTGACCACTTGGCAGGAGCCGTTCCGGCAGGAGGAGCCGGGGGCCTCGGTGGTGGTGCGGCCCTTGGGCGGCCACTCCGGGTCCACCAGCAGCTCCTGGGCCAGGTGCATGTAGCGGGCCTTGGGCGGCCTCTTCTTCAGGCCCAGCAGCCCCGGCAGGGAGCATCCACAGCAGCGGTCCAGCCCCTCCTGGAAGGAGAGAGAGGGTGGGAAGCTGGGCCGACCTCCGGCTCCTCCCTCAGGGTGCACAGGGGAGGCTTCCCAAGGCCCGAACCTCGGATCCGCCCCGCCTAACTCCCCCCACCCCTTCCCCAGGGTGCCCTAATTCAGCTGCAGACCAAGGGAGCCCCGTCCCCTGCCTACAGGGGGGCCAAGGTGTGTGTGTGTGTGTGTGTGCTGTCCTGAAGCCTAAGTGCCAGTCCTCTAAGCTGAAGACCCAGAGCCCGCCTCCCCTCGCCCACTGCCCACGTTCTCTATCCCCCCCCCCGGAGCTTCTGGGTGGGGAGGTGGGGGTCTGCAGCAAAGCCAAGACCCTCCTGCCCTGCCCTGCCCTCCCTATCAGACCACCTGCTCTCCGCCAAGCGCCCCACAGGCGAGCCCCAGCTCTTCCCCGCCCCCACCAACCGCCTTCGAAGGGGAGCCGCTGCATGCTTGACGAGGGGGGAAACGTGCACAGTTCCAACCTGAGACGGGTGGGGGGAGGAAGAGGAGGAGGAGGAGGAGGAGGAAGAGGAGGAAGCCAGGCGGTCCTCCCCCGGCTTGTCTCGACTGAAGAGAACCTTCCAAAGGACCGTGTCAAGGAGAAAGTTCTGTGGTTTGATTCAAGAAGCAGGGAGAATCGAGAAGGCACAATCAGGAGGGCCGGAGCGAAGTCAGCCAGAGAAGGACAGCTGGGGAGGGGCCTCCCAGGGAGGAGGCGGAGCAGGAGGAGGGGGGAGGGGGCTGGCAGAGAGGCGCATGCAGAGGGCAACCCTTCCTGCCCAGCACCTGGATTGAGGGTCCCTTCCTCCCCTGATGCCAGGGGGGCCTCGGGACCACCTGAGCTCAGCTACCAGCTAGTGTCAACTACCGCAAGGCCCGAAGAGGCTCGCCTGCTTATGAGAGGAGAACCCCACCCCCTTCCGGAGGGTCTGGCAGGGCTTCCGGAGACTCGGGCACTGCCCACTCGGCCCCCACCTCGAAGCCCAGAAGGCACCTTCTGTGGCCGGCAGAAAGAGCGGCTCCCCACTGCTCACCTCCACCCGTATGGACACCACGGCGTTGGCGATGACGATGAGGAGAACCGTGACCCGCCAGGTGTAAGGCACGCAGACCAGCTGTGGAGCAACAACACGCTCAGCTGATGGGGGAGGGGCTGGGTGGAAGCCCCTCCTCCAGGAGCCCCCAGGGGCCACCCTGGGACCGGGCAGAAGTTCACCCAGGTGTCTCCACCAGCCTTGGGGGGTCTCCAACCAGCCCTCCTTGCCTGGCCTCTTCCCCAGATGGGTGCCGGCCCTAGAGCCCAAGTGGCCACTGCTGCAGGGCCACCCCAAGGAGGGCTCAGCTGCTGGGGAGGGGGTTGATGCAGCGGCTGGGGGCCAGGCCCCCCTCCTACCTCCAAGAAGGATTCAATGGCTGCCACTGGGTGCAGCAGGATGGTCAGAGCAAAGGCGTAAAGGGCGACCACAGAGATCACGAACAGATCTGGGGAGGAAAGAGGGGTCAGCTGCCTCCACTGCAGAAAGAAAACTGCTCCCGGGACCCCTGCCTGACCCCCCCCTCCCCCCAGGGCCGGACTTGGTGCCTTTTGGACATCAGTGGTTCCCTTTGGCATGACCCCAAGACCTCCCCCTCACCAGTCTTTGCTCAGCTGTGTGTGTGTGTGTGTGTGTGTGTCTGTGTGTGTGCATGCGTGTGTGTGTGTGTGTCTGTGTGAGCCTTTGCAAGGCTTCCGGCCTCCCCCAAGCCAAGCGCCCCCCCCATCCCGGCTGGGCCACGTACAGTTCCTGTAGCAAGGCTGGCGGAAGGGCCGGCCCTTGGAGAAGACCACGGCCACGATGAGGTACTGGAAGCAGGAGACGAAGAAGAGGGTGGTGTTCTCGTAGTTCCGGATGTTGTGCTCGTCGTCATTGGAGACGTTGGCCGGCTGGGAACTGTTGGCCGCGGCCGAGAAGTTGCAGGCGCTGGAAGGCAAGCGGAAGGGAGGATTGGCCACGCAGGAGAGGCCGGGCTCTGCCACGCCCCGGACGGCAGGGTCTCTGGGCTCACCAGCCTCTCCGGCCTAAACAAGCCTTTGGGAAAAACTAAAATGCCCCCCCCCCCCACACACACACGCCCCCTTGCTGGGCTTTCTGCAGGCAAACCAGGGAAGCATCATCTTCATTGGGGGGGGAGGAAAACAGACCCAACCCTCCCCCCTCTCCTGCCAGCCACCCAAAGGCCCTTCAGCCGCAGCCAATCTGGCCACTTTTTCTCTTGCCCCCCCCCCACCTTCTATGTCCCCCTCACCCCCCCCCCGAGACCAAAGGGAACCCCGCAGCTCCCCAGAATCTGGTCTGCTTCCACGCTGGGCCTTCTGCTCGGTCCCAGCCCACCTGCAGGGTCCCCAAGGCCCCCGCCCTGAGCAGCCTCCCCTCTCGCACGGCAGGCAGCGCAGGCGCCCCGAGTCCCCACTCTTGGCTCCAGAGCCTGGGCTGGGCAAGGTCCGCCAAGGGGAAAGGGAGCCTGACCTTCCAGGACTGGCTGGGCTGGGAGCAGAAACTCCAGAGAGGATCTGGGCTCCCATCGGAGGCAGAGAGCGGCTGGGCGGAGGCAGCCCTGAATGAGAAGTCGCTGAACTCGAATGAAGCGCCTCAGGCCACCTCAGCGGGTCTCAGCAAAGAATTCATTACGACTGCCAACTGACCGGGCAATCCTCTCACATGTGACCTGCCCAGCCGACCGACCGACCTTCCCTTCCCGTCTCACCCCAATTCACGGGCTGCACCCGGCCGGCTTCCAGGGAACAAGGTGCAGCTCGCGAAAGCTTCTGCCTCGTAATGAAATTGGTTAGAAAAGGGATGTTAGACTCCTTATTTTTGCAAATAATATTTTTTTTGCGAATTTTGCAAATAATTAGGAACACTTGGGACGAAAGGACAATACGATGGATGAACAAAAGAAGAAAATATCATTTAATATAATAAATATCATTTAGCCACACCACGGCAACTGGTGTGTTGAGCTGCAGATTGTGAAAATGGTCTCTGCCTTTGGAGAAAACAAATTAGGCGGAAAAGCTGCTCCTGATTTTTTTGCCACCTCAGAACCAGCACAGCCTCTTCCGGCCACAGGCCCAGCCTTCCTCTGGAGGGAGAGGGTGAGACTGGCAGGGACCCTTCTCTCTTCTCTGGGGAAGGGGAGGGGGGAGAAGCCCACTGGGGGGGAGGAGGAGGACTGGTTGCTCTTGAACCAGCAGCCGCCCGCCCGCCCACCTGCCTCCTGCTGCTGCTGTTGTTGTCCCACCTGGAATGCCTCTCCTCCCCCCCCCGCCCTGCATCGGTCTGTAGCTGGACCTGCAGACACGCGGGAGAGCGCTTGGTGGCAAAGCCCCCATCCTACCTAGCGACAGCCTTTTAGGGGCGAGGAAGGAGCGTGGGCTCCCAGGCTTTTCAGCCCTCTTGCAGAGCAGCATCCCTCCCTACATCTCTGGGCAGAGGGCCAGAAGGCCGGCCTTCTCTGGAGTCGGGGAAGGGAGAAAACGAACATTTCCCCTGGCACGGAGGGGGTGCGGGCCAGGTGTCTGCTGGGCCGAACAGCAGCACCTCAGGCACCGGGGCTTTTCGCTCTGGAGACTCCGCTGGAGACAAGGTGAAAGCCGTTCTGCTGGATCGGGTCAAGGCCGGCCTTAGCCGAAAAACATTGTTTTTCCCGGGGGTCCAACCAGGCACTTCCTCTCCTCTGCACCTGGGCTGGGAGTCAGGTGCCACCAACCTGGAGGGAATGAGCCTCTCCGGGGTTTTGTCAATACTCAAAGCAGAAAAATGTTGAGAAAAGGGGAAGACCAGGCGACTGCTTGCCACCCTAGAACAGGGGTAGGCCACCTTGGCTCTTTTACGACTCGTGGACTTCAACTCCCAGAATTCCTGAGTCAGCTATGTTGAAGTCCACGAGTCATAAAAGAGCCAAGGTTGCCTACCCCTGCCCTAGAAGGTTTCGCAGCTTAGCCAGGACTGCAGAAGTCCCGTCCCTGGCCACCAGGTGAGGGCAAAACGCTCAACTTTCTATAACTCCCTGCTGCCACCTAGTGGGGGAAGGCTCAGAATGCAGATTTCCTGAATCCCAGCTCAGCAACTCAGGACCCAAGCGGTGATAAGTACAGGCATGTTAGTGCTCCGTGGCCTCTTGGCTTGCATGCTCTCTCTGTGCCAGGGCCCGGGAACAATTATCAGCTCCCGAAGTCACGGCAACTGAAATGGCTGCTGAATAGCTACGGAAGCAGCTGGGAAGGGGCTTCCCAGTAAAAGCCGGGTGAGCCTTGCTCGCCACGGCCACGATTCTCCCCGTTGACTTCAATTGTGCCGGGTGAGCATTCTGGCCACTTACTCTGAGGAGGGGGTCCAGGTCTTGTACCAGGGCTGCTGCTTGACCCACAGGAAGCCCAGGACTTGGAAGGCCAGGCAGATGAGGATCTGGGACAGGACGGAGAAGAGGAGGGCCTCCGAGATGAGGCCGGAGGGCGGCCGCTGAGCCACGAGCTCTTTCCACGCCGGGTTCAGGCTCACTGCAGGGAGAGGAGAGGCCATCAGGCCAATCTGCCCACACCACACGGCCCAAACCGCACAACGGGCAGCAAAAGCCTCGGAACCAACACAAATTATTAGGCTCTTTAAACAAGACGGGCTTAGTTCGTGTGCAACGATGTATTAGTGGGGATCGCAAAGAATGAGGTTTAGCCTGTCGGGGGGGCTTCCTCTCCTGTCCCCCTGCCCGGCAAAACTGGAGGGAGTCCTATGGCTGGGCCTGGGCCTCTCAAGGAAGCCACCAGGCCAGGAAGGGGGGGGGGGAACCAAAAGACACCCCCCCATCTGCCTGCAGGCAGGTAGGGATCCTCCCGTGGGGGAGGGGAGCACAAGTGCCAACCCAGAGGCCCCAGCCTGTCTTACTCACTGGTGAAGACCAGCACCAAAATGATGGCCAGGTCGATGAAGAGGAACTGGAAGTCTCCCAGGTTGCTCTGGACCTGCAGAAGAGAGTTTGAGCCTCCATCAGGGGGTGGCGGGGGGGGGCAGCTGCTCCCCCCGGCCGCCGCGGCCCCCCCCCCCCCCGACGCTGAGCTTCATGATCTCCCTTCACAGCCCTTCCCACCAGCCAGGCAGCTGCCAGGGAAGGCATCTGCACAGGGGCAGGGATGGAGAGGAGCCCCCTCCCCCTGGATGCCAGCAAAGGCAGCCCCTTCCCAGCTAAAGGGCGGCTGCTTCTCCCCAGACCGAGAGGGGCTTCATTTCTGAAATCTGGAGGGGACTGAAGCCGCCCGGCGGGCGAGGCCTTTGCTACCAGCCGGACTCCGGTAGGGACAGTTCTGTCCACCTGGGAAGGTCCCGTCCGCCCCGCCCACTCAGCATGAGTACAGGCAGTCCTCGACTTACGACGACGATTGAGCCCAACATTCATGTTGTTTAGTTGAGAAATTTGTTAAGTGAGTTTTGCCTTATTTAACCACTTTTCTTGCAACATTTGTTAAGGGAATCATAGCAGTCACTAAGTTAGTTACAACGGTCGTTAAGCGAATCTGGCTTCCCTGTTGACTTTGCTTGTTAGAAGGTCGCAAAAGTGGATCATGTGACCCGGGGTCACTGCGACCATCATAACCAGTGCTTTTTTTCTAAAAAGAAAAGGTGTCGGAACTCACACACGTCATACAACCTGCCTTGCCTACCCTACAAGGTTCCATCCAAAAAAGGAGCCGGAACTCCGTTCTGGGCGTTGTATGAGAAAAAAAGCCCTGGTCATAACTATGAGCCAGTTCCCAAGCGTCTGAATTCTGATCACGTGAGCATGGGGATGCTGCAACGGTCATTAAGTGTGAAAAACAGTCATCAGTCCCTTTTTTTGCTGCCGTTGTAACTTGGAACGGTCACTAAACGAAGGGTCGTAAGTGGAGGACAGCCTGTATCCCGACTCTTCCAGCCAGAAGACAGAGAGGGAGGCTTTACTCCCAAACTCCTCAGCCTCCCTCTGAAACGCCCCCCCCCCCCGACCTACGTCCTGACCTTCCCAGTCTCCCCTCTGGAGCCCTGGGCAGCCCCTGCCTCCCGCCCCAGCCGTTCTCCCAGAGAGAGAAGGGGTGTGTGTGTGTGTGTGTGTGTGACATTCTGAGTGCTTCCTCCTTCGGCCCTGAAGCCCCCAGGTTCCCCCCTTCCAGAAAGAGGACGGGCTCCGCTCTCTGCTTGCTCCCCCTGGCTCCACTTGCCGGGTTCATATCCAATTTCCTCTCCTGCCCTGTTAAACCTGCTTCGGCCCCACAGCTGATCCTGCTTCCCTGGGTGGGTCCGGAGCCCACCTTAAGCAGGGAGCGCATCGTGCAGAAGGGGCTCGCGGTTCCTAAAGCCCCCGCCACCCCCAGCATCATCAGGGCTGCCCCACGGCCCGGGGAAGGCGCCCGCCACCCGCCGAGGAGAGCCTCCCCCGAGGTAGGCAGAGACTCACAGAGTAGAGCAGAGTCACACTGAGGTACTGGATGAGGCTGTACAAAGCCATGAATTTGAACACGCAGAAGGAAGTCATGAGGGCCGCTCGGCCTTCCCTGCGGAGGCAAAGCAGCAGGCATGGAGACGGCCACCAACCCGCCCCGTCTCCAGGGTTCCTCGGGCGGGGGGAAGGGGGTCCAGAATTCCTGCTCAGCCCCATCCAGGGAGGGAGAGGCCTTGTGTGGCTGGGGAGAGCCATCCGCTGCCCGCCTGCGCACGTCTCGTGCACAAGAGAAGCACCACGACTCAAGACAGCCCAGAACTCCAAAATGCGAGGCCCATCTGGGAACCGGCTCCAGCCCTTGCAACGTGGAGGCAGAAACGGGAGGCAGGATGGGTGCTTCCCTGCACCCCCGCCCCCCCGGAACGGGAGACCCCTCCAACCCTCCCGGGAAAGGAAGCTGTGGCTGTGCCTGTCCATAATGCTCGCTTGGGCGGTGGAGCCTGGGCCTGGACACCACGTGCAGAGGGGCTTAGCCGATGGCCTTCTCCGTTCTCCCCTCCCACGCCCCACCCACCCCGTCCACTGCAGAGCCAGCCGAGGGAGGAGGCCCTCCATCTAGGCAATGCCCGAACCCTTTACCTGATCAGGTTCGGCACGCAGGAGATGCTGGCTGACCTGGAGGTGAAGGGAGAAGCGACGGAGGCTTCCAGCTCGGAGAGTGAAATCCCGCCATGGGCCCTCTTCAGAGCCTGTGGGGGGGGGGAAGAGGCCTGAGAAGGGCGCCCTTTGGCCCCCAGGAGCAGCTGGAGGGAGGGGGAGGGGGGCATACTCACACCACAGTCATTTGCTCCATCTCCGCACATCCCCACGTGGTAGCTGCAAGGGAGAGTGGAGAGGGTGAGGGTCCCCCTGCGCTCCAGAAGCTCCTTCTGCACAGTGACCACTGAGGCATGTGAGGGGGGGGCCCTCCAGAGATCCCCCAGGAGAGTTGTCCAGCAAAGGCTCCCACAAACTGCTTCCCTGGATATACTTGACCAGCCCCCTTGCATTGGCCTTCAGGGAGTCAACGAAAGCAAAAGCCCCCCCCCCATCTGCCAGGCCTGGAAAAGGTGATCCCAGATCCCAAGGGGGCCTGGGCAGAAGGGGGCATTCTTGGTGCTGGGAAAGAGGAACTATTTGCCCAGGGAACCGGGTTCAGCAGAGAGGGCAGGAGGCCATGGTTTACGCCTCTCTGCTGAAGCAGCCGACAGGGCCGGGGCAAGCCCAGTGGAGGCACCTTCTCCCTAGGAGGGCCCACTGCCACCAGATCCTTTGCCCCCAAATCATTTGCAGCTGACTGAACCCCAGGAGCTCAGGTCAGCAGGGGGGGGGACCCACAAGCCCCCCCCGAGCGAAAGACAAGAGTCCAAGGACTGGCAGGGCGGATCGGGCAGCAAAGCATGGAGGAGAAGGCTGGCAGCCGAAACCCTTTCCTGCCTCTTACGCTCTCCCCCTGCCCCGAGAGCCCCAGGGGGCAGCCGGCTCCCTCCCAGCTCCAGTCTCGGGCCTGGTGACCCTGGCAGCCCTGGTCCTGCTCAGGGCAGGGATCCTGCTTGGCCGGCTGCTGAGCAGCGAGGCTTGCCTACTCTTTGGGGGAGGGGCGGGCAAGCCCCCCCCTGAAATTTTGTACTTACTCCACGTTTTGCAGGGCCTCCACCAGTTGCGTCTTTTGGTCCGGGGCCATGCGGGCAAAAACCGTGCCGTGCAGCACAAGCTGGAAGGCAAGGGGGGAGTCGGTTCTCTCAGCATGGGGGGGGGGAGGGAGGGAAGGAAAGGTGGAAAGGAAACAGTTGCTGGGTTTTGTGTGCGTGTGTATGTGTGTGTTTGGCAATATGGGCAAAAGTTCAACACATCGTTCTTTCCATCCAGGAAATGTACCTTTAATTGTGTTTAAGCATTCTGCAGTGATTCTCAGAAGGAGGGGGCCTTTCTAGAACTGCTGCCAGCCCCCCCTCTTCCGCCCCCCCCATGGGAAAGCCTCAGAAAGGCCACAGGAGGTGCAGGCTCAGTTCTGGCTCTTTCAAGGCTGGGGAAGCCCCCCCCCCTCTGTTTGGGGGGTTTGTGAATGCAGGCAAGCGGAGGGGCCCAGAGGAGGAGGCAGGGCTGGGCCAGGGGGCTCTTGGGAAGAAGGCCCTCCCCTCCCCACAGGGCTGCACAGACCCTCCCGGGAGGCGCACGCAGCAGCACGGGCAGAGCGAGACGCCAACTCCGCTGGGCTGGGACCGACCTTGGGCACCAGGTCCTGGAAATGCTCCTGGATGACAGCGAAGGACTTCCCATTCATAGCAAAATGGAATTTGGTTTTGTGGAAGTCTTCAAAGTTCTGCTGGGCAAGTTTAATGGGAATATCCTGTAAGAAGAGAGAAAAAACAACACCCCCCCCCCTTTCAGTTTAACCACCTCTGGGCAGAACTTCCAGTAAACAGTTAAGCACAGCTGCTAAAAACAGGCCTTTCTGATCAGATACTTGAAGCAGAAAGTCAACAAAATCGGTCACTGCCGCCTAGACCTGGCAAAGGCGGGGGGGGGGGAAGCGCTGGCTCAAAATTGCTGCAGATTAAATATCTGATCTGAAATAAACCACCTCCCAATTTAGCACTCAATTAGACTTCCTATCCAAAGGAGAGCAGTTATTTATTTTATTTATTACATTTTTATGCCGCCAATCTCCCCTACTAGGTGATTCCGGGTGGCTTACAAGTTATAAAGCAAGCAACAAGTAATTAAAATATTAAAACATTAAAACCACACAGATGAAAACACTATTTAGACACAGAAGGGAGAGGGCTCGGCCAATCACGGTTCGCAGGGCGAGTCCAAGGAGGAGCCAGCTCTTGCAAAAGGAAGAAAGAGTGTGAAGGGCCAGGCCTTCCAGGCACAGACGCCCACCCACCTCACATCAGGGCAGCCCCCTCCCCTCAATAGCATTAATTACATGAAAGACCCCTCCCCTCAATAGCATTAATTACATGAAAGACCCCTCCCCTCAATAGTATTAATTACATGAAACTGCTGCCAAACGGCTGCTTTACCTATGGAGCCCTTGGAGGGCCAAAGGCTAATCGGTGTCAAATGTGTGGTGAGAAATCCACCCTGGAGGAAGCACTTAAAACCAGGGGGGGGGGGAAGAGAGCTTTTCTCCTGGGCCTTCCTTCCCCCAAGGCCACTTTTCCTCCCACGGCACCCCTTCCTCCCCAGTCAGAAGCGCAGATTGGGGGGAAGTGTGGGGGAGGGGCCCTCTCCCACCCGCTTGAAGTGGGCTTAAGAGGGGCTCCTCTCCCTGCCCTCTGGAGGCCCCCTCACCTCTGAGTTTATGGTGGGCACGGCCTCAGGATCCCTCTCGAGGGCATCTGCGTGGTGCCACTTGATCCTGGCGGGGTGCCCATCCTTGGGAGGTAGTGCTTCGGCCACAATGACCTTGTCCGGAGGTAGAATCATGCCACAGTCCCGGGCTACAGAGATGGCCGTCAGCATGTTGTCGCCTGCGAAGCGAACACAAGCACGTGTGTCCAGGGCTCAGCCGCTCCCCAGCAGCCTCGTGCCAGCGGCAGTTCACACGTACACACCAGCACACGGGAGCCAAGATGGGGATTTAGAACCGGAAGCCAAATCAGGGTTGGATCTGATTTAAGAATCTGCCCTTCTTGAGCCTGCAGGCTGTCCCCACGAGAGGAGACTGCAGAAAAGCTGGACGCCAGCGGGAAAGGAAGTCCTCCCGGCAGTGAGGAGCCCCCGGTCCACAGCAAAGCTACCCGACGGTGCTCAGCAGCTGATTCTTTTTGTATTCCGGCCTGAGAGGCCGGATCGTCTGAGCCCCCCGAGTGGGGGACGGGCTGGGCCAGGGACCCAAACCCAAGTGGGCCAGCCTCCCTGCCGCCTACGCCCTCCTTTACGGGCAAAGCCGGGGGACGGGAAAGGCCACCCCGGGCTCCGGGTGAGAGAGAAGGGGCACGCCTTAACCATGGCTGAACAAGCACCCTCACGGGCAGCCCGGGGTCGCCATCTCTTCCGGAGGAGGCCTCCCCTCGCTTAACGACGGCCACTTTAGGGAAAGCGTGAAAGGAAAGGCGGACGGCCCCTCGCACATACCTGTGACCATGACCGTGCGGATGTTGGCCTTGTGCAAGTCGTCAAGTACAGCTGGAGTTTCTGGCTTGAGTTTATTCTGCATGATAATGAGCCCCATAAAGTCCATGTTGGCCTCGATGGTGTCTCTAGGGCGGAAGAGGCAGTTCCATGAAAACCAGGGCGGGATTCGGGAAGGGATCAAGGCTGGGAAGCTGCCGCCACTCCCAAGCGCCAATTCACATGGGGATTCAAAGCCATCCCTTGGTGCTAGAGGGACTCAGGATTCGGATCCAGCACGGGCACCCATTCAGAACCTTGCCCGCTTTAGCTCTTCACTGGGCTGCCTCTGGTGCCGGTAGCCACCTGGGCCAGAGTCTGGGGGCAATGAGGAAATACCCCACCCAGACGTGGCAGGCAGGGGGGTCAGGAGGAGCTGCCGGAGCGGCAGGGAGGGGGGCGGCAAAGGCTCCTCCCTGCCAAGGGACGGGGCAGCCTCAGGCAGACAGAAGGAAGAGCCTGCTGGGAACCCTCCTCGCCTCAGCCCTGCTCAACGGGCCCCCTGCGAGGAGGGCCGGGCAAGGATGAAGGCCGCCTATCAGAGCCAGGAGAGCTGGCCACAAGGTTTCTGAGACCAGGGACTTCTAGGAGATGCTGCTCGGGGTCAGAGGGTGTGTGTGTGTGTGTGTGTCTGTGTGTCAGCCTGGACCCTCTGAGCAGAGAAGGCTGCTTCAGGTTGGGGTCCAAGAAGAGCATTCCGACTGATCCCCGTTGTTGGACAGGATGTGGGGCGCGACCCCAAGAAAGTCTTCCGGGGGTCCATCAGCTCCCCCCCTCTCCCTCTGGGCTTGAGTGGCCACGTCGGATTGCCTGGACTAGCCCCCCCCCCCCCACAGAGGCCAGCCTCTTCCACTCACCGGGCAGCGTTCTGCACCTTGTGCCAGGTGAGCTTGGACTCCAGCTTCCTGTGAGCCAGAGCGATGACCCGGAAGCCCTGCCGGGTGAACTCCTCCAGCACCCGCTCAAAGTCGGCCGGCACTATGAAAGGGAGAGAGGCCAGCGGCTGAGGGTCACGCCAGCAGGACCCTCACCATCCTTCCCCCCCCGGGGGGGGGCGGCAGGGGAGCCGGAGGCGGGAGGGGGGGCCCTTACCAGTGGCTGGCTTGCACAGCCCCGCCACCACTTCCGGGGCCCCTTTCACGAAGGCGTCCATCTTCTTCTCGCCCAGGATCCGGGCCACCACGCACATCCGCTGCAGAGCGGAAGAGAAGGGGAACTGCCGCACGATCCCGATCTCGTAACTGGCCTGGTCAAGAAAGGGGCAGGTGAAGGGAGGCGCCCGATGACCAGCTGGCGGGCGAGGGTGGGCCCAGCCGCCCAGGGAGGGGAGGGGGGCAAGCACTCACCGGGAGCTGAAACAGTTCCTGCAAGGGAAGAAGAGAAGCGCGTTTTGGGCAGGACCGCCTGGGCCAGAATTCTCCCCAGCAGCAGAGGCAGCGCACGGGGTCGAGCCACGCGGTATCCCCCCCACCCCAAGACGTCACGGTAGGAACACTTGCCATGTGCGCGCGCACACACACACACACAGATGCCCTCAGCTGTCCCGCAGCCAGACAGATCCTCGGCTCCCGCAAGGCGGGCCCTGGGGCGGCTTCCGGAGGGCGCAGGGGCAGCCGCACCAGAGAGCGGGAAAGAAAGAGAGGCCCAGGGGACGCACCATTTCCTTGTTGTTTCCAGCATGGAAGTCTGGAAGAAGCTGCTTAGCCGGCCGGACAACCGTGGGCATGATCCGGTTGTGAAGGGCCGTTTCCTCCTCCGTTGCCTCCTCCAGCACCTGAAGGAGACGGAGCCCCCAAGACGCCCATCAGCCCAAACCCGGAGCCCAAGACGACCCGGCGCGTCCAGAGCTGTGGAGAACCTCTGCCCCCCTCCCCCCACCAGGCAGCCCATTCCCCTCCCAGAGGGGGTGTCTCCTCACCCATCCGGTGGCTTCAAACATCTTCAGATCAAGCGGATCTCCGGAGAGCTCCCCTTCGATCCTAGTGAGGGAATGGCAGGCGGCCATGCAGGCGATGAAGGGCGAGCGCACCAGGCTCTCCTTGCAGGCGCTCTCCTCGGGCAGCTGGAAGCTGAACGGAGGGCAGAGTCTGAGGAAGGCGCCCCTCTCCAGGACCCTCTGGGGCAGGGGTCTTCAAACTTGGCCCTTTTATGACTTGCGGACCTCAGCCCCCAGAATTCCTCAGCCAGCGTGCACGCTAGCTGAGGAATTCTGGGAGTTGAAGTCCACAAGTCACAAAAGGGCCACGTTTGAAGACCCCTGCTCTGGAGGCTGGAGCAGCCGTGAGGTCTGCCTTCCCTTCGGGGCAGATGGCAACCCAAACACCACCGAGAGGGGGCTGATCTGCACTGCCCGCCCCAAACCCTGGCCAGGTAGGGTGGCGAGGGGGGCCCTGGGGACTCGCCTCCCGGGGGTTGAGGAGCAGGAGGCCCAACGAGGATCTGACTGGCCTCTCTTACTTACCAGGCGCTTTCAACCCTTTGGATGCCCCAGAGGTCCAGGCCATCCTCCGTCAGGGTCCCTGTCTAGGGGGAGAGAAAAGGGCAGTGCTGGCTGTGGGGCTGAGAGGGCTGCCCCCTGGCTTCACTAAACGCTTGGCAACCTTTGGAGGCAACAGCCAGAAAGACCCGACCACAAATTGGAGACGAGCCGGGCCCCAAACCAAAGGAGACTGTCAGTGGTTGCCTCCATTGGGGGACAGAGAGAAGCCCCTGCCTTCCAGCGACTGAGACTGCATCGGATGCTGGGTGGGGTGGGGGTGCAAAGCTGAGGGAGGGGCTGCCAGAGGCCCCTTCCCCCTCCCTCCAGGATAGCCCCAAGAGGCAGGAATGGGATTACAACCCTGGAGGACGAGAGAAGGGAAGGCCGTGCCTGGGCCTCCTTTCCCTGCCAAGCCGAGCAGAGGAAGCCCCCTCCCTCCCCGACCCAAGCAGGAGCCCCTGCCTCTCCCCCCCCTTTGCTCAGCCTTCTTTCCTCTGGGGGGCATCCAAGGATGTCTGCCATGAAGGCTGTGCAGAACAAGAGGAGCCCAGGGGGGCCCTGGCTGGTGGGCCCCAGTTCAAGCTTCTCCCCTTCTTGGGCCCTGCCCCCTCAAGGAAGGGAGGGAGGCCCAGCCAGACAGGGGATCCCAGTTTCCCCCCACAACTGCCTGGGTGCAGAGAGGCCTGCTGGGCTCTGCTTCCCTCCTTCCCTCCCTCCCTCCCACCTCCCCCACCTGCCCAGATTCCCCCAGCAGGGCTGCTGGGGCTGAATTCCTTGCTGGCTCCTCAGACACCCCACCCCACCCCAATCTCCTCCCACAGTTGCTTCTTCCCCTGGCTTCTCCAAGCAAAACAAGGGAGGGATGTTCGGGCCGGAACTGAGCCCAGAGCCCTCCAAGGACGGCTTTGGGTGTGGTGTGGTATGGTGTGTGTGTGTGTCTGTGTCACTGAGCATTTCCAAAGCAAGGCTAGCTTCTTAACTGGGTGGGGAGGGGCTGCATATAGGTAGTCTTTGAACCAGTCGGTTCCCAGTTAGGATGGGCCTCCCCAGTTATAAACTGGATCCAAAGTTCCAACAACTGCCCCCCTTCGGTCACATGACTGCATTTTGGGTGCTTAGCAACCAGCCTGCATTTACAACCATTTGCAGAAGCCTGCAGTGGCTTCACCACAATTTTCAGTGGTTTTTTTTTTTGGGGGGGGGGGGCTGGAAACTCGCCTTTACTTCTGGTTTCTGGCAAAAAATGATGTGATAGATTCGTCTAAGCAGGAGTGTTCGCTTAGGGAGTACCACAAAAAAGGTCATGATCAGGCACATGCAGGTGGTGACCCGCTCAATGGCCACCCGGACTTATGACTGTATTTCTGGGCTCAATTATGGCCTGTCGAGGGTTGCCTATCCCCTGGGGGAGGGGCAGGCTGCCCCTTGGGGACAAGATTGAAGGCGAGGCCTCTGCCCAGCAGGCCCTCCAACGGGATTCAGGGGCCGAGCGACCCACTTGGCAGCTGAGGCCAGAGAGAGTGGGAGCACCTGAGCGGGGGGGGGCAGCTCTTTCAGATCCCACTCTCCCCCCCCCTTCCCTCCTTCGCTTCAGCAGGGGCCCATGGGCAGCAAAAGAGGACCAGGGGCTTCCTTCCTCCCCCCCCCAGTCCATCCAGCCCCCCCCCAGCCCGGGAGAGTGGCCAGAGGCCGGACCTTGTCAAAGCAGACGAGATTCAGCTGCCCACAGATGTTGATCCTCTGGGGGCTGATGCAGAAGATCCCGACCTTCTTCAGCCGCCGCTGCGCGTAGACGATCCCGGCCGTCATGGCAGCGGGGAGGGCTGGAGGGACCGTGATGGTGATGATGTCCAGAGACTTAATGATGATAGTGTGAGCGGAAACCTGCAAGGAGGGGCGGGCGTCAACCTCCGGCCATGCTTCCCCTTGCCAGAGCTGCTGGGAAAAGGCAGCCCCAGGGGCTGCAGGCACTTCCGGTGCCCGCCGGAGCAGCCTGCCAGGTGCGCCAGCGGCCAAGCTTGGCCCAGGAGGCGGCTCTGTGGGCAGCAGAGGCATCGCCCGTGCCAGCACCTAGCGTAAGGGCAGAGCCTGACAACCGGGCCAGCACTGGCGCTATCGGGTCTGCAAGGGGAGGGGACCCTCGCCAGCCAGACCAGAGCGCTCCCTACCTGGTGGAGGATGCTGATGACGATGGTGTAGAGGAAGCCGATGCCCGCCACGCCCACCAGGCAGAGCAGGAACAGGTAGGCCTCGCGGTAGAGCTGGAAGTCGGTGGGCTTCGGGTACAGGATGGAGCGCACCAGCTGCCCCTTTGAAGTGCTGAAACCTGCAACACCCCCCCCCCAGAGAGCGGGTCAGAAGGGAGGCCTGTCCCGCACCTCGGCCACGGCCTGGCCACAAAGCTGCCCAGGGGGCCTGGAGGCTGCCGCCCACCCAGAGGAGCCGGGGCGGGGCCCAGGCAGGCAGGGGAAGCTGGTGACCCAGGGCAGCTCCCTCCAGCGGGGGAAACAAAGTCTGCGGAAAGCTCTCCCAAAAGAGAGGATCTGAGCCTCGGCTTTCCATGGGGACGGAGGGCAGAGAAGAAAGGTCTCAAAGCACGGGACCAAGACAATCTCCAAGGAGGCAGGGAGAGTATTTAATATTTATTCAGTATTTAGTATTTATTTGTTATGTATATGTAGGAGTGTGGGTCTATACCAGGGGTAGGCAACCTTGGCTCTTTTATGACTCGTGGACTTCAACTCCCAGAATTCCTGAGCCAGCCTGGCTCAGCCTGGAAATCTCTCCCTTTCCCCCTCAGCTTGGCTGGCTCAGGAATTCTGGGAGTTGAAGTCCACGAGTCCAAGGTGGCCTACCCCTGGTCTATTCATATGTTGAATATAGTATGTTTAGGTGTGTGTCATGTATGTGTTTCACTTTGAGAGTGGGCAACTAAATTTCATTTTTGATGTGTGCCATTGTGCCCACGGTAAAAAAATGACAATAAAGGTTATCTTATCTTATCTGGAGCCATTCCTTTTTCGGGGCGGTGGGAGGGGGATGTTGTGAAGGGAAGGGAGCCTCACCAAAAGGGGGGTGGGCCAGAAGGCATGGCTGCTGCTCCTATGCCAGGACCCTCCGGAGAGGCACAGAGTGCCAGGGATGTGGCACAGGTGACTCAGATCTGGAGAGGCTGCAGTGTAAACATTCAGCCATCTCCCCAGAGGGATTCTGCCCCCCCCCCATCTAGAGAGCCCAGAGGCCGCATACAAGTCTGTGGCAGAGAAGGTCCTGACCCCAAAGAGGGCACCCAACAAGCCACTCAAAGGGGCCTTGCTGTGGGGCAAGCAGTGGATTGGCACCGAGGGAGCTGGACATCCTGGCAAAGGCTGGCAGGAATAGCCAACACTCCAGAGGACAAGCGCAAGATGCAAACAGATCTTGACTGTCCAACAAAATGAAATTTAATGTGGAGAGCAGCAAGGTTTTATACCTAGGCAGGAAAAACCAAGGTACAAGATTAAGTGAAACCTGACTCAAAAACAGTAACTGTGAGAAGGACCTTGGAGTGCTAGTGGATGATCCCTTAACCATGAGGCAGCCGTGTGCGGCAGCAGACAAAAAAGCTAACACAATCCTGGGTAGTATAAACAGAGGCATAGAATCAAGATCACGTGAAGTATTAGTACCACTTTATAAAGCTTTAGTAAGCCACACCTGGAATCCTGCATCCAGTTTTGATCACCATACTACAAAAAAGATGTTCAGACTTTGGAAAAAGTACAAAGAAGAGCAACTAAGATGATTGAAGGCCTGGAGACAAAAATATATGAAGAACAGTTGCAGGAATTTGGTATGTCTAGATTAATGAAAAGAAGAGCAGTGTTCCAGTATTTGAGGGGCTGCCACAAAGAAGGGGGAGTCAAGCTATTCTCCAAAGCACTGAAGGTAGGACAAGAATGAATGGATGGAAACCAATCGAGGAGAGAAGCAACCTGGAACTAAGGAGAAATTTCCTGACAGTGAGAACAATTAACCAGTGGAACAGCTTGCCACTAGAAGTTGTGGGTGCTCCATCACTGGAGGCTTTTAAGAAGAGCCTTGACAGCCACCTGTCTGGAATGGTACAGGGTCTCCTGCTTGAGCATGGGGTTAGACTAGAAGACCTCCAGGGTCCCTTCCAGCTGTATTCTGATTGACACTGGGGCTGTGATGGGGGAAAGAGATGGGGAAGGATCCGAAGCAGCCTTTCCCAAACACGCCCCCGAATCCAACACCTGGATCCTTTGGGCCCTCCTTTCCGCCCAGCACTGGCGTACCTGTTCTGACGACCACAGCCTTGACCAGCTCCCCAGTGTAGAAGCGGGTCTGAATGACCGTCGTGCCACAGAAGAGGGTGTGCCTCCGGTGCCCGTCTGGGTCGTACACTTCGCCCTCCAGGGCCTGCGAGTCCTTGGACGGGTTGGGCAGGTTGGTCTTGGTGACTGGGACACTCTCCCCTGGGGGAAGAATAGGCTTGCTCGCTGCCCGTGCCACCTGCGGTGTTGCGGCCCGGCTGCTGGCCCTGGCTGCAAGCGCCCCCCCACTCACCCGTCAACATGCTTTCGTTGACGATGCAGGTCCCGCTGAGAAGCACCGCATCGCAGGGCATGATCATTCCCCGGAGCGGGATCACGATGACGTCCCCGGGCACCAGGTCCGTGGACAGGACCTCTTCCATCCCTGCGGGGCAGACGAGAGGGCTGAGAGTGGGCAAAGCCCCAACCCACCACGCCTCCTCCCCACCGAGGCCGAGGGTGCAGAGAACAGCTGGCAAGGACTCTGGGTGCGGCATGAGGCTGGCAGAGGGATCCACCAGTCCTGCACACACTTGGCAGCAACGGGCAGTGGCCTCTTGGCATGTCCGCAGCAAGCCAAGGACCAAGTCCAGGGGGGCAGCTGTGAAACGCTCGCCCACCCCAGCCCCACAGCTGCTTCCACCTCAGGAGAAACCCCAAAGACGCCCCTCTCGCCCTCGCCCCTTCTGCCAGCCCGGCCCGTCCTACCGTGGTTGGCTCTGTTGACGGACACCCTGATGATGCTGTGAGCTGCCACCATGTCGTGCAGCATCGTGTATTGCTGAAGGGAGGAGAGGGGAGCGTTGCTAGCCAGACGCCCCAAGCCTGAGCGAGCCGTCCTGGCCACCCACGAGCCAAAGGGGGAGGCGGAAGGGGGAGCAGCTCCTGCTGGCTGGCCTGCCTTGGGTGGCATCCCCCCCTCTTGGAGCCACAGGGTCCCAGGGATGTGGACAAGGCCAGTGTAGCTGGAAGACCCTTTCTGAGGTACCCTGCACTCTTTCTGAACTGGCCCCCGGCTTTCTCAGAGTCCAGCCCACAAGACTCTTGTGCCTCTGGTGAAATCCCAAGCACAGCAGGGAGACCTCCCAGGAGGGGCTTCCCTATTTGGCCCAAGCAGAGCGCCCCGCCCCACGCTCTCTGGCCCAAGCCAGCCGAGGCCTCCGGGAACAGCCCCTGGAGCTGACCTGCCTAATCTCTGCTCTGCAGAATTTGCCCCTGAAGCCAACATTCAGGGATGTGCTGAGGAGCCCCTGGAAGACTCAAGAGTCTTCAGAGGAAGCCAGAACCCTGATCTGCCTTTCAAAGGATGCCCAGCCCAGCCCTGTTCAGAGATTAAAAAGCTCCCTCAGGCTTCGCCCACACCTGGCGCCCCCAGCAGGACGTGGCACCAATTCCAAGACTCCAGGCAAAATCTTGAGGCACCAGACAAATGGGGGGGGGGGAATGAAAAGACACATTCTGCAATAAATATTTAATTCTCTACTGCAGTGCACCTCCCATGGAATGGGGCTCCTCCAATGGCCCCCACCCTGCTTTGTTTAGAAGAGGTGTGAAGATTTGGCTCATCGCCCAGGCCTTTGGCAAGACTATCTGCTTCAACACGCTCGCCATCTTTTATCTTAATCGCTTATTGATTTTATTGCAATTTGTTTGCTTGATTATTGTGAGCGAACGATAATCCTTGAGGAACATCAGTGGAACAAGCCCTTCAGATTCCCTCGTCAGCTACTTCCGGGGATTCCTGAAGACCACCCAGGGGGGTCCAGCACGGTCCTTCTGTCCAGTTCTCTATGGACACCGCTGGTGATGGGGACCCAAACAGACCAGGGACAGGCAGAAACAGGTCACCACAGTCCACTTTGACCTGTACATTTTGTCTTCAGAGCTACAGGGACGCTTAAATGTCTGGGAACTCTTTTGAATTTTCAATATTTCTGCATACATATGACCTAAAATGGGCTCTTTTCACACAAGTCCTAAAACTGGATAAAGTGAATCCAAAATTAGTCAAAAACATTACACTTGTTAATCTATTTATTGAAGAAAGTGATCCCAAACTATACATATTTGTTTCTGACTCATTTATGCAGAAATGTTGAAAATTCAAAATGGTTCATAGACCTTTAAGCACCACCGCCCGGAGTGAGTGGGCAGATGAGGGCAGAATCCGGGACTCTTTCAGGCAAACCGATGCCGAGAATGGACATCCGAGCCCAGACACCTCCGTGGTTTAGGGCAGCTCAGCACAGCGCGATGGGAACACAAAGGCCACGTTACACAAAAGCACACTTAACTTGGCTAGTGACTGACTCTGTTTGCTCCAGGCACTGGATCCTAAACTCACCAAACTGGCTGGATTCCTGCGACTTTCTCAGCCCATCGGAACGGGATCAGCTAAACAAACTTCAGGAAGTCCGGCCCGCTGCACCCAGGCCAGCCAGCTTATTGCGCAAAGCAGCAGCGAAAGGGCTCAAGTCTGCCTCCCCCCCCCCGCAGGGCTTCTCACACCCACCTTTCGGATGTTGTACAGAGAGCTGGCGATGGAGATCAGAGACATGATCACAATGGCGATTGCATAGTAGTAATATTCGTCCGTGCACCATAGGATCACACTGAATAGCTGGAAAATGTAGAAAGGATTGAGGACCTGCAAGGAACGAGCGGGGGGGGGGGGGCGGAGAAAACCAGGAACCAGCATTAGATTACGACTTCCCCTTCGCCTGGTTCCCTCAATTCTGAATTCTCTACTCAGGGTTAACATTCAAAGTCCCCCCCCCCCATCTGCTAGAGCGGAAAGAGAAAGGCCCAGCACAAGGGCACCCGAGAAGCAGGAGGCCTTCTCCAAGGAGCCCCTCAAACGCCACAAGAGGCTCTGCTCACCCTTCCTCAGCTCCCAGCACTGCTGTGGAGAACCGGCCACCAGCCCAAAGCTCCTTTGGGAAAAGCTACACACACACACACACACACACACACACACACACACACACACACACCTCGCAGGCATAACACAAGGGCACTGGAAGGTTCTTGAGGTTTTTGAAGGCTGAAAGCTGAGCAACCCCGCTGCAAGTGGACAAGGAGGGGAACTCCCCTCCACATGAGGCTGAAGCTTCACATTGGGGCCAAGCTTCTGATGGGGCTAAGCCAGAGATCACCTGTGTTGGACCGGGAGCGTTTGGTCTTCCAGAACACTTAGGGAAAAGGTGCCACCGACCTCCCTTCGGATGGATGCGGGAGGCTGTCCTTTTCCCAAAGAGGCGCAGAAGAGGTTCCCTTGACTGGTCAGGCTGATTTTATTAAAAGTCACAGGGATCAGACAATACGGAACTGTTATTGAAACCGTTGCCTCAAACGTCACACGTCTCAGGAGAGCTCAATGGATTACGATAGAGGGCAGTTTTAAAAATTAACCTTTGGGGTAAGGTTAATATTCTTAAAATAAACATGTATTATTGTAGACCCAGTGTGGAATTCATACAAACTCACACACAAACATAGCTACAAAGTATTTTCCAGCATATAGTACATTTCCTAAATGGCTGTGGGGGAATTACCTTTTAAATGTATGCAGCTGTCTGTCAGAGGGGAGAATCTGGTTTTCCATATCCTGAATTAGGCCTTTGGCATATCTTATAGTACCAAATTGTGGATGAACGAACGAAGATTTGCAATAGAAATGAAGGCTAATAAAAAGTTTCTTCCAACGTATTAACAAGAAAAAAGTTAAGGAAACTGTAGGTCCATTAAAGAGAGAGGATGACAAGGAAATAACAGACAACAGGGAGAAAGCAGAGCTGTTTAATTCATTCTTTGCATCAGTCTTCACGCAAAAGAAACTACAGCCCAACATACAAAAAAAAAATCACTGCAAAAGACAAACTTGAAACAAAAATTAAAATAAGTAGGAAGATGGTAAGAGAACACCTATCCGACCTTGACAGATATAAATCACTGGGACCCGACAGATTACATTCCAGAGTTCTGAAGGAACTGACAGATGTTATCTCAGAACCATTGCACCATATCTTTCAAAAATCCTGGCGCACCCGGGAAATACCTGAGGATTGGAAAAGGGCTGATGTGGTTCCCATCTTCAAGAAAGGAAAAAAAACGGACCCAGGAAACTACAGACCAATCAGTTTAACATCAATACCTGGGAAGATCCTAGAAAAGAAAATCAAAAAACAGATCTGCGAACAATTAGAAGCAAACAAAGTCATAACTAGTAGCCAGCACAGGTTTGCTAAAAACAGATCATGCCAAACCAATCTTATCTCATTCTTTGATAAAGTGACTAAACTAGAACACCAGCCAAATGCTGTGGACGTAGTATACTTAGACTTCAATAAGGTATTTGATAAAGTAGACCACAACCTTTTCCTTGGTAAGCTAGAAAAAGGTGGGATAGGCAGCATCACCACCAGATGGATCTGTAGCTGGCTGGTAAACTGTACCCAATGAGTAATCCTCAATGACACTACATTCGCATGGAGAGAAGTAAGCAGTGGGGTACCACAAGGCTCCGTCTTAGGCCCACTACTTCATCTTCATCAATGACTTAGAATTAGATCAGTGAATTGAAAGGGAACTCATCAAATCTGCAGCTGACACTAAACTGACAGGAGTATCCAACATCTCAGAAGACAAACTCAGGATCCAAAATGATCTTGACAGACTTGAACAATGGGCCCTATCCAACAAAATGAGTTTCAATGTGGAGAAAAGCAAAGTTTTACATTTAGGCAGCAAAAAGCAAAGATACAAGTACAGATTGGGCAAGACCTGGCTCAAAAACAGAAACTGTGAGAGGGACCTTGGAGTCCTAGTGGATGATCACTTGAACATGAGCCAACAGTGTGCAGCAGCAGCCAAAAAAGCTAATACAATCCTGGGTTGTATAAACAAAGGCATAGAATAAAGATCACGCTAAGTATTAGTACCACTTTATAAAAGCCTAGTGAGGCAACACCTGGAATACTGCAGCCAATTTTGGTCACCATATCACAAAAAAGATATTGAGAGTTTGGAAAAAAATCAGAGAAGAGCAACTAAGATGATCAAAGGCCTGGAGACTAAAACATATGAAGAAGAACGGCTGCAGGACTTGGGTTTGGCGAGTCTAAAGAAAAGAAGAAATAGGGGAGACATGATAGCAGCATTGCAGTATCTGAGGGGCTGCCACAAGTTATTCTCCAAAGCACCAGAGGGCAGGACAAGAAACAATGGTTGGAAACTGACCAAAGAGAGAAGCAACCTGGAATTAAGGAGAAAGTTCCTAACAGTGAAGACAATTAACCAGTGGAACAGCTTGCCACCAAAAGTTGCAGGTGCTCCAGCAATGGAGGTTTTTAAGAAGGGACTGGTCAGTCACTTTTGTGAGATGGTCTAGGTTCTCCTGCTTGAGCAGGGGGCTGGACCAGAAGACCTCCAAGGTCCCTTCCATTTCTCTTCTTCTTCTCTTCTCTTCTTTCGCGTCTAGTCTAGTCTAATCTATTTTATTTTCTATTCCAATATCTATTCCATTCCATTCCATATTTTCTATTCTATTCTATTCCAGTATCTATTCTATTCTATTCTATTCTGTTCTATTCTATTCTGTTCTATTCTATTCTATTCCATACCATTCTATTCCATTCCATATTTTCTATTCTATTCTATTCCAGTATCTATTCTATTCCAGTATCTATTCTATTCCAGTATCTATTCTATTCCAGTATCTATTCTATTCTATTCTATTCTATTCTATTCTATTCTATTCTATTCTATTCTATTCTATTCTATTCTATTCTACTTCTATATTCTACTCCTATTCCAGTATCTATTCTATTCTAGTGGAAAGTCTTCGTTGGGCCCCTCTAAAAGCTTCATATGATGCATCCCAGTCGGTAGGACCTCTTGAGATCAAAACGAAAGACAGCTACTCCTTTCCGACCAGGGATAATAACCGGGCCTGGGAACTCCGTCCCTGAGCAGCCCGTCGTAAGAAGCAAGGTCGCAGAATCATGCCGATTTACGAAGGCAGTTGTGGCAGTTCCACGTGCCGCCGTTGGGCAAATCCTGGCCCAGTTGCAGCATCCGGCAGCTGCGTGGTCCCCACTGGGGATCTCCCACGGCTTCCCCACTACCTTTGCTTGTCAGAAGCGGATGGTGTAGGTCACCAACGGTGATCTGTGGGATGCTGCGAGGCAGAGGCTGCATGCCCAGATCAGGATCCCATGACCCTGGGGACGCTGGGAGAGCTGCCACTGCGGGGAGGGGCCGCAGCAACTTCAGGCCTTATTTCTAAGACACTGGAATTCTGGGGAGGAGGAGGAGGAGGAGAAGGGGGGGGGGCTACCGCTTGGGTGGATGGAGAAGGAAAAGGGCCATTTTTGTTTTTTTTTTCCCCTCCCCAAAGGACAAGCCTGATCTGGCTGGAAGGTTTTGCAGCCCCAGCATCCGCCAAAGCTCTCAGCCTGGAGCTCTGCGGCCTTTCCACCCTCAGAAGCTGAGCAACTATTAAAGCCTAAGTCCCTCTCTCTCATACACACACACACACACACACACACACACACACACACACAGCTGCACTTTATACATTTCTGTGGCGATGAATCGGTTGGACAGGCAAGCTTTAACGTTACAAGAATTCCAATTGTCTTCAGCCATTTCCCTGGGAAGATGCTATCATCAGTACCAAAAGTCTCAACAGAAACTACACAGCACTTCATTCAACAAAAAATTATGTATTTCGGACTTATTGGAATCCACTGTGGTTATGTAGAAAAAGTTTGAATTTAATCAACCCATGTGCTGCCTGAATGTCGTAAGGGCAGCCTTTGGTGGCTTACAGCATGCTGACAATGCAATAAGATTAATCTTTCACTTAAATGCTGCGGGTCCCAAAAGCTTTAAAACTCAATTTGAGACAAGATTTAATATCAGAGTCTTTTGAGCTATATTCTTATTGTGTGAAAATTGGCATCTGGACAAGGAAATTGGATCCTGCGTGTCCTACTTAAATATTCTCCAGCACGGGGAAGATAAATACGGGGGCCTCAGCTATTCAATAGCTGGCAGAGCTGAGGTCGTTAGCGATTTAGGACTGAATCAGTTATTGAACTAGATTAGCTCTAGATGATTGTCAAGGAAGACAGACAACCTTCACCGAAATGCCTTCGTGCATGTACTGTACATATTCTATTTTTGATTTTTAATTCAGTTTTCCTTTTTCCTTTATCATTATTTTCCTTCTCTTTTGTTTTTGTTTTAACTCATCCAATAGGAGCAGAAAGCAATCAGGCACTGCAGCAGTAATTCAAACTGTCTGGGGAATCCTGGGAGTGGAAGTAAGTCCACAGGTCTTAAACTTGCACTGGTTGGACACCCCCCTGCACTACATGCCACTGCGAAGACCTCCCCCCCCCCCGGGCGATGGCCCAGCCTGCTCCCCTCCGTCCCATTCCCTCCTCGCCTGGCCCCTTCCCATCCTAGGATCCCGGGAGGCTGAAGCTGAGCAACCGGACTCTGTTTAACAAGCGGGAATCTTTTTAGACCATGTGGCAGGTTAAAAACTAGGCAGGCCAAAGAAGGCAGCACAGATTTTGGGCCGTTCTTGTGGACAACCCAACCCTCAACCTGCGTTTTGAGATAAAGTCAACTGATCCTCACAGAAACTCACACAGGCGGCAGCAGTCTGAGACAGAGGAACTGAACGCTTGCTAGTTTCTCTCTCCCCCCCCCAACTCTTTCTCAAGGCTCAGAGGGCCAATAATAGCCGTTCCCCACGCCCCTTTCACAGCAAAAGGCTCACCTCTTTAATCAACAGTTTAAAAATGGAAGGCACTTTGACCGCAATTTCATTCAGTCCATAGAAAATCTTCCTGCATCCAAAAGAGATAAAAAGGCACATAAATTTAGCTCGCAGCTGCTGGCCGCTGCCGCCAAGAGCCACCCAGCACCAAGAGGGCCAGGCAGGAGGAGGAAGAGCCGGCGGATGGGAAGGAGAGGAAGGCAGGGAGGCCGAGGGCCCTGCAGGGGTTCCTGGGCTCCCCTGGGCCCTCTCCGGAGGGCCATGAGCGTGTGGGAGCCGTGGGGAGAGGGGTGGCCGAGGGGCAGGAGGCAGGCCAGGAGGGAGGCTGAGAGGGGAGCCCTCCGCCGAACCCCCGTGCTCCTCGCAGTGGCCCACCTGTAGTCCTGCATCTCCTTCGTCAGCCCTGTGCTGTGTTCCCGGTGGATGGAAGCGCAGGAGGTGGACTCGTCCAAACCCCTGCCGGAAAGGGAGAGGCACAGGTGGGTTAGTCAGGAGGACCCGTTCCGCTGCCGGGGCCTCTCTCTGGGCATCCATCTCTTACTTTATGGAAATGAAGTTCTGCACCGCGTCATCCCAGAAGTACTTCACGCTGTGGTGGGTGAAATAGCGCAGCTGGAAGGCAAGAAATACAGACGGCCTTGCTGCTGCTTCAGGCGGAGGAGACTCAGCAGGTGCTGCTCATAAAGGCAGACTGAGTTTGGGTGGCTGTACGCCCCACACTTCCACCTGCTGCCCTCCCTCCCTCCACCCACCCACCCACCCCCGCCTTCTCTGGGTCAGTTTACCTGCAGGAGAGGCCTTCGTTTCCCCCCCAGTGCTGTGGCCCCATCAGGGAAGCCTTCCGGAGGCTTCTCTCCTGAAAGGAGGCCTAACCGAGGCTGCTCTTGGGGAGGGCAGCCTTCTGGCCGTGCTGGGTACCTGGAGGAGCTGTGGGGCCCGGGAGAGGCCATTCAAGGCGCTGCTGCTGCCGTTCTCTTCCGAGGGAGGGAGGCAGAGAGGGGTGCTGGAGCCGTTGGCCACCTTGTCCGAGGCCAGCTCTGCCGGGGCCTGCAGGGGGTGGTGCCCCAGGGACAAGACGGTGCGGACCTTTGCGCAGAACCAGGTCTGGAATTCGTCCTTTGGAGAAAGGAAGCTTTTGAGGAGGAGTTCCTGGAATCACAGGAGACCCAACAGGTCCGGCTGCCAGCCCTTTGAGACCTGCTTGGGCCGGCTTGGCAGATCCCTCTTCCTTCCCTCAGAGCCGCCTGGCCATGCCGCACAGCAGACTCTCTCGGGCCAGGACAGGTGGGAGGGGCTCAAGAGGCCAGGCCGGAGAGCCTCTCCTGGGGTCAGCTGCCAGCGGACACATCTGGCCTGAGAAGGTCCACTGCTGGCTGGATCAGGCCAAAAGGCTAATTCTGAAGAGCTTCTGCCCTAACCCTGACCCTCTTGTCCTGCTCTTCTCCTCGGCAGCCGATTTCTCTTAATTCTCCGTCTGGGTATTTGCTAAGCCTTTCCCGAGCTTCAAATGATCCTCCTGGCCGCGTTTTCTCTCCACCACCCTCCTATCACTCGGTGCACAAGATGGCTGCCAGTTTCCAAAGCCATAAAAAGGCAACTTCTCCTTCCTCTTACCTTGAATCTCTCAGCTCTCTTGTGGCTCAAAGAGTCCTCAGCTCTTTGACTGGGCGGGAACCGCTAGCGATTGTCTTGGCACGTTGAGCATTAAGCTGTTATTAACTTACGTGGCCCCACAAACTGCATTTTGTCAACCCAGTTTTAGGTGCTAGCATGTTGTCTGAACCTAACCTCGATTTTCTTTCAGGTTTTCTGCTTTTTATTATTGTTACTGAGAAGGATGAAAGACAAGCAAGTCCAACTGCCTGGCGTTAGGAACAATTCTGGGATCCAGAGGAGCAGACGGGGGCAGCCCCAACCCACAAAGCCTTTCGAGATGCCCCCGAGGCAACCCCCACGGCCCCCCAGGCCACGGACTTACGGTGGTTCTCAGCAGGACCACTTGGCAGCGTCTCAGCGAAGCCCTTTGGCAGGTGGCCTTCACTCGCCACTCCGGCATCCAGTAGAGGAGGAGGAGGAGGAGGCCGCCCGAGCACAGCACCCCTCCGGCCACAAAGACCAGCTTCCACCGGCAAAAGTTGTACCCGTAGATTTTCTGCACAGAAAGAGAGCAGGCGGAGCGTGGCAGTTCCAGCACGGTGTCTGTGGAAGGGGGAGGGGGGCTATGCACTCCCCCCCCCGCAGTCCGGCTGTGGGTGGCTCACAGCTGATGTGGGACCAAAGGGCTTTCGTGGCCCTGGCGCAGGAGGAGTGGTCTTACTGGCCTCCCCCTCAACGCCATTTTGGGGAAAAGCATGCAGGAGACCTAAGCGGACTCCATGCCCCCCCCCCACCCACCCACCCCCAGGAATCGCCTCCACAATACTGCAAAGAGCGACCAGCTCAAAGGGGCTAAATTGAAGTGGGCCAAAGTGACAACGGGACAAAGAAGTCTACAGTGAGTCACCCAATGATGCCCCGTTTGATCCATGGGGCTGCTCCTGCCTCAGCCGAAGGGCCGCTCTGCTCCCCGCAAGGGCCTCCCAGGCTGCCCTTTGAGAGCTGCCCTTGAAGCCTGCAAGCAGACACTGCCTTTATCGGGGGGGGGGGGGGAGAGCTGGGGGGGGGAGAAGCCCTTCTGGAGCTTGCCTGAGGGGCAATTTGCCTCACAGCTTGCTGGAGGGAATAAAGTCACCTGTGGGAACCAGGCCCTCCACACCTCCCCAGGAAAGAGGAAGGAAGGAAGGAAGGAAGGAAGGAAGGAAGGAAGGAAGGAAGGAAGGAAGGAAGGAAGGAAGGAAGGAAGGAAGGAAGGAAGGAAGGGGGAAGGAAGGGGGAAGGAAGTGAAAGGGAGGGACTGCTTGAGGGTATTAGATCCTGTCTCATGATTTTCCAGGTCTAGGTAGTCTCTATGGGTATTTATCTCCCCCAAACAGCCCTGTGAGGTAGACTGGGCTAAGAGAGAGAGAGTTCCAAGTTGCCCAGGAAATTTCCAGGGCTGAGGAGGGTCTGTTGAATCCGGGTAAGACTTTGCTCTTCTGGGGTAGGATCAGAATGGCTGCAGCAAACCTTTAATCTCTGCTCAACGATTTCCTGCACTGTGTGTGTGTGTGTGTGTGTGTTGTGTTGTGTGTGTTGTTTGTGTGTGTGGTGTCCATGCCATGCAGTGGGGGGGGGAGAGGAGGCGAGGGAAAGAGATGAGGATTAAGGAACTACCAGCTCCTCCTCTTCGCCTTCCTGGAGCAGGCTTTCTTCATTCTCCATGATGCCGGATTCTCAGCTCAGTCCCAGGGAACCTAGAATGGGGAGAGAGCAGGAAAGAAGCCTTGAAAACAGCCTTTCTCATCCTTGGCCGCTCTGAGGCTTGTGGACTTCAGCTCCCAGAATTCCCCAGCCAGCTGCAGCCCAGACCTCTTAAAGGGCCAAGGTTGGGAAATGCTGTTCTTGAAGCACATTTACAAAGAGCGGCCCTGCCTTGGCTTCCCTCAAGCGTAGCACCCCAAACAGGCTCCGGGTGGGGAGTACGGGGGAAACACCGCCCCAACTCCCTCCCCCTCTCATTGCCCCTCCCCCCAGCGTCACCCATTGGGGGGGCAATAGCTTGTGGCAACAGCCTGGAAGAAATTCCTGATGTAAACTCAACTACGGAGCTCTTAAAAGCACGCAAACGTTTTGCTCCTCATCACCCTTCTGCTACAAAAGGTGGTAAACCCTTCGTTTAGTGACTGTCCAAAGTTATAACTGCAACGAAAAAAGGGGGGAAGGTGTCACTTTTTTGCAGTCAACGGGGGAGCCAGATTCACTTAACGACCGTATGTTCCACTTAACAACAGCAGCAATTCACTTGAACCACGGCCCAAAAAAGATCGCTTAGCAGCTGTCCTGCTTAGCAAGGGAAGTTCAGGTTCACTCCAGGATGAGCTGCCCATAAATCCTGGCCAACAAACAAAGGCCTCTTGAAGTCAACAGAAACCAAACCACTCAGCCACGGGAGGCAGCTCAGCCTGAAGAGTCCCACCCGGCCTCCTTGGCATTTTCTCTGCTACCCCTGACCCTTCTCTTCAACAGGCAAAGCATGGCCAGCCCCCTTTGCTGTTCTTCTCTGCACTCTTTCTGGAGCCTCAGCATCCTTTCTGTGTGTTATGCTGACCGGCAGTGGATGCAGCATTCCAGGTTCGCCCTTCCCCTGATCACCTAGCCCTTTCCCTCATCTTGGTAGGATTTCTCTAGAACTGTGTTGGCCTTTTTGGCTGCCCCTGCACACTGCTGGCTCACACTGAAGCGATTGTCCCTTGGGACTGAGGACTCACGCAATGCAAACGGGGCGGTGCTCCACCCACGTGACACTCGCTAGCATCGCCCCGTTTTTCCCACGTGGTGCCCGTTCTCACTGCGCAATGCCCCGTTTTCACCATGCAGCGCCACATTTGTTAGCACAAGTGGGGGTGAGCGCACGCACACTCATGCGCACACTGGCCAGCCTGTTCCGTGGCCCACTGACCAGTAGGCCACGGCCCAGTAGTGGGCTGTGGCCCACAGGCTGGGGACTCCATAATCCCTCTCACATTTATCGGTACTGCTGCTGAGCCTGTTCTACACCCGTGCCTTTGGTTTTCTTTAGCTATTTTGGCCTACATTCCTAGTCTGTCTTTTACAGTACTGCTTTTGATAGATTGGCCTCCCCCCCTTTTTTCTCTCTACTAAAGACAAATGCAAAGAATGAATTAAGCAGTTCTGCTTTCTCCCTGAAAACTGTCACTTCCTTGCCATCTTCTCCCATTAGTGGGTCAATCATTTCCTTGACTTTTTTTCCTGTTTTTTTTTAATATGGTGAAATTTTTTTAGTTATTATTTTTGACATTTGTTGCATGTCTTAGTTCATTCTGAGCCTTAGCTTTCCTGACTTTGTCTTTGCAGATTCAGGCTATTTTGTTTTACTTACGTGTCCTTCTTTTCATTTTTTGTACTTGTCTTTTTTGTCTTTCAGTTTATCTGAGAGTTCTTAAGCAACCATGCTAATTTCTTCTACGATCTCTTATTTTACTTTTTCAGTGGTATTGGATTGGATTGGACTTCTATAATCTCATTTTTCAGAGTTTCCCAAACTTCTTGAGTTGTTTTCCCTTTTTCATCCATGAAATATTTCCCAAGCTCTATGTTTGTTGGAATCAGCCCTCTTAAAGTCTAAGGCTTTAATTTTGTTATATTGCTTGTGTCTACGTTATACTGAATTCCAATATGGTCGCTCAGCCCCAAAGTTCTCACAACTTCAACCCCATCTATCATTTCATTTCTGTTAATAAGAATTAAGTCCAGTATAACTGACCTTTGGGAGACAAAAGCTGTCAGCTAAGTTTGCTCAGGAATCTGTTTGATCTCCCACTAGTGTAAAGTTTGTCTCCCAGTTGATAGTAGTTAAACATTATTATTGTAGTGTGTTTCCTGCACACTTTAGCTAATTGGTTAGTAAAAAGTTCCTCTATGTCTTCCGGTTGGGCGGCCTCTAGTATACACCTATGACTGTGCCATTTCCCCCCCCCCTTTCGATGTTAATCCAAAAGTATTCAAGAAGGTTTCATCCTTCAATATTTTTTTTGCATTTCTGTAGAGGTGTAGTTATTTCTTACATATAGTGCAACTCTACTGCCTTTTTTGTTAGGTGTGGTTTTTTTGAACAATTTAAATACTTCTAGCTGTACATTCCAGTCACGCGCTTCATCCCACCAAGTTTCACTAATGGCAACAATGCCCCACCCTCCTGTGCCAGGACTTCAAATTCCCCCCCCTCCCGCTGTTCCTCATACTTTGAGGGTTCCTGTGCAGACATCTGAGCCTTTTTTGACTGACCCTGCCTTGGCTTCTGAGTTCCCCTTCTTTCTTAATGTTCAGGCGACTGCCTTGAGCAGGGGTCCCCAACCCGGTCCATGGACCAGTACTGGGCCGCAGCAGGCCAGCAACTGGTCCACACACACAAGCACAGCCCCATCTGTGGGATGCAGGAAGCACACAAAACCACACCCCCTCCGGTCCACAGAAAAACCTCTCTCCGTGGAATTGGTACCCAAAGGGTTGGGGACCTCTGGCCTTGAGGTTCATGCTTGGGGTCAGGTCCTACAACCTGGCTTCGTTTCCCCTCCAGTTTTAGTTTAAAACCTTCTAACAAACCTAAATCCATCTAGGTTAAGGGGTGGGTTGCTGGTGGAGTCCCGAAGGTGTGGACTTCACTCCAATTGCAGTGAACAGGGATGAAGGCAAAGAACTACCGCGCACTACCCACAGATGTTTTGCAGTCCAAAACAAACGGGAGGCAGCGCAGGAAACGAACGGGGGGGCTCCTAAATGTGATTTCACCCCCAGTGGGCTTTCCCATCCTGGTCTGGTCTAACTGCACCACTGTCCTTGTGAGGACACCCATTTCGCCAACCGTCTCTACACAGCGATCAGGACCCTTGCTCAGAGCTCAGCACAACCTCCAAAGGGGCCGGAGGGCTCCCACCCTCCCTCTGCTCCTGGGTCTAGGCTGATTTTGGAGGCCGCCTCTGAGAAGCAAGCCTCGGCCTCCCCATTTCTTCCAGAGCCAGTAGAGAATTAGGGGCCTATGGCAGCTCCACAGTAAAGGTGGAATGGATGCTCCCCGAAAGAATTTAAGACTGAATAAACCCACGGGAGACCCCTGGAAGAGAGAGGCCAGCCTCTGTCCCCAAGGAGGCTATGGGGCAACTGCTCTTTCCCCACAAGCGCAGCTCCAGCCCTGTGACGTCCTCACTGGGTGAGGGAAACTATGCCACTATCTGAGCAGATCTCAGAATGTTTCCTTGGGAAAAGTAAAAACAAAAAAAGCTCCACTCTGTGATCACCTGTTCTGGGTGGAAAGGAGGAGGAGGAAGAGGATAGATAGATAGATAGATAGATAGATAGATAGGTAGGTAGGTAGGTAGGTAGGTAGGTAGGTAGGTAGGTAGGTAGGTAGGTAGATAGATATAGATATATAGAGAGAGATGGAGATTCTGCAGTGGACTGGATCAAGGTACCACTCTTAGCATCAGCAGGGGGAAATTATTATTTTCCCCTGTTGATGCTAAGAGTGGCGCCTTGATCCAGTTGAAGGAATCTGAAGGAATCCAGATGCCCTCTTGAAATAACACCAAGAGTCTGGATGAAGACGATCACCACAAGCACCTGGGCATCCTTCAGACTGACAACCTCAAGCACACTGAAGTCAAGGAGAAGGTAGAAAAGAAGGTATCAGGAGAGTGAAAAAAGATCTTAAGGTCCAAACTCAGAGGAGAAAATACCGCCAAGGCAATCAACACCTGGGCAATTCCAGTCACTACATACGCAGAGGGAAGAGTCAGCTGGACTCAAGCAGAACTAAAAGCCCCAGACAGGAAGACTAGCAAAACGAGACGACAATGAATCCACACAGCCATGCTGACAGGCTCTACTTACCAAGGAAAACAAACGGGTGGGGGATGTTGCAAGCACATCAGAAACTTGCAGAAGGGGCACTGGAAGAATATCTGAAGGACAGAGAAGAAGAAGACACACTGAAGCTAGTATGCCAGGAAGGCTTATGGAGTACTGGAGAGGCCAGACTGGCCTACAAGAAAGGCCAAATGAAGAACAGAAAAAAGTAGCACACGGCCACCACATTAAAAAAAAACAGCAGGCAAAGCAGGTGACAACAAGACCTGGCAATGGCTAAGAGCAGGAAAGTTGAAGAGAGAGACCAAGAGGCTAATACTGGCCACACAAGACCCAGACTTGAGGACAAATGCACTGAGAAGACCACAACAAACAGCAGCTGAAGAAAGAGCGGGCCGCTTTATTCGCTGCCCCAAGAAGATCGCTAGGCGATCTTGCCACAGCGTGACAAGGTAGCAACCACGGTGCCTTGGAATAGCTGCAAGGAACGCCATTTGCTTGCAGACATCACAAAACAGAGACAGTCACAGAAAACGAAGACGCTCTAAAGAGCTCTGGGACTTTAAAATGCAAACCAACAGATACCAGCCATGTAACATTCCAGACTTTACAATTTTTGATAAGACAGGCAAAAAAAATCTGAATAATGGATGTTGCAATACCTGGAGACACAGAACAGAAAAACTAGAGAAAATCCAACATACAAATAGCTGCAAATAGAAGCTGAATGACTGGCAAAAGAAAGCAAGGCTCACACCAACAGTAATAGACGCTTTGGTGCCACCGAAAAACCTCTGAAGCAGCCCTTGAACACCAGCAGCATTGACACAATCGCCATCAGTCAACTGCGGAAGAACAGCTTGTCTCGGAAGGGCTGACATTTTGAGACAATACCTTTAATACCACCAAACAACAACACCTGCCTAGCCCAGGTTCCTCTAAGTGGATAAAAATGCCAAATTCTCTCTAAACATCTGGCTGATCAACCATAATCAATAATAATGTTGTGGCTCTCGATGTGTTGTTCCACGGAAGGGCCGGCCTTGCCCCTCAGAAAGGGCAAGTGGTACCAACCGCTTTGCCAAATCGGAAGTCGTAAGAAATGATAACTGGGCACTGGACTTATTTTATAAACAATAATGCTGTGCTTGGTTCTCAAAATTATTTTGCCCTTGCAAGCAATGCAGCTTCACTGCCGGGCATGTTTGGAAGCCGACGGGAGAAAAGCAGCCGGGTCAACCTCAGAAAGCTGGAGAGCGTCAACTCCAGCAGAAAGCAGCCCCCCCCTGCCCCCGTTTGCTGGTCCCCTCCTGTCCCGCTCTCTTCTGCTCCTGCTTCCCTGCCCATCGTCTCCTGGCCCCCAAGGCCTCTCGCTCACCCCCAGGGATGAACGCCTGAAAAGGCACCGGCTGGCGAGGCGAGGCGAGCGTCAGAAGGGAGACTCTGGATGGAGGGCCCAGCTCCCTCAGCGCCAGCAGCTCCCCTCCATCCTCTCCGCTGCCTGGCCGGCTTTTATCGCTGCGGCCGGTTCTTAATGGCCATCTTGCTATCTCAGAGGAAGTCCTGCCAATGAACTGTTTTGTCAAAACCTTTAAAAAACAAAGTCTCCAAAGTGCTTAAACTCTTTTATCAAGAAAGCTCTTGGCACAGCTTGCCTCGGAGCCCAACCACCAGAAAAGCCCAACAATGGCTCACTTGAATGGGGGGGCCGGGCCGGAGGATGTGCCGGCAGCCCCCAGACGGTGGGTGCAGCGCACTCTATTCAAAGCACACAAACGGCCTGCTTGGGGCCGAGGGCCCTCCCGGGCGGGCAGGAATCCTGATGTTATCTGCAGGGCTGAAGCACGGAGGATATGATGACCAAACCCTTCCTTGCTTCCACAATGGGCGGCTTTGTGCTCCAGAGCTGGGGAGAGCACAAGACCCCAAAACGGGGGAACAGGCGCCGACGCTCTGGCACTGGAAGTACGGCGGTTACCGCTAGCCCTGGGGGATAAGCCTTGCAGGGGGACCCAGCAGGGACGGCCGCCCAAAGACCCCCCAGCCCACAAAGAGGCACCCGGCACTCACAAGACGTGGGGGCTGCCCGGGAGGGAGGCAGGTTGGGCCCAGGCTCACAAACTGCCCGCATGACGGGCCCATCCAAGAAAGAGGACACATACCTGCCCATACCCATCCCTCCACCCCACTCTTCCCTTTCGGAGGAAACAGCAGATGAGTAAGAAAGGGGAGAATAAGGAAGGGGGGGCTCAACGCCAGCACCATTCATTAACAGCATTACAGAATAACAGAGTTGGAAAGACCTTGGAGGTCTTCTAGTCCAACCCCCTGCTCAGCCAGGAAACCCTAGCCTAGACCATAGTTGTCAATCTCTTCTTAAAAACTTCCAATGTTGGAGCACTGGACAACCCTTTCTCTGGAACGGGATAGGACTTCCTGCCTGAGCATTAACTCTCCATACCTTTATCCAACCTCCTGCACTTCCATACCTCTTCTTTAATCTTCTCACTCTAGGGAGGGTCTCAGAAAAGCCAGTGGGACCCTGTCTCCACCTCCCTCCAGCTTCTTCGCCGATCTGGTTGGCTGCCTTTGAAAGGGCCCTGAAGACCTGGCCTTCCTCAAGCCCCGGCTCAGAGCTGGTGGGCGAGCAGCTTCAATTGCCGGTGTGCATGAACTGTCCTTGGCACAGCACATTGTGTATTTTTGGTGGATTTTTTTCCCCTGTTTTTGTTAGCCAAAATGAATCACATGGTGAGTGGGCAGTCACAGAAATGGGTCAATCTCTTCTTCTTTCTGTATTTGTTACTAGTAAAAATAACATCTGTATTAAGACCTCCACCTGCATGCTTTGAACTCGCTTTTGTTTACCCAACTCTTATTTCCACATAATAAAATAGGCAGATGCATCTCAGGGAGTTGCTAGGGTGGCTAGCAAGTTCACCTTTGGCTTCTGTAGCCCAGAGAGAGAATTTGGGGGAAACTGGGCTTTAGCTGGACGCGAGGGATCTGTCTGCTCCCCATCAGCAGAGAAGCCTGCATGCAGCTTGGGCCCGGCCTCTCGCCATTAATGCAAAGCGTTGTCTCTCCTCTGCTCTTTTAGCAGGCTGTGTGTTTCTCAACCTGGCTGGGGAATTCTGGGAACTGAAGTCCACATGACTTAAGAGTTGCCAAGGTTGAGAAACGCTGGCATAGAAGACGCCCCTGCCCAGAAAGGCTTCCCCAAGAAGATATTTCCTGGTTCAGGGAACAACTCCCTACCCGGAAGGAACAGAAGTGCAGCTCAAAGAGGGCAACCGGCCTCAGAGGCATCAGGTCCGGCCCCCAACTTCCATTTCACGGCTTCTTGTGAGAAGAGCCGTAACAAGCGCCCAAATCCAGAAATGCTGCCAGCGCAGAAAGCGTGCACAGAATTCATCCGCCTTGCGTCCCTTATGATGCAATTACCTATTTACTCATTCATTCTATTTGCACGGTTGCTTGCCGAGGAAGCAGTTCTGGGCCACTGACAACACGAAAAGCAACAATTCAATCACCGTTGTCAACCAAAACAAGAGACAAAAACTGCAAACAAGCACCTACAGTTTCGGGATCAGAATTCACCACATGCCTATCCTGGCAGCTCCTCCAACAGGCTGCTCAGTGGCCGAGGGCAGAGCCAAGACTTCAGGGCACTCCAGATCTCTGACGGGGGGGGGGAGTTGTGGGGGGGGAGGAATCCACCAGGCAGGAACAGCAGCAGCCCTCACTAAGGAATTCTGAAGGAAGCCTGTCACTTTGTACATGGGCCTCTTTAGAAGAGGCAGAGCTGTGAAAGTGAGACAATAACATTTGCACACAAGATGTTGTGGGATCCTCACTGGGCATCACACCAACCCTCAAGGAGAAGTGATGATCTCTCTGGATGTCAGAACGACTTGATGCTGGTTCAACTTGTTTCTGAAGCAGAGAAGGGTCCATTCACGGCACATTTTCTTTCGAGCTCCCGGTCTTCTGAACAGCGAGTGAAGCTGGGCCAGGGAAGCAGCTCCCCTGGATTCTCTCCCCCCCCCCCGCCCCACAGCAAAGGGCTCAGGAAGGGCACCGCCGTGGGCTTTGTTCCACGCCTTCAGCCCTCAGAACATCAGCTCCGGAGCCTCCGAGCGCCTTCCGAGAAAGGCGCCTCCCAGAGCGGCCCATATGACCCGCAGCTCACCAGAGGGGGGGGGGGGTCAGATGAAATCACAGAGGAAGTTGGCAAAAGCTACTTAGAGGCACCTAAAAATAGGGTATATTTTGCTTAAACAATACCTGAACTATGTCATGCAGCAGCAGCCGCCCTGTCTGCCCTTGTTCCTATCTTCTGAGCGATAACATTTCCAAGGGGACGCGTTACTGGAGGCTGCACGGGGAGGGGAGAAGCCCCCGCCATCCCTGCTGGGATGAAGCCATCCCTGTCCTAAGGAGAACCAACCGCCCGGCCCTGCCGCCCCCGCCCAGCGAGATCCCCACCACCACTCGGTTGCGCAAGAGGCTCCTCCACGACCCCCACTCCCCACTCTGCCCTCGGTTCAGGGAGAAAGGAGAGCCTTCGATGGGAGACAAGAAGGACGGCGATGCTTCCGTTTCCACGCCCAGTAAGAACGTGCCGGAAACCTCCGAGTCAAGAGAGCGCACCCCACTACGGCCCTAAGGGACCAGGACACCGGTCTTGGCAAGCGCCAGACGAGTGTGGCTGCAGCCACAGCATCTGGCAGGCAAGACACCCTTGGTTGGTGTGAGAGGGCACATAACTATAAGGCCGTCTGTCCTGCTACAAAATGGACAGTGGTTCCCTCACAACTGCCATTCCCGAGGTGTTCTCCTCAGGCAGAGGCTGCTCAATGGCCTTTCCCTCCCTTTTTTTTCTTATGAAAAGGGTCTCTGCCCCCCGATTTTCCTCCTGCCTCTTTGCACCCACTCCTGGGCAGCCCTTGCAGGAGCCTCCGAGGAGCTTCTGTGTGACCAGAAAGACTCCACCGCTGCTGGACGGCAACTCGAGCTGCCCCCTGGATGCCGCTTGGAAATCTGCATGACATCATCGCTGGATGAATACCTGGAAATTTTACAAATATGCCAGCAGCTTTTTAACAAAGCTCTCTTCTCAATGTGGCTTTTTATCGTTTCCCATCTTGGGATCTGTAGCATAATGTAAGCCTTTGTTTCAGAGTTTAGGCCTAAAGAAGACCATTGTATCTGGCACCCATCGAACTAAAACAATATTTACATTGCTAAAAAGCGCATTCTTTACAGAATTATGGGTTTTGCTGCTTGTAAAAAAAATGCATTTCATTTGGACAGTGAGACTTAAGGCCAAAGGTATCTTACGATAACAAAGCCTTACGTCACAGCTATGGTACAATGTACGGCTGAGAGGAAAGCTGTTGCGCTCCCTCTAGCTATGCCCCGATGGAGTGCTGCGTTCTTTCGCAACAGGGCAGGTGTGGCAAGCCAATCTGCTGTGTCAGGACATTTTGACCTGCATCCCAATTAAGATAGGGATTTGCATCACCAGCACAAGGTATGATTCAGGTCCAACCTGGAGGTTCAATTTTAACTGGCTGCCAGACTAAACTCTAGGCCTGAGTCAGAAATGAAATCCCCACTTATCAGAGTGCTGACTAAAGCAACAGTCAAAGAACTGTTCAACATCTTCATCAACGATTTGGATGAAGGGATAGATGGGGAACTCATCAAATTTGCAGACGACACCAAGCTGGCAGGAATAGCCAACACTCCAGAAGACAGGCTTAAGATACAGAAGGATCTGGACAGACTTGAACACTGGGCACTAACTAACAAAATGAAATTCAATGGTGAAAAAAGCAAGGTTCTACATTTAGGCAAGAAAAACCAAATGCACAAGTACAGCATAGGTGGCACCATGCTCAATAGTAGTAACTGTGAGAGGGACCTCGGAGTCCTAGTAGACAATCACCTAAATATGAGCCAGCAGTGTGCTGCAGCTGCCAAAAAGGCCAACACAGTGCTAGGCTGCATTAACAGAGGGATAGAATCAAGATCACGTGAAGTATTAATACCACTCTACAATGCCTTGGTAAGGCCACACTTGGAATACTGCATCCAGTTTTGGTCACCACGATGTAAAAAAGATGTTGAGACTCTAGAAAGAGTACAGAGAAGAGCAACAAAGATGATTAGGGGACTGGAGGCTAAAACATATAAGGAACGGTTGCTAGAATTGGGTATGTCTAGTTTAACAAAGAGAAGGACAAGGGGGGACATGATAGCAGTATTCCAATATCTCAGGGGCTGCCATAAAAAGAGGGAATCAAGCTATTTTCCAAAGCACCTGAAGGCAGGACAAGAAGCAACGGGTGGAAACTAATCAAGGAGAGAAGCAACCTAGAACTAAGGAGAAACTTCCTGACAGTGAGAACAATTAATCAGTGGAACAGCCTGCCTCCAGAAGCAGTAAATGCTCAACACTGGAAGTTTTTAAGAGACTGGACAGCCATTTGTCCAAAATGGTGTAGGGCACAGGTCGGCAACCTGCGGCTCCGGAACCGCATGCGGCTCTTTGAGCCTTCCCCTGTGGCTCCCAGCCTCCTCTGCCTTTGCAGAGAGAGACAGAGACAGAGAGAGGCAATTGCGCTTCTCTGCTTCTCTCTCTCTCTCTCTCTCTCTCTCTCTCTGTGTGTGTGTGTGTGTGTAAAAGAGAGTGCACTCACAGTATTCTCCGAGGAGCTGAAAATCTTACTGGGCGGAGCTCCTCCCTTTGCTGCGTCTCTGCAGGAAGCAGGAAGGGCAGGAGAGAGCTAGCTAGCCCAGCGAGGCTGACTCAGGAATTCTGGGAGTTGAAGTCCATGAGTCATAAAAGAGTCGAGGTTTTCTACCCCTGAGCTTGTTGGACAACAGCTTGAAGCTTGCCAGGTGAGCAGCAGATAGGAGAGCGGGGAGAAAGAGAGAGGGAGGGAGGGAGGGAGGGAGGGTAGGAGAGAGAGAGAGAGAGTGGGGGAAGAGGAGTGGTAGATCAAGGGCAGATAGAGAGGGAGGGAGGGAGAGAGACAGAGAGAGAGACCCTTTTGACATCTAAAATGAAGATAACACTGCATATATCCTTTTTTTACCTGTGTGTGTATGTAATTTTATTCTATTAAAGCATTCTCTCGGTGATCATTGTTTTAATAGTATGGATATTCCCAAGAGTCATATTTTTACTTTTATTTTTAATGTGTGTGTGTGTGTGTATATATACATATACATACATACATACACACACACATACATACACACAAACACACACACACATACATACACACAAACACACACACACACACACACACACCTATAATAAAGGTAAAAAAAGGATATATGCAGTGTTATCTTCATTTTAGATATCAGAAGGGTTTTGCGGCTCCCGGTGTTTTGTTTTTGGTGGGAAACGGGTCCAAGTGGCTCTTTGAGTGTTTGGGTTGCCTACCCCTGGTGTAGGGTTTCCTGCCTGAGCAGGGGGTTGGACTAGATTACCTCCAAGGTCCCTTCCAACTTTACTACTATTACTATTACATTACAACTTTAATGAACCCTGCTATTAAAGGGCAGGGGTGTTTGGGTTGAACAAAATTTGGGTTGAACAAAATTCTATGAATATTGAATATGTAACTTCAACTATGGGCCTCTCTCCTTAAGACTGCCTAGGTAATGTAAGTATGGTAGCACACATACACACCTTTCTGTTCCTTTTTGGCTGTATTTTAATTCTTTATTTTTTATTTTAAAAAGCTCTGACTTTTTTAGTGCCACATTAAACAAAGAAGGAATACAAATTGATTAAAACAAGAAGTGCCATTGCCCTTTCAGAGATGCCCCCCCCCTCAAAAAAATAGCTGAAGTTTTATTTTCTGAATGGACTGAACTCAGCAGGGGCAGCCTGGGCTTTCTAAGAAAATGCTGCCTTATGTCACAAGGACAAGTAGCTTCCACTGGGTGCTGGATAATTCTTTTTTTTTTTTTTAAAGGTAGGGGAAAAAAATCTTTATTATTTTCTGCTTTTTTTTTTTTACTGAGACTCTCCTAAATGGAAACATAAAGTATTAAAAACAAGTAAAATATCTAAAACAAGGATTTTTGGAAGGATATAACCACAGGCAATTTTTTTGTGCAAAGAAATTGAGAGTAATGTAAAAAGATGCGTCAATTCTCCTTGGGTGAACAAGGACATGGAAAAGGTTTCTCTTGATAGGGAATCCATCAAACTACAACACCAGATGCAGTGCCTGGAGTTAAGATGCTTTTAATCTATAGGCTGATAAAAACTGGATTCCCGTAACCTCGCAAAATGGTACATGTAGGACAAAACGTTCTGAACCGCATTACCTCAAATGGGCTAACTTATAGAATGCATCCAAAAGCCAGGATGCAGGATTCCCATGGAACTGAGATTTGGCAAGATATTCATCATAAAGTGACCTACGACATAATACAAAATGTCACTAAACATTTCCTGTGCTGATGCTTGATTATGCTGTACAGTTCAACACGAGAGGCATCCCATCTTTCCCAGCAAAGGCAGAGAAGCGCCGACAGACACTCTGGGGAGCCTTGGGGGGGGAACCTCTTGGAAAGGACGACCCAGCAGGGCCTGGGGCTCCCTTCCCCGGGGCTCCCAATCTGCCAAAATGCCCAGCCAACAACACTTCCTAGAGTGTCTTCCAGCAATATTTTCTCAGGCAGGCAGGCATTAATTACTGCACTGTGCCCACATCTCTCTCGCCTGGGGAGGGAAACTTTGAAAAGTTTGCTTAATCCCGACTTGACAAATCCCAAAGCTCTTGTTTTATGAAGATAAAAGCACACACGTCGGTTTACTCCAGAAAATCACACCTGGTACGTTACAGTTTAGGTGACCGCCGGTTCATAAACTGGACGGGTGATCTGACCTCGAAGTCCCGGCCGGGAAGAGCCCAGGGGAGAGAAGCCCGGAGCCTCGCCTGGCTCTAAGACGGGGGGGGGGGGCTTTCCTCCTCCGAGGGGAGCGGAGGGCCGCTGCTTCCACCCGAAGTCTCGGAAGTCCCGACGCCTGTCCTCCGGCTCGGAAGGGCCAGCCCTGCTTCGCCACGCCTCGCCTCGCCGGGAGGGCAGCACCCACGCCCGGCCCCGAGGCTCGGCCTGGCCCCGGGGGGGGGGCGGAGGCGGGGAGCGGGCAGAGCGCCCTCAGGGAAAGGAGCCTCCGCTCCCCTCTCCCGTCCCCACCGGAGGGGCTCCCCAGAGACACGGGCCAGCCCCCCCAGCCCCCCACGGAGGCGGAGGAGGGAGACCGGGGGGAGCAGCGCATAAAGAGGGAGATTTCCACCAAGTGGGTGAAAGGGACGGCGCCCCCCACGCCCCCTCCCCCCTCCGGCTCTCCCCTGCCTGGAGGGGCGACAGGCCCAGCCGGGCAGAGGCGCCCGAGGGACCCTCTCCCCCCGGAAGGGACCCCGGAGACCCGCCGCCGCCCCCGCCCGCCCCGGCCTCGTCCCCCGGAGCGGCGCCTCGGAGGGCCGGGCACGGAGGCCCCGCGGAGGGTCCCGAGCGAGGCCGGCCGAAGCGGGCGCCGAGATCCCTCCCGCGAGCCCCCCCCTCGCCTCGGCCACGCGGCTCTCCCGGGGGGAGGGGCGTCCCCGACTCACCTGCCGAGGCGGCCCGGCCAGGCTGCACGCGCCTCCAACCGGCTCCGCGGCCCCCTCCGCGCCGGCGACGGGAAGTGACGTCATGCCCCGCGCCGGCCGGGCCACCCGACGGCCCCACGTGCCTCTGCGGGAGGGGCGCTCGGCCGCCGGCCCCGCCCCCGGGCGAGACCCCCGAAGGGCGGGGCCCCCGTGCCCGTTGCAGCCGGTGCAGCGCCCGACGGGAGGTTCTGCCCCCCCACTCCCGCCGCCCCCGACCTGCCGAACTCCCCCAGGCCCAGTCCAAGGGACCCCCCCGCAGCCCCAATGCAAGACACGCACCACCCCCGTGTGGGGGGGGGGAATTTGCCCTCCGGCCAGCCCTTCGGGGCCCCTTCAGCCCCTCGGCCGGCAGAGCTCGTGGGGGCCGGTCAGGGCAGCCCTGTGATGGACCGGGCCAGCGGTCGAACGGGCCGAGGACGCTCCCCGCCCACCTGCGGTGTCTGAAACTGCAGGGAAAGCGGAGGATGGGGTGCAGTCTCGCCCCCCCCCCGCCGCCGGCTTTCCTCCTGGACGTGGCCCGGGCCCTGGAGCAGCCCCCCTCCCGCCCCAGAGGGCAGAGAGCTGGAGGGGTATTGTCTGGGGGGCGCTTATCAGGAGGGAAGCGCAGCCAAGGCAGAGACCCATGGTGCTGGGCCACCAGCTCTGAGGGTGCAGTGGGTAGAGGGAAGGGCCGGCTCTTCCCCCCCCCCCTGTTGTCTTGGACGAGGCAAAAGTTGTGACACAAGACACAAGGGCAGGAATGGAGCAGGCCCAGCAAGGCGGCGGTTTCGGCTGAGCCCTCTGGGCCCCCCTTGCGAGAGGTTCTGGGGGCTGGGAGGAAATATGCGGAATGTGTGGCTGCAAAAGGAATCCGGAGGAACTGCCAGAAAACACCCATCTTTTACTGGAAGAGAGTCAAGAGCATTTACACAAAACTGTCTGAATTACACCAACAGTGAAGGGCAACGAAGCCAGAGAGCACAGCAGGGGGCCCTCCAATCCCCCACCCCACAAAAGCCGGTGATGTCACTGGTACATTCCTTCCACTCAGTCTGCTGCTTTCAAAATAATATTAAAAAGCTCTTGCTGATCTGCCGTCGGGCTCAGAGCAGCTCACAGAAAAACATAAGCAAGAAGGGTGCATTTTTAAAAACTAAGGAAAAAAACATCCAAAGGCCCCAGTGCAGAAGTCTGCTTTAGCCCCCTCCTCAGCTGTAGTGAACAGAGCAGGGCAGGCAGCCTTTTGGGGCCAACGGTTCCACGTTGGGGCAGCCGGCTCAGAGGCTGCAGCTTCCCCAGGTTAGAAAGAGAGCAGGGCAGCTAAGTTGGTTCGTTCAAGCCTTTGTGGTTTCGTCCTTCTGCCATCCTGGGTCGTTTTGCTGCTTCGGGAATTGCTGTGAACCCAGAAGGTGGTCAGTTCAAGAGTCAAGTTATATATATCGGTTGTGGATGCAGCTAAGTGTCTGCATCGGTTTTCTAGCAACTTCAAAGCTGGATTTGTGCAATGGGGTCGATTTTGGAACTGCAGCACCTGCTAAGCCACCCAGGAATGGAACCAAAGCTTACCTAACCAAGTTTATCGTTTCTGGTTGCAGCACTGGAATGGAATGTGTGGGTGCCCTGGGGAAAGAGGGGGAAGAGATGCTGTCAGGAAAGGGAAGGAGGACAGGAGCCCCCAGTTGTCTTAAAGCCAGAGGAAGAAACTTAGGAAGGACCCTCCCTACATTACCAGGCTCTAAAGGAGGGGGGGGGGGAATTGTACTTTCAGACTTGCAAGATTCTATGGAGTCAGCTTACAATGAAGTAGAATTGATTCATCTAGTTATGTTTCCTGTCTGGCTTATCTTGGAAGGCCAACAAGCCCCTAGATTTTAACCCAATTAAGTATGTTTTGTGAAACTGGTTAAAATGTTGGGTGGGACGAGGTGGGGTAAGTTAAGGTCCATAATAAAAAAAAAAACTGTAGGGCACAAAACAGAAAGAGTCTTAGAATACCAATCCATCATTATTCAATCAATTATCCAGCCCTTTAATAAATTCCAATTAACTAGCTTAATGAGTTTGGCAAATTAAAGATAAGAAGAGGGAAAGTGAGGCTTGGCAAGACGGCTAAGTGGGAACTGTTTTAAGCAGCAAAGGGAGAAAGCTGCCAGTCGGGCAGGCAAGGCCATCTGCAGATGGTGGATGTCTCGGTTCAGTGACACGCAGGGGAACCGCCCAAACCTTAGGAAGCAGCTTCGACTCCAGGTTTAATTTTGCCGTTAGTCACTTCGGTTTCTCCTGGGCTGAAATCAACAGCAATCAAATTGACAAATTGCTGCCAGTTTCGAGTGAGCCCCAGGGCCACCCAGGATGGGCAGGAGCACACGCAGCCCCCTGGGGTGGGAGCAGCCCTGGCCCTGAGTGGGCTAGCTCAAGCCCAGCGTAGTAATAGTAGTAGTAGAAGTAGTAGTAGTAGTAGTAATAATAATACAAACAAACAGCGCACCACAAAAATAGAAGATTAGACTAGAAAATAAGATCAGCAAGTTAAGATCACATGCAAGCAAGCTAGAACAGATGAAAGAAAAGAAGCTGAAGAACAAGAAGACCAAAGAAATCAAGAAATACCACTTAGAAACAAGGAAGATCAAGGAAGCACTGGAAATAATAAAGCAACAAATAACAGCTATAGCCAGGAAAATCAGTAGATATGAAGCTCGAATTGCAAACTATAGGCAGAACCTCCAATTTCAATCCAATCAGAAACGTTTCTACCAATCCATCAATGGAGAAACTGCAAGGAATCAGTCAGTACCTGACAAGGAAGAAACAGTGCAGTTCTGGAAGCAGATATGGGATAACCCAAAGAAATACAACAAGGATGCGGCTTGGTTAAAAGAGGTGGATGCAAATAAAACAGAAGTTGAAATGAAAGAACTAGTAATAACAACAAAAATGGTAGAAAAAAGAGCAAAGAAAATCAAAAATTGGTCAGCACCAGGTGAAGATGAACTGCATGGGTTTTGGTTGAAACATCTAACTGTTATACACCCACTCATTGCCAAGCAGTTCAACAATATACTACAAGGAGGAGAAATTGAAAAGTGGCTAACAACTGGGAAAACCTACCTAATAATGAAAAATCCAGCAAAAGGGGCAACACCAGGCAACTACAGGCCAATTACCTGCTTACCAACAACTTTCAAAATACTAACTGGTGTGGTAGCTGATGCAGTACAACAGCATCTAGTTGAAAACAATCTCTTTCCACCTGAGCAGAAAGGAAACCGCCCCAATAGCAGAGGAACAAAAGATCAACTCCTGTATCGTTCCAATTTTAGTATATGTGCTGCCGAAGCGAGCACAACTCCTAATAGACAAAATGATCTTGGAAAACTGCAAGAAAAGGAAGACCAACCTGAACGTGGCATGAATTGACTACAAAAAGGCATTTGACTCTCTGCCACATGACTGGATAATCAAGTGCCTAGAAATAACATGAGTCAGTAGAAACATCAGAAAATTTGTGCAAAGATCGATGGCACAATGGAAGACACAGTTGCAGATCAATGGTGAGAGACTGGGAGAGGTTAATATCAAGAGAGGAATATTTCAAGGAGATTCATTATCACCATTACTATTTGTTATTGCACTGTTTCCTCTGTCAACAATACTGAATAACTCAGGACATGGCTATCAAACATCAAAAACATCTACCAGACTATCCCACCTCCTTTACATGGATGATCTGAAGCTGTATGGAAAAACATCATCTGAAATAGAATCGCTGCTCAACACTGTCCGTATATATAGCCAAGATATTGTTATGGAGTTTGGCTTGGACAAATGTGCCACACTTACTATCAAACAAGGAAAAGTAGTGAAAACTGAAGGAATCAAGATGCCCCACGAAAATAACATTAAGAGTCTGGATGAGGAAGATTACTACTGGAAGTTTTTAAGAAGAGACTGGACAGCCATTTGTCCGAAATGGTGTAAGGTTTCCTGCCCGAGCAGGGGGTTGGACTAGATGACCTCCAAGGTCCCTTCCAACTTTACTACTACTATTATTATTTTATACTTGGGTATCCTTCAAGCTGACAACATCAAGCACACTGAAGTCAAGAAAAAGATTAGAGGTGAATACATCAAGAGAGTGAAGAAGATCTTAAAGTCCAAACTCAATGGAGGAAATACCATAAAGGCAATCAACACCTGGGCAATCCCAGTCATTAGGTACACAGCTGGAATAGTGGACTGGACTCAAGCAGAACTAAAAGCAATGGATAGGCAGACCAGAAAAATAATGACAATGAATCATGCCCTTCATCCACGCAGTGACATTGATAGACTTTATCTACCAAGGCAAATAGGTGGGCGTGGAATGCTACAAGTACATCAGATGGTTGAAGAAGAAAAAATGGCTTTGGAAGAATATCTGAAGAACAATGATGAAGATGCACTGAAATTAGTATATCAGGAAGGCTTACTGACTACTGGAGAGACCAAACTGGCCTACAAGAAAGACCAAATGAAGAACAGAATAGAGGCATGGGAAGACAAAGCACTACATGGCCAATACATTAAAAAAAAATAGCTGGGAAAGCAGATAATAACAAGACCTGGCAATGGCTAAGAGCAGGAAAATTGAAGAAAGAGACCGAGGGACTAATTCTGGCTGCACAAGACCAAGCCTTAAGGATAAATGCATATAAAGTCAAAATTGAGAAGACAGCAACAGACAGTAAGTGCCGCCTATGCAAAGAAGCTGAAGAAATAGTGGACCACTTGGTAAGCTGTTGCAAGAAGATTGCACAGACTGACTACAAGCAGCGGCATGACAAAGTAGCAACAATGGTGCATTGGAAGATCTGCAAAAAATATCATTTGCCTGTAAGCAAAAACTGGTGGGATCATAAAATAGAGAAAGTCATAGAAAATGATAAAATTAAACTGCTCTGGGACTTCAGAATTCAAACAGACAAGCACCTGCAACATAACACCCCAGACTTAACAATTGTCGATAAGAAAGACAAAAAAGTCTGGATAGTGGACGTGGCAGTGCCTGGAGACAGCAGAATAGACGAGAAAGAACTGGAGAAGATAACAAAATACAAAGACCTACAAATAGAAATAGAAAGACTGTGGCAAAAGCAAGCAAGGGTAGTACCAATAGTTATAGGCTCCTTGGGTGCAATCCCAAAACAACTGGAGCACCACTTGAACACCATTGGCATTGACAAATTCGCTATTAATTGCAAAAGGCGGCCTTACTAGGAACTACTTCCATCCTGTGACGATATCTGTAATACCATCAAACATCCACATCTGCCTGTCCCAGGTCCTGGGTAAAGACTCGATAGGTAGACAAAATGCCAAATCCAGTCTGAACTGAATCTGGCTGACTGTGCGATGATCCATCATCATCATCATCATCATCATCATAATAATAATAATAGAGTTGGAAGGGACCTTGGAAGTCATCGAGTCCAACCCCCTGCTCAGACAGGTAACCCTATACCGTTTCGGACAAATGGCTGTCCAATCTCTTCTTTAAAACTTCCAGTGTTGGAGCATTCACCGCTTCTGAAGGCAGGTTGTTCCATTGGTTAATTGTTCTAACTGTCAGGAAGTTTCTCCTTAGTTCTAGGTTGCTAGAGGAGCGAGGCTCATCCATAACTTCCAGCTGTGCTGAGCTGCCACCACAGCCCAATAAACCCAGAGGGCATCACTGGGCGTGTAGGCAGTCCCTGGAAAGCTTCACCAGAGAAGCAGATTCAGAGGTGAGTGGGAGTTGGTCCTCTCCTGGAGCTCTTGGCTTCTCGTGGTCTTCACATGTGGCTGGGCAACTCGCCTGCTCAGGTCCATTGGCAGCTGGCAGGGTGAGCAGATGTTTTTGCACCATCAGCAGAGCGGCTGTGCCCATCACAGCCAGCAAGAGGCTCTTCAAAAGAGCCCTCTGAGGCCTCCAGAAAGAAGATTACAGACGCCTATGAGACTGGGAAGGGATTTTAAAAGAGGGCCAAGCAACTGGACATCTGTCCCCTGTCCAGAAGAAATTGACAAGTGGAGATGTCAAGCCACTGCATCTTTGCCCAGACCATCCCAGCCAATTTAGCCCAAGAGCAGAAGACGGGATAACGAAAGTCCAAAATTTCATCATGAGGCCCGTGAGTGCTTCTCACCACTACTTCACTCTACCGTTAGAAAGAAGCTGCATAGAACTGCAAGGGTGTGTGTGTGTGTGCGCGCGCGCCAGGAGACATCAGGGCAAGACTTAACATTTGCTCACAGACACCTGGGCACCGAGACTCAAGGCTCCCTGCCCTGGCAGACGAGACGATGTTATCTGGCCACAGGTCGAGAGGGCAGCTTGGGCCCAAACCAAAGTCACCCTTTCGCCTGAAGAACCGGACACCAATTCTAAAGCACAGCGAGAGTTAAAAGTTACGGTCTGGAAATTCTTCCAGGCATTGGGTCCTGGGCAGCTCACCATCCCAGAAGGCAGCACGAAGCCTTCCTGGCGCCAGGGGATCCTTGAAGGCAGCAGGAGACCCGCTCTTGGGGACGGCCAAGTCAAGGCCCCCTCTAAATCCCATCAAGGTGCTGCGGGCTGAGTTGGGCCACGGGCGCAACACCTCAAGCGCTGCTCAGCCAAAAAACACACTGCGTGGGAGGCGAGGGGGAAAATCCCCCCCCCTTGGATGTCAGAGACTGGGAGGCAGTTACAAGAAACGCCCCTCTGAGGTTGCTTCTGCCCAAAGGGGAAACACACGTGTGTGTGTGTGTGTGTGTGTGTGTGTGTGTGTGTGTGTGTGTGTGTGTTTCCACAGAAGGGAACACCCATCTGTTAATTTCTTGTTAAATACAAAAAAATGTCAATTGCAGACCATTTTTTAGATTTTTTTTTGTTCAATTGCATCACCCTTATACTATATATTGCTAGAATAAAGATAAAATATTAATATATCCACGCATGTAAAAGAAAATAAAACGTTACATGGGGATTTTTTTTTAATGGCTTTCCCAGGCTGTTCCGCATGGGCTGCTGTCCTCCCCCATCCCCATAAGGGGGAACAGGCTGGCTTCTGGCTGGAATTCGCTGCTGCTAAACCGGGGGAAGAGCACCCCCGTGTGGAGAGAGAGGGAAAGCCCCAGGAGAGCCTTCCACCTGCTGAGAATCCCTGCAAGGACCAGGCGGTCCTCGCCCCTCCCCCAAAGCAGGGGAGAGGGGCAGCCGTCGTGCCCAGAGAGCCAGGCCCCCTTGGGGAACCTAAAAGCAGCCTTGTTGGATGAGGCCCAGGCCCATCAGACGGAGTCCAGCATTTTGTCTTCTATCGAGACCAACCAGCTGCCTTTGGGGTGCTCTCCAGCAGGAAATGGAGACCCCCCTCCCCCCCGCCCTGCAAGTGGATCTGGAGGGAACGTGGAGCCTTCGGCCTTGCGCTGAGAGCAAGACCCCTGCAGCAGGCGAAGCAATGACAGGCTTAACGTGCCGCCAAGGTCATCATGGCTTCCCCTACCAACTCGGTTACCAGGACAGCCTCACCAGGCCAGAGTGGGAAGTGAAACTGAGTCAGGGCTTGAAAAAGGCCTCGTGGAGACCAGCAGCTCCAGGACTGAGGAAGGAAAAGACACCACTTGGGGGGTAGTTTCTGCTGGCAGGAACTTCTCAACTCTTTATTTATTTATTTAACAAATTTATATTATATTTCAGAGGTGACTCCTGGCAGCTTACAACATTTATAGATCCAGTGCATAATAATAAAAAAAAACCTATAAAAAATCCACTCCCACCCCACCCTGGCAGAGCCATCCCATCCCGTCAGGAGACTGATCGGCTTCGTGATGATTCAGGAGAGGATGAAGCCCAGGTGACCAGGAGACACCATCAAGAAAGGTCTTTTATTTCGGAGGGCGCTGGGGCAGCCCCTCCCCTCGGGGGCCTCTGCCTCCCTCCCGGCCTTCCAGCCATCAGGCCTCCAGGTGCCTGTTGAGGCGGCGCAGCTTCTCCTTCTTGTTCCGGTTCCCGTGTCTCTTCCACGGCTTCCCAGCTCCATCGGCCGAGCCAGGTCCGGAAGGGAGGTGGGCAGCCGTCTCTGCTGGGCAGCCCACTCTGGCCCGGGTGCCTCTGGTCAAGGCCCGGACATTCTCCTGGAAGGCAGGCGAAGCCTTGAGGCCCCGTGCAGGGACAGGCAAAGGCCAGCCCAGTGCCGCACCAGAATGGGCTGCTGGCCGGTGGATACCGGAGGGCCAACCCTCCCCTTCCCAAGAAGCAGCTGTGCGAGAAGCAGCTTCAGCAGGGCAGGAGGGGACCCCAGGCGAGGCTTGTAAGGGCAGCTCCAGGGAAAAGCCCTCTGGGCAACCAACCTTCGCCCCCCCCCCAGCCTCTGCTCAGCCCCAATAAAAACACACAACCCCTTTAGAACTAGTCTGTGTGCTCCTGTTGGTGTGGAGACCTTGTGAATTTTATTGTGTTGCCGTGGCTGGGTTTATTTTAAATGCTTAAGTCTGTCAGAGCCAGGTTGTGTTTGCACACGTTAACTTGGTTAGCGTTAATCTTGCTTAATTTAGGCTTCCTTCAAACTGCAAAGTTAGCTCCTCTGAAGTGAGCTTCTGGGTCAATGTCTTGGGGAAGCCAGGCAAGGCTGTGTGGGGGGGCTCCTGAGAGTGAGGAAGGAGAGGTGGGACTGGGGGATGGGGGACGGAGGCAGGCAGGAAAGGCAAATGCCAGGGCAGCAGGTTCTGTCTGAACCCCGTAAGGGCAGGAAGACGAGGGGACACCGGGCACATCAGCCCCGGCCATTTGCAGCAGCATCCAGGGCTCACTGAAAGCTGCTCTGTTCGGGGACGCACCCCCACCCCCCACAGCATGGAGTGGCAAGACCAGCACCTCCCCCTGCCTCACCTGGTGGAAGAAGGCCAAGTCCACTGGGTTCTCTGTCTGCTTCATCCTGGGGACCCTGCCGGACGGCTGCTGCCCATTGCGCTGCGCGGCTGCTGCTGCCCCTTTGCTGGGCCGAAGCCTCTCGAGCCCCAACTGGAAGAGCTTGGCATCCACGCCCGGAGGCGGGTGGCAGTAGAGCAGCTTGCCCTGCATGGAAGGCCAGGAGGAGAAGCGTTCACAAGGGGGAGCAAGGCCGTGTCCTCGGGTTCCCCATTCCCAGGTATTCCTTGCTTTCTGCTGGGGTTCACACATTGGGTTAGACCAGTGCAGTTCGGCTTGGGCTTGGGGTAACGTGGGAACCCAGGAGTGTGGTTTCCGTAACAGCCCTGAGTAAAAGCAGCCAAGCCAGAGCCGAGGGTAACGCCTGTGCCCGACCTGTGGGCTTCATCAACAGGTTTTCTGGGCAGTTGCTGCACACATCCAGCTTCTTTGTCTGTTCTCGGAAATATCTTCCAATCTGGATCAGAAATAGCACCAGCCATAGCAGACGTATACCGCTTCATAGTGCTGAACAGCCGTCTCAGTCTAAGTGGATTACGGAGTCAGCCTCTTGCCCCCAACAACTTGGGCCCTCATTTTACCGACCTCGGAAGGATGGAAGGCTGAGTCAACCTTGAGCCGGTCAGGATCGAACTGCCCAAATGCCGGCAGTCGGCAGTCAGCAGAATCGGCCTGCAATACTGCATTCTAACCACTGTGCGATCGCGGCTCTTATCCTGGAGTACCGTAAAAGAGGCTTCTCCTTCCTTACAAGTATTCCTTACTGAATGGGGGGGGGCTAGCTTTGCCTCCTGCCAGGCCACAGAGGTGGTGCAGAGACCTCCCACTCAAGCAGAACTGCCAGCCCCCGTGTCTAAAGGAGGCACCCGGCACTTTTGAAAAGTTAGGGGCCGGCTCTGCTCCAAGGCCAGCATCGGGGCCCAGGCACCCCAAAACGCACCGTGACGTAGTCCTTCAGTACGAGACGGGCTGAGCGCGGCTGGTCTGGCTGCCCGTGATCCGTCATGAAGCCCCTCATGCCTGTGTGGAGCGGAGGGAGAAAGCGAGAGGCCGGGGGTCACCATACCTGCAGGACAAGCATCTTGGGGAGGGGGGAAGCCCAGGCCCCAGAGCCTTTGCTGGGGAGACGGGGGGGGGGACAGCACAGTCTATCCCAGGATCTGGGCTCTATCGAGGCTTTGTATTGGCATGGCAATTAGACACTCCCCACTCCCCCTTCCAAGGAGACCTTGGGTGGAGGATCAGATTTACTGCTGAGGAGGAGGAGGAGGAGGAGGAAGAGGCTGCATCATTTCCCGTTAAGAGCTTCCCAGAATCTGCCCTTGGGGAGTGACAATCCCTCCCCTGTCTGTGTCTTCAGCCAGAAAGCTGTTGGGGGGGGGGGTTTCCACTGTTTTCTCTGATATGAGGTTCCACTTCACCGCCCCCCCAGCCCCCGAGGTCACCCTCCAGACCAGCGGTCTAAGCTGCAGCCCCTGGCCTGGTCTCCCTGGAGTTTGTGGACTCAACACATTCAGATCGCCTCGCCCACCCGCCCACCCACCCGCACGCTCTCAGGCCCACCCAACGGGGTGTTTACTCACAGCCCAGGGCCGACAGGAGCTCCTCTGAGGTTGGCGGCCGGTCAGGGTCCTCATCCTCGCGTGGCCGGAGGATGCTGATCCCATAGGTGGCCTCCAAGACTGGCCGAGGGATCCGTTGGCAGACGTGGGGGAGTGAAGGAACCACCTTTGGGATAAGGGCCTCTTCCCCTCTTGAGAGACCCCCCCCCAGTCCCCTCCCCTCCTCACGCTAGGACAGCTGAGCTCCATCCGGATGAGGCCAGCACCTTCCCCTCTGCCTCCCAGCTGTTTCCAGACATGGGGGACCCTCCGGCCAGAGGTCCAGAGACCAGTCCAGAGCCCTCTGCCTCCCTTATTCAGGACCAGCCCCCCCCCACATGAAGGCTAGGAAGAATACTGGCAGCGCCATTCACAAGTTCTTTCCTCCCTTCCCCACCCAACAGGCTTCTCCCTTGCCTGCCCCCCCCCCAGCACACCTCCCCTGCCATGGTGCTCCCCGAGAAAGGATATGAGGGTGACGGGGGGGACGTGGTCCCGCAGCTGATCGATGGGCAAGATGCCGCTGCAAACCATTTCGGCTTTGGTGGAGACGAAGGAGGGCATCACCAGCCCAGGGCAGTCGCAGAGGCAAAGGGAGGGCTCCACAAACAGCGTCTGCCAAGGCCCCTCCCCAGCTTAGAGCAAGCCTCTCCCTCCTGCGGGGGGGGGGAGGCCACCCCAGGGCAGGGGCTTCCCCCACAGCAGAGCCAGGAGGGCTCCACAGGCCTTCCCATCCCAAAGCTCCTGACCCCCCCCCGCTCCCCGGGGAACCGGCAAGGGCCCCCTGGCCACCTCCTGGCCTCGCCAAAGAGGAGAACGAGGCAGCCAACGGGGAGCAAAAAGGGAAAAAAGGGACCAGGGCAGACGCCGGATGGAGATGGGGGGAAGGGGGGGCTCACTGCCATGGGGTGACCAAGCAGGAGGAGGCAGGAAGGGGTCTCCGGCCATCAGCCCAGAGAGCTCCTCGCAGTACCTGGAAGTGCTTTGTGCGTCCTGGCGTGGCAGAGACAGACACCTTCTTCTTCCCGAGGATGGTGTTGATGGTCGAGCTCTTCCCTACATTGGGGTAGCCCACCTTGGAAGGAAGGAAGGAAGGAAGGAAGGAAGGAAGGAAGGAAGGAAGGGAGGGAGGGAGGGAGGGAGGGAGGGAGGGAGGGAGGGAGGGAGGGAGGGAGGGGGTGGAGCAGACACTGGTCACTCCAACGAGCTCAGCCGGGTCGTCTTTGTGTGAGCTGTGACAAAGCAGATGGCTGCCTGCTTTGATTCCAGCTCGATCAGGGCCATTCTTGGGAAAGGCTGAGGGTATCAGAAAGGGCCAGGTGGGCTTCCTCCGGTTCCAGAGCGAGGGTGCCGAGTGGGGGAGGGAAGCTCTAGGAAAGCAGCCCCCCACGAAGGAAAACCTCCCTAAGAAGAGGCGGCGCCTCAGAAGCCCTCGGTGACCCAGAGGGGCCAAGGGTCCCTTTCAATGGGGTGGGGGGGATGCACAGGAAGGGGCCCCTCCTGGTCTCTCCTGGCAGCAGCACGGGGGGGGGGCTCCCTTGGAGGCCTTGCCCACCTCACCCCCCAGCCTGCCCAGAGGGAGGGAGGGAGGGAGGCAGGCTCGGACAGGCACCCCGCAGCCTGTCCCCAGCGCAACCATCCACTCACCAAGCCAACGGTGAGCTGCCCCTCTCTGACCTTCTTCCTCCCAGCGTGAACAGTTGCAAATATCTCCAGGAGCTCCTCTCTTTGTACCAGGCAGCTGCTGTTTCTGATGGGGGAGGCCTGGGGGGGTGCTGGTGGTGAGAGCTCAGCCCTGCTTCTCCCCAAGGGCACAATGGGGGTCTCTTGCTCCCCATCTTCAGAGCAAGTCAGCCAGGCTTCCTCCTCCTCCTCCTCGCAGTCCTCGTACACGTCACCGTCTTCCTCCCTGTCGCTCTCCCGCTGGGTGCCGGGGGGGCTTTCTGCTCTTCCGTTGGTGGTCCGCTGCTCCCTGGGGCCGGCACCCTGGCTAGCCGGGTCTGCCCTGGTTTCCAGCTCCTGAGCAGAAGGAAAGAGGAGCCCTGGGATCAAAAGCTGCAGAAGGTTGCCAGAGGCCCTCCTAGGCCCAGCTTCCCCCCAAAAAAACAGGCTGTTCCCACTCAATACATTCCCTTGCAAGGGGGGGGGGTTGCTTGAAAGAGCTTAATCGCCCGAGGTGGCACAGCTGCCAAATGACAGGGCTGCAACACAGGCTGCTTTCCCCAGCAAGCAAGGAACCCAAGAGAAGCCTGGGGGAGGGGCAGGGGGACCACACCGGTCCACTCGGGTCACGCAAGGGGCTCGCAGGGCAGCTGAAACTTTGGGCACCACGTAACCCTCTGATCTTTGGGAAGCTGAGCGGGGCTTCTTCGCCCGGCCTCCTCCCAGGCCCCCCCCCTTACCTCAGGGTTGGCCCCCAGCCGGCTCCCCTCTGCCAAGGCCGACCAGAAGACCACGCGGACCCCTTCCTTCTCAAAGAAGCGGGCCCAGGCCGAGCGCTGCTCCTCCCCCAGCAGGTCGGCTTTGTTGAGCAGGATGAGGTTCTCCTTCTCCAGGCTGATTTCTTTAGCGTAGCATTCCTGCAAGATCCCAAGCGGCAGGAGAATGAAGGGAGGGGCTGGGGAAGAGAACTGGCAGTTGCCCTTCACGGGAGGGGGGGTCCTTGGTGCCTCTGGGCTCATTTTCTTGCAAACGTTTCATGACCCTGACTAGGTGACATCATGAGTGCTAGAGGTTACCTGGTTAGGGACATGAAACGTTTGCGAGAAAACAAGCAAGCCCAAGGGGCGCCCAGGACCCCTCATTTCAACCCTGAGCAACGAATACTCTCCTTCACTGGAGTTGCACTTAATAGGAAGAACCCCTCTGGAGGAGGAGCAAGTGCCCGGGGCATGGAGGACCCAGAACGTGAACGTGGGAATCCGGCCGAGACAGGAAACAAAACAAAGCAAATACTTTGGATCTGGAGGATCCTCTCCTGGCCCTGCTTTATTCTTCAGGGAGGAGAGGCAAAGTAAAAGCCCCACCCGGCCAGGACAGCAACGTCCCAAAACCTCCTCAGAAACGTCCAGAGTTTCGGAGAGACCATCAAAACCAGAGGCTCAGGGAATCAAGGCCGAGTTCTCGTGGCCAGACACCACCAAGTCAAAGGAAGCCCAGGAGAGCCGGGAGCCGTTCAGGAACACGGCTGTGCAAGGGCAAATACCACACAAAAAGGACACGGGCTTGGAAGGGCAACTAAGAGCCCCACTGAGGCCCTCCTGCTCTATCCGTGGAGGGAAAGGATGGGATGGACCCGTGGCTAGGAGGGTAACAGATGAGGGCGACGGCACTCGTCTCCAGCTTCGTTTCCATTTATTCCTTAAAGGGGAACTGTGTTTAAGTGGACATAACAAGAAGAAAAGAAAAAAAAAGGACAAGAGAGAGGAATGGCAACCCAACGTGGCTGCCCAGGGAACACAAGTCAGTGATTAGGGTCCAGCTGAAAAGAAGTGCCCAGAGCAGAGCACGAGGCTCCACCTGGACTCCGTTGAAAGGATGGAAGATGATCAAACATGGAAAGACGCCATCGGGACACTCCTGAGGCTTGGGAGGGTCTCACAAGCCACACTCACAAGCAGAGACCCACAAGCTGAGCCTCAACGGGGACAAACGCCGAGTGCTGCATCATCGGGGGGGGGGGAATCCCCCGGATGGGAACATTCTGGGTTACAGATGATCCGTGGAAAGGATCTCGGTGCTTTGGGGGTGGGTCACCACCCTACTGTGAACCAAGAGTGTGATGCAGCCACAGCCACAAGGGAATGTGGCCAAGTTAGTGTTCCTCTCTAAACCTGCATTGCTCGGATTGCACCCAGAAGCCAGTCCTGAGCACCTGCTAGGAAAGACATCAAAAATCAAGGACAAAATCAAGGGGGCCAAACTGACAGGAGGAAAGTTCAAAAGTCACGTTAGAAAGGATGACTTCACAGAAAGAGCCGTGGAAGCTGGGAACCAAATTCCAGCGGAGGAAGTGGGTCGATCGCCAGAAACCTGAGTTTAAACATGCCGGGGAGAAACACACGTCCATCATCCAACAAAAAAATAAAAATAATTTAAAAATGATAAATAAATAACAGCAACAACAAAACTTAGAAAGGCAGACTCAATGGCCTACTATCTCTTCTGCCGGTCACTTTTCTGGGTTTCTATGCTATCCATCTGGGGCAGGTCCCAAGGAGAGCAGCCAAAACTGGCTGAAGGGAAGATTTATGAGGGGCAATAGGAGAGGTAGGGGGGGCTTGTTTGGTCTGGAGAAGAGAAGGCTGCAGAGACGAGAAAGCTGCCCTTAAATATTGGAAGGGCCATTATGGGGAAGACGGGGCAGAACTGCTCAGAGGTATTCCAGAAGACAGAACAAGCGTCAGAGGGTTTCACCCACAAGGAAGTTGATTTTGGCTGGAGCTCAGGAAATGTTTTCTAATAGTAACAGCTGTTCAGCAACGGAAGAGAAACTTCAGGAGCTTTGAAAGGCCGTCTGTGGGGGATGCTGGGGGGGGGAGGAAAGGGGGGGGAGTCCTGCACTGGGCACAGGGTTGGGCCAGAATTCAGGGCTCTCCAACCTTGGCAACTTCACGACTTGTAGACCTCAACTCCCAGAATGCTGGCTGAGGAATTCTGGGAGTTGAAGACCACAAGTTGTAAAACTGCCAAGATTGGAGACGATGCCCAGCCTATCTCCAGAATCAGATGGTTCTGCAGCCACGGTCAGGTCATGAAAGGATGAGTGGCCGTCAGGGGGGAAGTCACAGCCACAAAAACATCCTTCCTGTTTCCGAGGGAGGAGCGCCTCTGTTCAGTCACACAAAGTGATGCCAGCTTATATTTATAAACTCTTGTCACCCTGTGACATCAGATGCATGATGAATGCCACCAAGCACGGTCCTCCGAGGGGAATTCCTGATCCTCTTGCTGAGAATTTTCTCCTTCAAGTGACAGGCGGAGGCCAGCTATCCCATAATAACCAACAGGAAAAATTTAGTGAAAGAACTGGAATAGTGGAAAGATTAGAGGAATGGGACTCTCTAGCACTGAATTTCTTGAAGGAAACCAAATCTGCATGCAGCCGAACGTGTATCTTGGGCTTAATTCCAGTGCTAGATAGTCCAACTGACCCCCCTGCTGCTCACGACTGTAGCTTTCAAGGCCCTCCTAACCCTCGTCCATCCTCTTACGGAGTCCACGTTGGACCCTTTGCTTCTGGGCACTTTTCAAAGCACTGACCTATGTTCCCTGGGCAGCCCAAAAAATTTTGTCCATTTTTGGGGGGTTACGTCCACTTAAGCACAGTTCCCCTTTAAGGAATAAATGGAAATGAAGTTGGAGATGAGCGCGGTCCCCCTCACCCGTCACGGTGCTAGCCGTGACTATTAGTCTCTCTTGGCAAGAGAGGAAAGCAAGAAGCCCAAGAGGAAGACAAGCCCAGTCTGGCCACAAAGACAACAGGTGCCGGAGCTACAAAACCCAAGGGAGGAAAGCGAAGCCCAGAATGAGGATGGCGGAGGATTTATTTACTTATCAAATCTGTGCGCCACCTGTCTGGGCGGGGCTGACTCTAAGGGTACAAAAGGGTTTCCGTAGAGCTGCCCAAGAGAAAAGGATCTGCACACCAACCCTGCTCCATGGGGAAGTCCAAATGCCAACAGGTAACAAAGAAAAGGCAGACCTGTTCAAGGCCTATTTTGATTCAGCCTTCACTAAAAAAAAAAAAAAAAAGCAGCAGCAGCCACGGGGAGCTGGATCGAAGGCTGAAGCCGAGAGAAGCGGGGTCCCCCCCAACCTCCAGGGGCCTGAGGAACGGAAGGGGGGGGGGGGAAGAACTGGAGAAAAGCAAAGCTGCAAGGAAGGGAAAGACTGGCCGGCCTGACACGGATGTCCCCGACAGAGCAGACGACCAACGGAACTGGGTGTCTGTGGAAGTGGCCTTGGGAGACAAATGGGGGCGGGGGGGGGGAAGGCCTGCAGTTGGAAGAGGGGCTGCTCCACCCAGGAAGCCTTTCCCCCAGGGACCCTCCTCTCTCTTCAGTCCCTAGAAAACTCGGGAGGTCCCTTGCAAAACGCTTTTTTGGCCCCCCTGCAGACCAGGTGGCTTCCTGTCAGAGGGTCACCTGAGCTGTGGGCCCTCCTCCCCTCACTCCAGGCCCTTCCTGCGCAGCATCACAGGGAAGGATCTGAAAGCACTTTGAAACAATGTAATGGCCAGGGATCAGCCTGGGTCCTCAAGGATTTTTTCTTTTTGCTGGACTAATTCTCTTTCATTTTTTGGTTTGCTAATGTACATAATAGACGGTTAAGAAGGCTATGACTTAATACACCATCGTTAGGACAGTAATGCTAAAAATAAGAGGAGTTGGATAATGGGACCACATAACCCATCATGAGGCTAGATTTTCTTTCAGCGGACCTCTTAAGGCAAAGACTAAACAGGCTTTTATTTCTGCAGGAAGCCAGGACTTTGACCCAATGCTCTAAACGGCCCCTCCAAGCTCCGTAAGGCCCTGATTCATACTCTTCACTAGCTACTAGCAGGTCCATTACTAAACAGTACATCATCAGGTCCAAACTGGGACTACCCGTCATTGCACGCAGGGTCGATTAAGAAATCTAGCATTACTGAGGAACTGCAAGTCACAGCAAATTTTGGTGTGCAGAGCTGGAACTGGAAGAAGCAGAAGTCAACACTGGATCCCATGACGATATACTCATGTGCACCAGGAAGCACCACCGGCCTTCCTTCCTCACCGCTCCCAGATCCATCGCCATCCAGAGCCAGCCTGGTGCTAATAACGATAATGATAATAATAATAAAGTTGGAAGGGACCTTGGAGGTCATCTAGTCCAACCCCCTGCTCAGGCAGGAAGCCCTATATCATTTTAGACAAATGGCTGTCCAGTCTCTTCTCAAAAACTTCCAGTGTTGGAGCATTCACCACTTCTGGAGGCAGGTTGTTCCACTGGTTAATTGTTCTAGCTGTCAGGAATTTCCTCCTTAGTTCCAGGTTGCTTCTCTCCTTGATTAGTTTCCATCCATTGCTTCTTGTCCTGCCTTCAGGTGCTTTGGAAAATGGCTTGATTCCCTATTCTTTATGGCAGCCCCTGAGATACTGGAAGGCTGCTATCCTGTCCCCCCTCGTCCTTCTCCTCATTAAATTAGACACACCCAATTCCAGCAGCCGTTCCTCATATGTTTTAGCCTCCAGTCCCTAATCATCTTTGTTGCTCTTCTCTGTACTCTTTCTAGAGTCTCAACATCTTTTTTACATTGTGGGGACCAAAACTGGATGCAGGATTCCAAGTGTGGCCTTACCAAGGCATTGTAAAGTGGTATTGATACTTCATGTGATTTTGATTCTCTCCCTCTGTTAATGCAGCCCAGCACTGTGTTGGTCTTTTTGGCAGCTGCAGCCCACGGTGAATGTCCACCCCTGGGGCTCTCTCGGCTGCTGTATCCTGCGGGCAACTCAAGAGATCAGAGGAAGGTGCCCGGGAGGCACGAGAGCTATGGAGATGCCAGAGATGACCGTTTCCACTGCAAGAGGAAACCCTAAACCTCAAGTGACGCAGGGCTTCCTGCCTGAGCGGGGGGGGGGAGGGGTTGGACTAGAAGAGGCTGTAGTACCTACTCTTCTTGCACCGGATGCTGCTGGTTCAGCCATGCTGTTTTCACATCTACCAATTCACGTGCTCCGTTGTGACAGATAAGAAATACTTTCCTGACCATTTCAGGAGTCAGACCCCTCCTTAAAGCCCCTTGGTGGTTTATCTGGGCTCTTGTTAAATGCCACCTGTTTACGGTGAACCATGAACCAATCCCTCCCGCCGGTCCCCAAAAACAGAGGCTGGCATCTACGCGTATCTGAGCAGTGGCGTGGCCATCCTGCTGCCAGGCTGGTGGCTTTCAGATAGTTGTGTGCAACACCCCACAATGTTCAGTTTTCCTCCCCGAGCGTGCCAATCTGCAGGGCTCGCTTGCGATTTTCCAAAACTAGACCTTTGGGATCAGGAAGGGATTTGTCACGGTCTGGATACGACCCAGCAGTGGAAACAGGATGTTCTTGGATGCCTGGAACATTCCGTCCCTGCAAGGCTGACCAGCTTCACCTGTCCCTGGTTCCAGTCCCCAGGGGAGCAGTGGGTCACACCCCACAATTTTCAGTCAGAGGGACACTTTCCTAGATGGGAGCACCAGGGAGGGCATGAACAGAGGCAGCCTCTGGGACGGCTGCCAGTTTTATGGACGTGGCCTGTCAGGAAGGCAGAATTTCTTGCTCCCTGCGTATCTTGTCCGCTTGTTCTGGTGACAAAATATTTTTTCGTTTCTCTGTCAAACCCAGAAGAAATAACTGGGGGGGGGGACCTTGGGTTCAACGTGCACCCAGGCTCTGTGGTGTGCTGCCTACTACACAGATGCCCCTTGCCTTGGCGAAAACTGGAGTGAGCTTGCCTAATGGCTGCTAAAGGGAAAAAAGAGGCTGCTGCAGGTGAAAAACCTCTGATGCGCAGCTAACAAAGAAGCGCTTAGTCCCAGCCAGCCCCTTGGGGAGAAAAGACCACCTAGCAAAGCAGCTCTGCAACCCTCAGACTCTCAGCCTCCATCCGAAGTTCTTCTCCAAACTCCGCCATCTCCCCTTCCTTTGCTCACCTTTCTCCCCTGCGTGGGGCACCGACTGCAGCCAGGGACTCCTTCAGGAGGCCCAGCCCCACAAAGGGAGCCCTGCACGCTCTGGGGAGAAGAGAAGGGGAGCTCGGCCCTGCCTGCTCAGCTGAAGGACGGCTCGTCCTGTCCCTCCCGGAGAGAGCTCAGTGTCTCCGAGGGCTCCACGAAAGAGCTGGAAGGGATCGGGAATCCCAAGAGGTCATTTTGCCCGCCCCCTGTGGTCAGCGCAGGATCCATCAGACCATCTGAAGACCGCCAGTAAAGGAGATCCATCGCTCGATCACCTCCAACCCCCCCCCCCCCGCCCATCCCGGTCCATCTGGAGTCACTTCAGCCCTCTCAGACTGCGGCCCCTAGGCTGCTTCTGAACTCATCCCTTTTCTGGATCTGCTGAATTCACTGAGCCACAAGCTAGCGGGATGAGCTCAGCTGAGCCAGGCACAAAGCTGGGAAAAAATTAAGCCAGGCCTAAATGTCTCCGTGAGGCCCTCGGCTGACTCAGAAAGGTTGCCACGGGAACACAGCCAGCTTGTGACCCTGAATGGCCACGTTGTGCTCTGCCCGGAGCGCGTGGGAGGCAGCCTTCCTGCCTTCTTCAGGCCCAGGGATACAGGGACTCCGACAGGCCTGACCCAGCCCTTCCCGAACAGAAGGACCCACCTTCAGAGTGACAAGTGCTCTGGCAGAGGTCAAAGGAAGCTTCCTGCTTCTGTTAAAATAGCCACACCTGCCCAGGTTCTCCCCCCCCACACCAAGCCTTTCAAACTGTCTCAGAAACGCTGGTCTGAAGTCCCATGGCAGGTTCCAAATTCAATGGGCCTGCCGGAAAACCACACTGCCCTCACTGTAAAACTCCCTGGTGGACTTTTACAATATCCTGCCTGTCTCAAAAGAGCCAGCAATTCCCTAAAGTGCTGAAGTTCCCTGAAGTAAAAAAGATGCTGAGACTCTGGAAAGAGTGCAGAGAAGAGCAACAAAGATGATCGGGGGACTGGAGGCTAAAACATATAAGGAACGGTTGCAGGAATTGGGTCTGTCTAGTTTAATGAAGAGAAGGACGAGGGAGGACAGGATAGCAGTATTCCAGTATCTCAGGAGCTGCCCCAAAGAAGAGGCAGTCAAGCTATTCTCCAAAGCGCCTGAAGGCAGGACAAGAAGCAACGGAGGGAAACTCATCAAGGAGAGAAGCAACCTGGAACTAAGGAGACACTTCCTAACAGTAAGGACAATCAACCAGTGGAACAGCCTGCCTCCAGAAGCGGTGAATGCTCCAACACTGGAAGTTTTTAAGAAGAGACTGGACAGCCATTTGTCTGAAATGGTATAGGGTTTCCTGCCTGAGCAGAGGGTTGGACTAGAAGACCTCCAAGGTCCCTTCCACCACCACCACCACCACCACCACCATCATCATCATTCTGACCTGTTGTGTATGTTGGATGCAGTACACACCCTTGCTTTCTTTTCTATTCCCACCCTAATTTTGGCCTGGAACACGGGGAACTTTTAGTGGCTTCTAGTGCAGAAAGTGGGGCTGCTGCCTCAGTTGGTTTTACCTACCAGGTCTCGGCATCTGAACAGGAGGGGGTTCCTGGCATCCACAATCTGAACCACAACATCGCTGCAAAAGAGAAGGCAAGGGACGCTATTCCCCTGGCTGAAAGCACATCTCACTCTCGCCGAGGACGGAGGTCCAGGGCAGCCCTGGCCTATGGGATCCCAGCAGTGGAGCCCCAGGCAGGACCCGGCCGCCACACACACACACACACACATACACACAAAGCCTGCAGGCAGATAAGCCGTCCCCCCCCCGCTCGTTCCCAAGGCTGCTTCTTCACGGCAGGGGCTCCTTGCCGGGGCCACTGTGCTCAGGCTCTGCCAAGGGCATCCTGTCCACAAGGAGGCCCCTTTTCAGAGTGGTCACCATCCCACCTGCTCCGACAGGCCGCCTGAGCCACCCAGCAGAGAGCGCCAGCCTGGCCCTGGGAGCTCACTGGACCAGCACAATCAAAGAGCAGAGTTACCTTCTCTCAAGGACCCTCCAGAGCTGACGCCAGAAGTCCAAATTTCGCTCAAATGGGGTCAGCAGGAGGTTCTCCTCTTCCTCCATCCTGTAAGAATGCAGGGGAAGAAAGAGTCCTGGGGATTCTAAGGAAGCAATCTTTCTCTCAACTCAACCCCCCTCATAGAGTTGTTGCTATGGTGGGGAAAACAGGAGGAGGAGGAAGCATTAACTGCCTTGGGTGGCCAAATACATATTTAAAAATTGACGGGACAGGGTTTTGAGACTTTTTCTGACCTCACATTAAACCTGGCTAGAGATTAAGGATGAGCTCAGCCTTTATGACTCCTACAGCAGTCATGAGGAGACTTGTTTAAACAAAGCCATTTGCCCACTGAGAACATTATCCGAGTGTCATTTCTGGTGCTGGTTACATTCTTCTTGGGGGCTGAAGAGCCGTGGCCCTTCTGCCCAGGTAGAAGGCAGCCTTGATTTTAAGACAGTCCCTTCCCAAAGGACTGGAAAATGAAGAACTTCAACTGTCGCCATTTCTGTCTCTCCAACAGATATAAGAGAACCTTCCCAACCAAAATAAACGAACAGAAAATTTCATCTATCCTCCATTAAACAGACCACTTCCCAGGAGAATTTCAATAAAGGGTGGGGTTCTTCTTTCACATTTCCATCACCAAACTCAAACTATTCCCACAGTTTCAAGAGATTGAGAGACTGGGATCCAGGAGTGTGCTGGGCATCCCTCCACCCTTCAGGACTGCGTCATCTTTGAGGGAGAATCGCCACGGAGGGCCAATCCAGGCTGCAGAGGTTGATGCGAGAACAGCCCCAAGTGCAAGATGAGTCTCTTGAGCTCCACACCCTCTCCCTCTCTCTCTCTCCTGGGCACACAGAGCATCCCCACTTAGGCTGGTCAGAGGCTCTTTGCTGACTCCAGGGGAGAAGACTCACCACGCAAGCTGCCTCCTCCACCTCAGGAAGCTGTCTCTTTCAGCCTGCTCCAATGCCGCAGGGCTTGTTTGTTCGTCCCATAGCGGCCTGGAAGAACCAAACACAAAATGAAAGAAAAAAGAGGGTTGTTAGCCTGCTGAACGCACCACAAAGAAACGCTTGCTTCAGTGCACAAAATGAACCTGGGAGAGAGACTGTTTTGGTAACGGAAACCAAAAGGTACTTGGTAGAGCAGTGTTCCCCAACCTTTTCGGGTTGGCAGCCTGGTGCTGGGGGGGGGGAAGCAGGGGAAGAGGGGACGGTTTTGTGCAAGGGGCAGGCGTGCGCATGTACACAGCTTCATTTCTGTGAGCCGCTTACGTGAGTTGTTGAGCTGTGCACACACATGCACGTGCACACTGACCGCTGCTCATGCAGCCCAGTTGAGAGTAGGCCACAGCCCGCTGGTTGTGTGGGGACCCCTGTGCTAGAGGAAGGCTGAAGTCGGCCCCAACCAGAAAAGAAGAGAGCTGGAAAGGCTGGGAAGTGACTTTCTGGTTGGTGAGCCTTTCAGGCAGTCCTTGCTGCCCCTCAGGGAAGATGGGGACTAACTTTTCGCAGGCAGCTCCTATGCCTGAGAATGAATAGCTAAAAGGAACACGGAGGGAAAGAGAAACTCAAAACATTTTGTATCTATCCAAAATTCACAGGAGGATAGATTTCATGGAAGATGTGAAAGAGCTGAAAAACAAAACAAGTGATGGAAATTAAGCTTGACGAAAGCTAGCTGTGACCTGTCTACAGGAGATGCAGAATCATACAAGGGACCCTGGAGGTCTTCTAGCCCAACCTCTTGTCCTGCATAAAGTCCTTCCTTGGTGGCCTAGAAAAAAGGCAGGGCCAGTATAAGAACATGTCCAAGGGCAAAGATCTCACCGAAAGTATTCCCTTCCTATCACTAATGCTACAGCTAATAAGTTTTCACCAAAGCAACAATCCATATTAACACACGTTACCTAGATCACCTCAAGAACACAAAATATCGCAAACTGCCTAGTTCTTAAAAATATTTCTCCAGAGAAAATTATTTTTCAAAAACTCAGAAGAGGCAGGAAAAAGCTGTCTCGCCTGTCATTATTTGTAACCAGAGGAGGAAACACTGCACAGGCAGGCAAGATTTCAAGGCTGGCAGAGACGCCACACGAACGGTTCACAGGCCCTCATTCCCACAACTGTTGTAGTAGAAATATAATATCTAGGTCTACACTCAAAATATTCTTCAGGATGGAGCAAAGCTCACAAAGACCTTGATAAGGATAAAACAAACAAAATGAGGCACTTTTTGACAGAGTCGCCTATAATTTTAGCCAGCTCACATTGAGCTGAGCAATAATGATGTTATCATCACCGCAGGGAGTTGGATCCAATTTGCAAACAATCACAACGCTGGAAAGAGGGACGGAGGCTTCAGGGGGGAGCGAAGGGGGGAAGGATGAAGGAAAGAAGGGGGGGTTGAAGCGAGCAGGACGAGGCCTGGAGGAGAGGAGCGGGGACTCCCGCATCTGGACCGGAGGAAGGAGCCGGGCCCGAGGCCAGGATCCGGCAGGAACTTCAGCCCCCCCCCCGGCCTTCCCTGGCCAGACGCACCTTCGGGGGACGCGCAGCACCTGCCGCTCCTGTTCCTCCCGCGGGCGGGCGGCTTCCTCCGCAGCCCCGCCGGAGACCAGGCGCACGTCCAGCTTCTCTGCGGGCGGAAAGCGGCTGCGGCGTCAGGCGGGCAGAGGCGCCCCCCCCGCCGGCCGACCCCTCCCCTCGCCCCCTCCCCGGCCCTCACCTGCCGCGAAGGCGGCGCCCGCCAGCTCCGCCGCCGCCAGGAAGGCCTCCAGCGGGCTCTGCTCCGTCACCGACTGCGGCGGGGGGGCCCGGCCCTGCTCGCCCAGCTCGCTCGTGTGGCGCTGCGTGGGGGAGGGGAGACCCGCCGTTAACCGGGGTCCCCGGAGCGCCCCCCCCGTCCCGCCCGGGGAGGGACGGAGGGGAGGGAAGGAGGGGGAGTGAGGGAAGGGGAGGCTCACCCATCCTGCCCCTCCCGCGCGGACCCCGCGGCGGAGCGAGCGCCCAAGCGCCCCAGCCTTCTTGCCCATCGCTCGCCCGCGGCTTCCGGGCACGTGACGAGACGCAGCCAATGAGCCGGCGCGGCCGGGAGCACCGCCGCGAAGGCTCCGGGCGGAAACTGGGCTCCGCGAATCTGCAGTTCCGGCGGCCGCGGCCTCACGGGGGCGCTGGAGGGCCGCTGCTCCTGCCCCTCTGCTTCGGAGGAGGACAAGGGGGACTAGAAACCTGAAGCCGCGGGGGAGCGGTCCTTCAGCCCTGACAGGAGCGGAGAACCCACGGAGTCCAACTCTTTCCACGAGACACGCGCGATCCCTCAGGGCGTTTGCAGCGGCCAAGGGCCACGTTGGCCCCACTCTGGCCCCTTTGCCGAAAACGCCCCGCGGGCCGACCCGGGGGGGGGAGGGTTGGACTAGATGACCTTCCCTTCCAACTCTGTTATTCCAGCACCCGGGCTTCTCTCTGCAGGGGGGCGAAATCCCCTTCCCAGCTCAGGCAGCGGCGAGGAGGGGATGCGCCGCCGAGTCGGCCCGCAGCTCCGTCCGGCCGTGCACCACTGGGGGGGGGGCAGGGGGGTTGTTGCCGGCATAAGCGCTCGCGCGGGCAGGGCTCCCAACACACTCCGCGTGAGCGCCGAAAGGCCCGCAGCCCGACTGAGCCCCCGCCGTGGGGATGAGGCCAGGGAGCGCGAGGGGACGAGGGTCCGGCAGAGGGGAGGAGGGTTGTGGGCCGGTCCCAGGCCAGTTTCTGGGGGGAGGAGAGGCTTTTAAGCTGCGAATGACAACTTCGGTGGAAAGCAGCTTTAGCCTACCTTAAGTAACCTTAAGGTACTTCTGGGCTCAGGGCAAAGCCTCTGAGCTGAGCTGCCCAAGCAGCACGTTTTGGCCTCCTCCGTTGCTAGGGCTGGGTTGGGGCAGCATCAACAGCAGCTGAGGAAAGAGCGCCAGCACCCTCTTTCTGCTTACTGGGACCTGCCCCCCAACACTCAGATCCTCCCAGCTGAAGAATCTTTCACTGACCGTAGCAGAGGTGTGTTTGTGTGGCACTGCTTCTTCTCCTTGCCCCCTATCTAGATCAGCAAGCCTCCCCCAATAGCAGACTCCACCCAGCAGAAATGGAGAAATAATCTATTCTATTGGTTTATTTCTTAGATTTGATTCCTACCTTCTGTTTGGCAGCTCGCGCTTCCTCTTCCTGCTTTTCCCCACAACAGCCCTGTGAGATAGGGCAGACAGCAAATCTTGCTTAAGGGGCTGATTAGACAATAGAATAGAATAATAACTTTATTGTCAGTTTGAATGTACACTAATTGGCATACATTAAAATTAAATTTCGTTGCATACAAAGCTCTCAAAGGGTCACCACCTCCGATATACATTACATAAACATGACAAAAATAAATACAGAATTATGGATATACCCACATATATTATATGATGCAGAGAAACAACACAGTCTAATTCGGGTTATGTATATATGTGCATGGCAAGAAAAATGAGTTTACCAGACGGATGGCAGAGGGTTGGAGGCTAAAACATAGGACAGTTGCATGAAATTGGGTATGCCTAGTCTAGTGAAAAGAAAGATGGGGGGGGGACAGGATAACAGGGTTCCAATATTTGAGGGGCTGCCACAAAGAAGAGGGGATCAACCTATTTTCCAAAGCAAAGGACAAGAAGCAATGGAGAAAAGATCATTAAAGAGAGAAGCAACCTAGAATTAAGGAGAAATTTCCTGACGGAAGTTGCCTTCAGAAATTGTGGGTGCTCCAAGAAGAGACTGGACAGCCACCTGTCTGAAATGCTCTAGGCCAGGGTCTCCTGCTTGAGCAGGGGGTTGGACTAGATGACCAAAGTCCCTTCCAGCTCTGTTATTTTGACTTCCACAGCTATGGGAAACTTGGGTCTGCCCAGGGCCAGTGCAACACCTGACCTACGGTCCGTGGGATTGCCCGTGGCTAGCAGGCACCTTTGGGAAAAGCCCCAAATGCCACAGCACTTCCTGCTCAGAAGAGCCAGCTGGAACAGGTTCACACAACTTTAGGATGAAATTGGTCAGCCTGTCTGTCACTTCACTGTGACCCCAAAGCTGAGTGAGCAGGTGCACCTGAGGAAGTCACAGGCTCACATTAAAACTGGTTTGCCAGTTCTTCCATTTATTTGGTTTGGTGCTGTAGCAAATCCAGCTTTGTCCATTAGCCAATCAATATATCAGTTAATTCAGGTACCACATTAAATGTGCAGTCATAGGCTTTTTGAGATGGAAAGTCAGTTCACCTCTGAAAATCTCATCCCTTTAAACCTGAAGTGTAAGATCCTCCTCAACTCCAGCCAGAGAAGCAAAACATTCTCAAAAGGAGGGACCAAAAAGGCTTTTTCGGAAACAGCTTAATCTTGGATCACCCCAAACCCCGAAAGCATCAGAAGCCGCCTGTCCTGGCTCGCCCTCCTGCTGGTACACCCGGCCTGTCAGGCCGAGCCGGGCTGGAAACGGCCTGAGCGGGCGAGGCTTGCCAGAGAACGTCTTGGGGGGGGGGGGGCTGGCACCCAGAGCCAGCAGACGCGGAGGGGCGGAGAGAGGGCGGCTGGGCGCTCGCTCGCAGCCCCTCCGGAGGCTCTCCCAAGGCGAGAAGGCGCTCCGCTTCGTCCCAAGGGGGGGCGAGGCCAGGCTCCCTCCGGCTCCCATTCCCGGGCCGGTGGCGCGGGGACTTCCGACCGGCCCCGGGGGCGGCGGGAGCAGGCAGGACGGAGGGCCGCGGATGAGCCCCCCGACCCAACGGCCACAGCTTCGGCCCCTCCCTCGCCGGCTGCTTTGGCCCTCCCTTTCGGCTCGCTGCCGGCATCGCGGGCGCCGCCTCCCGGCGCAGCGGCCTCCCTCGCCTGGCCTATATGTAGCGGCGCGGCCAGCCAGCGCCAGCAGAGGAGCGGCGGCGGCGGCGGCGGCGGCGCGATCCTAGGCCGGCATGTAACGCGCGCGCGGTGGCGGCGATGGCGACGGAGTGGCGCCGGGCGCGCGCGCGGCGGCGGCAGGCGGCGGGGCCCAGGCCGGCGGTCCCTCGGGATGCGCGGGCGGCCGGGGCGACGACGGGCGCCTCCAGCTGAGGACCGGGAGCAGCAGCCGCAGCGCCCCGGACTGCCTGCGCCGGCGGGCGGGGGCGCCGCGATGCTGCCCTGGAAGAGGCACAAATTCGAGCTGCTGGCCGCGGACGAGGGGCGCCAGCCGCAGCCGCAGCGGGCGGCGCAACCGGGCCGGCGGCGAGAGCGGCCGCAGCAGCAGCAACAGCAGCAGCAGCAGCCCGCGGGCCCGCGCGGCGCCTCCCCTCCGCCGTCGGGGAAGGCCAAGGACTACTGCCAGGCGGGCGCCGGGAGCCTGCCCTGCTCCGCCGCCCTGGGCTCGCTGTCCCGCGCCTGCCCGGCCGAGAGCGCCCTCTCCAGAGTGGGCAACCTGTTCCGCTCCAAGCGCAAGAAGTTCCGCGTGAGCAGCGAGGCGCCCACCTACACGGCGCTCTACCTGGGCAACGCCACCACGCTGCAGGCCAAGGGCGAGGGCTGCACCGACGCGGCGGTGGCGAAGATCTGGGCCAAGAGCGAGGCCGGCCGCCACGGCACCAAGATGAAACTGACCATCGGGCCGCAGGGCATCCGCCTGGCGCCCGCCGTGCCGGCCGAGGCCGCCTCCCGCCCGGGCCACCTCTACCTGCTGCACCGCGTCACCTACTGCGTGGCGGACCCGCGCCTCCCGCGCCTCTTCGCCTGGATCTACCGCCACGAGGTGAAGCACAAGGCGGTGCTGCTCCGCTGCCACGCCGTGCTGGTCTCCAAGGCGGAGAAGGCCCGCGCCATGGCGCTGCTGCTGTACCAGACGTCGGCGGCGGCGCTGGTCGAGTTCCGCCGCCTCAAGAAGCGCGCCGACGCGCGGCACCAGCAGCTGCAGCAGGTGGGCCCCGGGGCCGACGGAGCCATCCCGCTGGTGCCGCTCCGCAAGCTGCTCCTGCACGGGCCGGGCGGCTGCTACAAGCCGCCCGTCGAGCGAAGCCGCAGCGCGCCCAAACTGGGCTCCATCACCGAGGACTCGCTGGGCGAGGAACTGGAAGAGCGCGCCGCGGGGCCGGGCTGCGCCAACGGCGGCCGGGACGAGGACTGCGACGGCGGCGACGACGAGGAGCTGCTGGTCCCGCTGGAGGAGGACGGGGACGGGGACGGGGAGGAGGCGGCGCCCGCGGCGGCGTCCAGCCTGGGGCAGCTCATCTGCGGACTGGGCGAGCTGGCTATCGGCAACGACGTAACGCTTCTCCGCGCCGACCTGCGCGTCACCCGCCTGCTCTCCGGGGAGAGCACCGGCAGCGAGTCCTCCATCGAGAGCAACGGACACGAGGCCGCCGGCGGCGCCGGGAGCTCCTCACCCCCGCCGCCCTTGCGATGCTGCCACAGCCCGGAGCCCGACTGCGGCTGACCAGCCTCGCTTCCTCCCGCAGCTCTGCGGGGCCCCCAGACGGTGCCAGGGAAGAGGGCGGCCCGGCGGCCCGGCGGAGACCGGCCCGGGACGTGCGCCGGAGGTCGATCTGCCTGCCGCCCCTCCCCCCACCCGAGCTGCGGCCAAATGTCTGTCGGTCCTCGGGGTGGGGGAGGGGCACATTTGTTTACAGCCGTGGAATTTGGCGTCTGAAAGGTCGGGGCTCCCTCGTGGCTCCCGCTCTCCGGAAGCTTCTCCCGGAAAGCTGAGGAAAGGAGGCCCTTCCCCGGGAGCCCATCTTCCCCGCCTCCCCCCTCCCCTCTCCGGATCTTTTGCTGTGCAAAAAGAAACTGGACCACGTGGATCTTCACTGGAACCCGAGGAGTCGCTGCTCCCTTTGGGAGGGGCTCCCTGGATTTTGGCTGTCTTGGTTTGTCTTGCACACAATAAAAGAAGGCAACAGAGAAGCAGTGCTGCTGTGCTTCCCGGGCAGGGAGAGTCCTGCTCTTGCGCCCTTCCCACACTCCAGCTGGGTTTCGGGTGGTTCTGGTGGGGCCTTGGATTGGGAAGGGGCTGAGGCTGCCTGTTGGAGTCCAGCCTGATTCCTGCAGCTTTTTTGTTTTGTTTTGTTTTTTGAGTCAAAGAATAAGAGGATAGCAGGACTGGATCCTGCAACTTTTTCTAGGCAAAGAGCCAGCTGGTCACATTACCCCCTCCCCCTCCGTGCCTTCATTGGATGGGGCAGTCTGCACCCAGCCCTGGCATCTCCCTGCTGGGGGGGAGAGGGGGAAAAGTTTGTTCCTCAGCCCTCCTTGCCATAGGTGGGCTTGCTGGAGGCTCCCCCTTGGTCCCCCTCGTGTTCCTGGGCTGCTCCATCTCACCTGCAGGGCCAGGGAGCCCCACCTGTATTGCTTTTGGGCCAGTTTCATTCCAAGACCTGATGTGGGTGACGTTGGCTACTCTGACCCAGGCCCCAAATCACTGGGGGCCCCTGTCCAGAAGGAGCCTTTCCCAGGGGGCCGAAGGGGCCTTGGGTGCTGCTCTGAGGAACGTGGCTGCTGGGCTGGGCCTTCTTGGACGTTGCCCCTGAGGCCCAGGGCCAGGCGGGTGGCCTGCTGCTGGCTTGTGTTGGACTGAGCAGCATGGCGGCAGAGAGCTCCGTTCTCTGGGATGCCTGTCTGGGTGTCATTTGAGCTATAATTAATTCAGGCTTGTGGCTGGCTTGGTTTCGGTCCTCCTTCAAAGCGGTTGGATGACTGGCCTGGGAGGGGCTGCTGGAGGTGGGGAGCTTGCAGCAGGAACTCCAGCAGGTGGGTGCCTGCAGGGTCCTCCAATGGACAGAGACCACCTTTGGCCCTTTCAGTCCAGATGGGCCAGAAGCTGGCTGTGGCTGGTGGGGCTTTGCTTTCTCCATCTAGACAGATCTCTGCTGGCAAGGAGATTCTCTGAGCCTTCAGGAAGGAAAGTAGTACCATCATCCCCAGCCTCCCTGTACCTCCCCTACTAGGGCCCTGGTGCACCTCTGCCCAGAAAGGGGTCTCTCAGCCTTGGGGGGGGGTGAATTGCTAGGAAGAAGGAAATCTGCCCCCTGAAGCCTGAGGAGGGCCAGAGGCTGGCTGGCCAGCAGTCTTCTGAGTGGGATCCTTTCCTTCCCCTTTGCCCTCAGGCCTTTCGCCACAGCCGACCCCCCTGGGCTCAGTACGCAGCCCTGGCTGGGCTCTGAAGGGGTCGCCTAGGACTGCCACCAGTGGCCTCCCCATGTATATCCTGCCTATCCATCAGCCCCAGCGGTTCTCCGTCACTTTGGAAGGGAGGGGGCTGGTTTTTCCATGCAGCACAGCTGGTTTAATTAATTAGCCCACTGGGGGAACCTTGATCCTAAGCCACCCAAAGAAGCTGAGACTGCACAAAATGCTTTTTGGTTGGATAGAAATGTGGCACTTGCAATCACCTAACATGCTAAGACAGTGAAAGACAGTTAAAAGCCAAGCCTAGTTTATTGTGTGAATGTACCAAGAGGTTTCTAACTTGAGTTGCTAAGTGTGAATCGAACCACGGTCCTGAGAGAGGCAGCCATGGTTGTTCCGATAGGAAAGTTGTGGGCAGCGCAGTTTGGTCCTGAGATGCCTGTGAAATCCTATGCCCGGTGTTTGGAAATGCCTTTGGAGCGGTTAAAGGATTTTAATGTATCTTAAGGAAGGCCCACAGCCCCTCCTCAGTCTAGCTATTCCCCCCCCCCATTGTCTCCTTGCTCTGCAGGAACAGTTCTGCTGCTGCCTCCAGACAACACGCTGCATGGGGCACTGGATCAACCAGTTCTTCTGGGTTCACACAATACCTTGGGGCAAAATCCAAAGGTACTAGAATCCTCTAACCAAGGTTAGCAGATCATTGTGTGAACAACTCTAGCAGCCAAGGCCTTGTGGTGGAAAACTGGCAGGAGGAGACGCAAGGCACCAGCTGCCCCTTCCAGTGATGGCAAAGGAAGCACTTGCCCCATAGCTTGTGGGGGAAATGGTACAGCCCACCTTCTGGGCATCGCCCTTGCCCTATGGGGGAGTGAGTTGCCAGGGAAAGAAAGGGGGGGCTGAGAGTGGGCAATGCCCAGGGTGGAAACGTGGGGAGCAGGAAAGGGGGGCTCATGCAGCAAAAAGGATCCCAGGCCTGTCAGCCAGAGGAAAAGGTGGGGGGATTCCTGCAGGAGGAGCCCATGGATGGAGCAGTTGAGAGTCCTTCATGCTGCACCCAGTAATGCCGGATGGGTCCCCGGCACCTATGAAAAAATTGTCTGTTCATTTTGCCTTTCATTTGTCATTAATTCCACTAATATTTCCCTCTGGGGTTGAATGGATGGTTTTAATTCAAATTTTAATCTATTTTTTGTTTAAAGGTATTTTTTGTAAATATTATTGATGTCTTCAGGATTTTTAAGCAAAGGAACAGTATAGAAATGTTTTTAATAAACAGATAATGAGGCATCTATACCGTCGGAGGCAGGAAAAGCGGAGAAGGGCGTGGGGGGAGCGAGGCTGGGTCTCCCCCAGCCAGAAGGTCTTTCGGGACCCCCGAGGGGAGCCGGGACTCCCGGCGCGCCTCGCCCACGGATCCCGCCCTGACTGAGGCGGGAGCGAGGCCGGCCTCCGTCCTGACAGCCAGGCGCGCAGGGCTCTCGGGAAGAATTCGGCCGCTCCCCCCAAGCCGGTGATTCGCCCGCCTCGAGTGGGGCCTTGCGCAACCGGAGCAGCCGCGGGGCCCGCCGCGCTCGAGCCCCGAGAAGGCTGCCGGCGTGGTCGGGGCCCAGCGGGGGCTGCCTGGCTCCCGGAGGGCAAATCGGCCTCGGCCGCAGCCCCTCCCTGGAAGAAGTGAGGCCGGGATGGGGCGGCCAGGGACAGCCGCCGCCCGCAGGCGCCCCCGGACGCGGCTCGCTCCCAGGTCGCCCTCGACGAGTGGCGGGAAGCTGGACGTTTGTGCCCATCCGGGCTTGTAGTTAGAACGGCGGCTCCTATTTTCAGCGGACTCACATTCCATCCGCGAGGCCTCCGCACGACCCTCCCTCCCGCAGCTTCAGGATCCAGACGGAGGAGTCAATCCCGCCTCCCTGTGAAGCGCCACCGGACGCCCCCCCCCTTTGCAGGCCAACTACGGACCCCGCCGCAGCCGAAGGAGGCGGACGCCTCTCCTGGAGGGAGGGGGCAGGGAGGAGCCCTGGCCCGCGGCTGCAAGCACCGGCCTGGGAACAGCCCCCTCCCCCCTTCAGCCCGGGCAGGGGCTGCCTTGCAGGACCCTCAAAGCCCCGGTCCAGCCTGAGGCGGGCAGAAGCCCGAGCTAAAAGGCTGCACCAAGGAAGCCATAGCAAGCTCTGCTGGCAAGGGAGGAGGAGCAGGAGGTGGGGGGGGGCTCTGGGCACAGGCCCTCCAACCCAGTTGGGAGAGGCTGGGCAGCTGCTGCCATCTGATCAGCCCAGGAGATCCCTGGCAGGCGCTGCCTGGAAAACTGTGCTCAGCAGAGCACCTGTGCGGAAGCAGCCGGGCCTGTGTGCCGGATTGCACCCTCTCTGCAAAGCAAAGGCCGAGCGGTCCTCAGCCCAGCCCGCTCAGGCAGGGGTGGCAGCCACGACTGAAGCCGCTGGCCCAGCCGGAACGAGCACTGAAGAAGCCACGGGACCAGCCCAGACTGGCTCTGAGGGGAAGTGCTGCCACCGTCGCCACCTGGCGTGAAGAAGCACCTCTGAGGAGAGGAGAGGAAGGGAGCTGCCCCTCCTCTGCCTCGACCCTCCTGGCAATGGCAAAGCCACCCTGCCCAATGATGGCTGGAGCAGCCAAAGTCGCCGCAGGGTCTGAATGGCCTGGGGATGCTGTGGCCAGAAGAGCCCCGGCAGGAGGTCCCAGAGATGGACTCCCCCGCCAGCTTTCCGAGGCCAGAGAACGAACAAGCCGTGCTTGGCGGTCCTGGAAGCCGCCTTCCTCGCCTGGCACAGCCGGCGCCCTGGAGCAACCCGAGGCCCTGCACAGGCCGGAAGGCCAATCCTGGGCAATCCCCAGGCAGGATCCGAGTGGCAGAAGGACCCCAGAAAAGCCCAATGTGGAGGCTAATGGAGCTGAGTGATTCTGCCCGGAAAAGGAGACCAGGGCAGACGGGCAATCAGGGCGGCAAGCCCCAAAGGGCACAGCCACATGAGGGGGAGGGGGGTGAAATCCACAAAGTTGCCAAGGCTGGACACCCCTGCTTTAGGGGGTGTCAAGCACCGTCCTAGACGAGACAAAAGGAGGAAGAGATTATCTAGTATTTGCAGCCGGCAAGAGTGAGTAGGAAGAGCGGGCTTCTCTAGGCAGCCTCTCTTCTGGTGCTCATTAAAGCAGCCAGGTCGGTCACAGGCCACTCGCTGGCCGGCTGGGCTTGGGACTGTCCCGCCCTGCTTCTGCCGATGAGGACTGAGGAGGAGAGCCACAGGGCGTCCTTTGTCCTGCTGAGACCTCGGGAAGGACGGAGTGGCTCCCTTCCTCTCCTCTGCTCTGGACCTCCCTGGACGGTCTTTGCAAGGAAGCAGCTGCAGGCAGCCTTGCCCTCCCTCCTCCCCCTGCCCAGCCCAGCAAATTCTTTCCCTTTCCTGGCTTAAACAATGGATGTTGGGCAGCTGCAGGCCAACTGTGCAACTGCCGAACTGGGGCGGAATTGGAGGACTCCATTTTTTCTGCTTGATCTGCTTCCGGTCTGGTGCTTTTCTAAAATCTTAACCTTTTTGCTCCCAATGGTTGCAGGACAAACTGGAATTGGGAACGTAAAAGGGCTGATTTCGTCAGTGGGTTGACCTGGGAGTCTCAGCCAGGAGGCATCAGGCACAGGCAACCAGATCCACAGGTGAAGGTTCAAGCCGACTGCTTTATTGTACTCTGCCTACATTACAGGAATCTCCCTGGACTGCTTGCCTTCCCTTGGGAGCAAACAGATAAGGCCCCACTGAACCAGG